CCTCTCATCCCATAGAGTGTGTACTATAAAATGTCCTCTCATCCCACAGAGAGAGAGAGAGAGAGAGAGAGAGGGTTTAATGTCCACTCGACACAAACTAGGTCATTTCGGGACTAACATATGGTTTAATTTTATTTCAATAATTCGCTTGCGCGTAGGGGTCTTTAGCAGTGGGAGGAAACCAGAGGACCCGGAGAAAACCCACGAGGTTGGACAGGCGACCCTACGCCTTGTCACGTACAACCTGGGATTCGAAACCACGCCAGTTGACTCAATGACAGGTTTTATGATACAGTACGCACGTGCTAACCATTCGGCCATCCAACCCGCCATCCCAGAGAGAGAGAGAGAGAGAGAGAGAGAGAGAGAGAGAGAGAGAAATGGGGTTTAACGTCCACTCGACACAAACTAGGTCATTTCGGGACTAACATATGGTTTAATTTTATTTCAATAATTCGCTTGCGCGTAGGGGTCTTTAGCAGTGGGAGGAAACCGGAGGACCCGGAGAAAACCCACGAGATTGGACAGGCGACCCAACTACTAGTCACGTACAACCGGGGATTCGAAACCATGCCAGTTGACTCAATGACAGCTAGGTCGTATGATACAATCACTGATAGGGATGACATCGGTGCGGCTTAATGAGCCCCCAATATTAACTTTTTTCCTACTTTTAAGCATCAGAAAAATAAAACAATGGTGTTTAAAGTATATGTATTTAGTGTAAATAGATATGTCCCTTTTCAGTCCCTTCGTCCTGCACCACGGGACCTCTAGGTTAGCAAGTCAATGTCCCACTCGATGATCCAGCGCGGCTCCCAGGTATGACTAGAGAAAAATGTATAGTACGTATTTGAGAGACATTAAATAAGACTAGTTCTTTCCTTTCTGCGATGTTATTCTCGTATCAACGAAATACATACGATGTTATCAATTAACGAGGTCGTGGAAAATGAAGAAGCGAGACGCAAAAAGTTATTCAGCCGTAAGACGTAAAATGTCGTAATGCCGCAATATTTCGTAATGCCGGGGAATATTTTAAACTCTGAGTATACAAGGTTTTATCAATCCCAGGGCTGATAGTACAAAGTTCATTTATAGCCCCATACTTGTACTGTACAATTAAACTTGCGGGTATTATTAAAACTTGCTGACGTATAAAGTCTGATGAAGCAACGTCCTTCAGTATAACAATCTGATTAAAACACAGATCCTATTTCGTTTCGTTTCGTTTTTATAGTTCAAAATTTCGTTTTACTTGTCTTTACTACACTAGGATCTGGAAGAGTTGTTATATAACAGGCGTTCTGGATGATGTGATGGATTAGCTAATGAAACGGTCTGTTTACGGCACGATTTTTTAATGAGGTGCACGGAACTGTGGGTAATCCACTAGAAACACCAACGCTGATTGGTTAATCAAATGTCTGACGTCAAAGGGTCTACAGCCGCTCGTATGGCTCCAGACGCGACCTTCCGTTACAACCGGTCAGATCTTCATGTAGTGTAGGCCATCGAAAGTATAAAAAAACGAAACGAAATATAGATCCGTATTTTAATCAGATTGACAGTATAACTACATTCCAATTAGATAGACAGCCGCGGTGGCTCAGTGGGTGAGATGGTGGCTCTCTAACATGGAGGTCCCGTGTTCGATTTCCGGCGTGGTTCCCCCTTGTCCGTGGTGTATATGCAGATTCGACGAAAAACCCGAGGCTCCGTGTACACCTTGGCGTGCACGTCGTGTGACGGACAATCACCAGAATATAGGGTCCGTTTTCACTGTTGATGAAGGGCTCCAGTGACATTTTCATCCATAGGCCCTTCGCCTATGTTAGTCCCGAAATGACCTAGTTTGTGTCGAGTGGACGTTAAACCCCTCTCTCTCTCTCTCTCTCTCTCTCTCTCTCTCTCCATAGGCCCCATGCAAGCTTAATCCGTGTTATTCTTGTTAACTATGTACAAAAAAAAAAAAATGAAATGAAATGGGGTTTAACTTCCTAATTTTCTGCTCCGACTGGGCTAATGAAGGCGTGCATATGCCATACAGTGTGATATGGGGGCAATTTTGCCCAGGCGGCGGCACTATGGCCTACTCTTATATCGAATTCCAACAGCCAAGGGATATTTTACGTGCACTCCAATATATACACGGGACCTCGTTTTTCGTCCCATCCGGACGACTATACGTTGTCCATTAACAAGCCATCCGTTCTGCGCCACTGATAAGGGGGGGGGGGCACGCCAGACAATCCAGATGAACTTTCCCGGTCAACACGGGGACATGCAGGTGAGCGATCCATTGTCTTACTCACTGAGCCACGGCGGCTCCCTGGTTCATTTAAAGAAACCTAATCTAAACAATACGTAATTCGAAGTGGAAGTAAGAATATATTGGAGATACCTTTTTTTATGGCATAACAGACTAAGACAGATGTGTTTTGTTCGTGTACCTGCATGATTCATATTTCCACCGACATTACACCAGCGTTCCCGTGTAAATGCCACAAGGCCAGAATGTTTATATAAACAATGTAAGGAACGTTACAAGCAACACGCTATTTTACTTATATTGGCTCCAAGTAATATGCACCAATTTTATGAACATGTAAATATATATATAGAAACCAGAAAAAAAACATAAATGCACTTTTAGTAAGATTTCTCTGATTCGTGATCCGATAATTTCCGGTGTACCATGACAACGTCGCCATTGTTTATGCGGCTTATAGATTTAATCTATACACGATAGCGCGCGAAACTTAATATAACGTCTTTTGAACAGACACGATCCGTTAGTGCTAAATGATAAGGCCAGCTTAATTTTTCGTCACAGCGCTAAACCCAACCCTAACCTTAACCCTAGGACAGTGGTTCTCAACCAGTGTGCCGCGAGATCTTCCTAAGTGTGCCGCGAAATTTTGAACGGCACAATAAGAAAATTTCTCACTAAAGAAGCCAGCTATTTGACTGGTGAAATTCGAAACACTGCAATAAAGTAAGTTCATAGCTGTGTATTTCTTTATTTAGTTTGAGTCATTCTATGTGTCTATGACTAGTCTGTGTACGCCGTCTATGACTTGCCATGTTTTTATTTTGCAAACTTCAAATATTTTTCATATATTTTAAGCCAGGTGTGCCGCTATTTTTCCATGTGTTCCATGGTGTACCTTTGGCAAAAAAAGGTTGAGAACCACTGCCCTAGGACCTAGCCCCAATGCTTACCATAACCTACCATCTCGCCAACAATCACGTGGCCTAACCTTATTTACATCTCAGCGATCTTGACGAAAATTGAGCTGGCCTTAACAAATAGAGATAACCAGGCCCCGAGTTCACAAAGCATTCTCAGACTTGAGTTACTAATTTACTCATCTTTCAATCACTGTTTATGATAAATATCTTTGATCCAGAAACACAAAAATTTGCTCATAGTTTCTTATTGATGTATTTGATACATTAAAACAACAAATGTTTTATAAAGGTCTATATTTTAGTTAAAATAAGGTGAACAATTTTGAGTAAATTCTTAACTTAAGTCTGAGAATGCTTTGTGAACTCGGGGCCAGATCTAAAGAGTTACCTAGTCGCCACGAACAATATATTCTACAGTTTTGGTTCCCTGTCCAGCACCGATCGCATTTTCGGAATGTGAGTTACACGGGACACCATGATGGATATCTTATATCCAATCTGATTAAAACACACATCACATTTCGTTTCGTTTTTTTTATAGTTTAAAATATCGTTTTACTTGTCTTTACTATACTAGGATCTGAAAGAGTTGTTATATAACCCGCGTTCTGGTTGATGTGGGGGATTAGCCAATGCAATGGTCTGTTACAGCGAGTTCAAGGCGTACGGTGCACGGAATTGTGGGTATCCCTCTTGAAACATCAACGCTGATTGGTTAATCAAATGTGTGACGTCATAGGGTAAAAAAAAGGCCATCGAAAGTATAAAAAAAATAACGAAATGAAATACACGTATAGATCTGTATTTTAATCAGCGTGTCTTATTTCATTAATAACTTCCAATTGGTAAGATACATTTTTACTGTGCATCGTCAATTGTTTTAGTTTTCTCCCCAGACAGACATCATTTGAGACAAGTTATCCTATATTACCCACGCGCGGGAACAAGTTGCCCACTGTTACCCACGTTAGAGTCAAATTACCCCGTTACCAACGGTAGGGACAAGTTGCCCACTGTTACCGACGCTAGGGCCACAAGTTGCTCTATGTTACCCACGTTACAGATAAATTACCCTGTTACCAACGCTAGAGACAAGTTACCCTCTGATGCCCACGCTAGGGACAAGTTACCCACTGTTACCCACGCTAAAGACAAGTTACCCTGTTACCCACGATAAAGACAAGTTATCCTCTGATACCCACGCTAGAGACAAGTTACCCTCTGATACCCACGCTAGAGACAAGTTATCCGCTGTTACCCACGCTTGAAGCAAGTTACCCTCTGTTACCCACGCTAGAGACAAGTTACCCACGCTAGAGACAAGTTACCCTCTGTTAGAGACAAGTTACCCTCTGTTACCCACGCTAGAGACAAATTACACGCTGTTACCCACACTAGACACAAGTTACCCTCTCTTACCCACGCTAGACACAAGTTACCCTCTGTTACCCACGATAGAGACAAGTTACCCACTGTTACCCACGCTGGACACAATTTGGCATCTATACCCATGCTAGAGACAAGTTGGCCTCTATTAACCACGATAGAGACAAGTTAGCCATTGATACCCACGCTAGAGACAAGTTACCCTGAACTACCCACGCTAGAGGCTAGTTACTCTCTGTTACCCACGATAGACAAAGTTAACCTCTGTTGGAATAAGTTATAATCTGGCGTGAGTATATCCATGATACTCTTTGGGTGGAATGGCAGAAACAGTCTCTAATTCAAGGGAGATAACTCCATTTTATATCCCATTCCAAAAACCCAACACCATCCTCCAAGAAGTATTTTAATCGGTTCTGCTGTACTGTACATCGAGGGAGAGAGATGTGGTTTAAGATAGAGAGAAATAGGGTTTAAGTCCACTCGACACAAACTAGGTCATTTCGGGGCTAACAGATGGTTTAATTTTATTTCAATAATTCGCTTGCGCATAGGGGTCTTTAGCAGTGGGAGGAAACCGGAGGACCCGGAGAAAACCCACGAAGTTGGATAGGCGACCCTACGTACAACTGGAGATTCGAAACCACGCCAGTCGACTCAATGACAGACTTTAGGATACAGCGCGCGCACGCTAACCATTCAGCCATCCAACCCCCCATGTGGTTTAAGTCTACTTGACAGAAACTATGCCATTTTGGGACTAACATTTGGTTCATTTTTCTTTCATTAATTTGAGAAAACCCCATAAGGTTAGACAGCAGGGAATTAAAGCCACGTCATTACATTCCTCCCAAAACATTCAAGATAATGACAATAAAGTGGTGTTCTTGATATTTTTTTTATTGTATTTCAAAATATATTCTATAAAATTATTATTACATTTCTAAATATAAACAAATCACTCAAAGCAATGATAATAGTCTAATATACGCAAACAAATATACATGTAGTTAAAATATTTTTACAATTAAAGGGACAATATATAACACAGCTCCAGTAAATAAATATTAGCCTTATTCTAAGTATTAGATGTTTAAGTGTCCTACCCGTTGTGTAAATTATCCATTACATCCTATTTTACTTGTCCAGAGGGTTCGAAAATATTTTTAAATCCAAGTCACATTTGAAAAGGTTTACGTTAGGCCTTTCAAATCATTTAGTTTAATTTTTCCAATTTTTTAAATTAGGTGTGTTAAGATGAAATTTGTATCATCAATTAATTGGAATATTGTAAAATAGTACAATTTGTTGACCAGAATAAAGATTGGGACATATTATTCAGTTACAACAAGAGTGGTATTGAGCCTTTAAAAACCAATCAGATATTTAAGATACCTTCTGTAAGAGCTAAATCTGCCTATTGCAGGTCTTTTGTTTGGCTTCAAATGTTATATAAATTATTATTTAGACATTTATTATTTAAACCTAGTGATTGTTTTCCATATAAATTTGGGGATCACGGTCGCTAAGTGGGTAGGCCTGACAAGGACAGCTGTCTAGTCATTCGGATTAGAGAAAAAACTGAGGTCCCATGTACACATTGGCGTGCACGTAAAAGATCCCTTGACAGTTGGAATTCGATATAAGAGTAGGCCGTAGTGCAGCTGTCCGGGCAAAATTTCCCTCATAGCACACTGTATGGCGTATGCCCATCTCCATTAGCCCAGTTCGGAGCAAAACAGTAGGACGTTAAACCCCATTTCATTTCATTTCATTTCCATATAAATTTGTGTTTTATATCATATGTTCAGTTACTAAATGCCGTATAAGAATTACATTTATTCACATGACAAGCCTAGAATCAACTCTCTGGACTATCTAAGGGCAGAAATTTAAATGGATTAGAATGCTTGTGAGATGAAACGCTACGATAATAAACACTCATGACTTCGCTAAGAATAAAGTAGGGTTGCCAGGGTCGTAAGTAGCTCAGAGCAACTAGGGGTGCGGGAAGTGTTCTCAGGGTTGCTGTAAAATTGACAGACAATGTATATCTATTGTTTTTGAGGTCGACAATTTTTTCAAGGGGGGGGGACTTTTTGCAGGTAGGGGGGGGGGGCTTTGGCCCCCCACCCATTACGGGCCTGAGGGTTGCCTGTCCATCTTGTTTCCTCCCACTGCTAAAGACCCCTACTCGCGAGCAAATTGTTGAAATAAAATTCAACCATATGTTAGTCCCAAAATGACCGACCAAGTTTGTGTCACATGGATGTTAAACTCCATTTCTTTCTCTCTTAATGTATTAGAAGTAACATTTTATTTCTGTTAAATATGATAATTTATGTCATAAATGTGGTTTGGAAAGTTGTGGGAATGTGCTGCACGGTAACCATTGATATGCCGTCATATATTAACAGCTCTGCTCCATCCTACATCAAAAATCTCATCTTCACATGTATTCCAGGAAAATGTCTACAATTTTCTTCAAAACATCTCTTAACAGTACCATCCACGAGCTTAGAAATGACCAAACGTTCATTCCAGTAATCTTTGGCTCTTGTGGAATTCACTACCTCGTCATATAAAAGAATCAAAGTCCATCTGCATTTTCAAAACTCACCTGTTCATACAACACTAAGGATGAAATGGAAGCGAAATATATAATTTTGCAAGCGCATTTGGAGCTCCTAATACAAGTATTTATTGCGCTTTATAAATTTGCATGTTAGGTTTTTACATGACATTTAATTTATGCAAGAAATTAGTTGTACTGTAAATTGTTACTAAAATTTCTTTCTAACAAAAATCAAAATATCGTTGTTGATCATCCTATCAGATTAAAATACAGATCTATATTTTATTTCGTTTTATTATACTTTCGATTGTCTCTACTACAGGAAGATCTGACCGGTTGTAGTAGAAGGTCATATACGAGCGGTTTTTGAACCTATGACATCAGACATTTGATTAACCAATCAGTGTTGATGTTTCTAGTGAAATACCCACAGTTCCATGCACAGCACACCAAGAACTCCCCATAACAGACAGTTTCATTGGCTAATCCCTCACATCCATCAAAATGCAGGTTTTATAACAATTCTGCCAGATCCTTGTGTAGTAAAGACAAGGAAAAAACAAAATTTTGAATTATAAAAAAAGAAACGAAATAGGATCTGTGTTTTAATCAGATTGTTATTCATCATATTTGACTGAATCCTAAAATTGATACAACCAGGTCGATGTCCTTTTATTGAACCCTAAAATTGATTAACAGGTGAGCATCTTTTAAAATCTGATTAGACCCTAAAATTGATACAAACAGACCGATGTCCTTTTATTGAACCCTAAATCTGATTAACAGGTCGGCATCCTTTAAAATCTGATTAGACCCTAAAATTGATACAAACAGGTTATTGTACTTTGATTGAACCCTAAACTTGATTAACAGGTCAGCATCCTTTAACCCCTAAACTGCGTAGGACGTTATATAACGTCCTGGACAACTGCCACTCACCGTGTGTAGGACGTAATATAACGCCCTGGAGGTATTTTCCCCAACCTATTCTTCGAACACAATCTTACCTTGCGGATGACATTTTATTACGCCTGGTCGAGGAATCTAATTGAAGGGAGACAACTCTATTTACTGTTAGTTTTATTTTGGTTTAAGACCACTCAAATGTGTATTCAGGAAAAAATAGGCCCAAATATGACGTTTTTCGTCAAATTAATTACGCAATAGGGGGTAGTTAACGTCAAATTAATTACACAGTTAAGGGGTTAAAATCTGATTAGACCCTAAAATTGATACAAACAGGTTGATGCACTTTGATTGAACCCTAAACTTGATTGAACTCTAAGATTGATATAAAGGTACAAATCTAGTTATATGGCCACGACAAACGGGACATGTCTGATTTGGTAAAATTTCTGCACACTGGGCACACAAAGCTACGTGTCCGCAATTTAGAATGACAACCTCTTTAGGATTGGTCAAGCAAACAACACACTCATTTTCAGTTTGTTCACCGTTTTCGTTATTCGCTCTTCCCAGTCGAGCAGATCGAAATATCTCCTGATTTCTCCGATCTTCAAAATACTTCCGCGAAAATTTCACCAGAAGATAAATCAGACAACCCCCGCCAATCAGACCCGTGAAAATCATCAAATATTTAAATATGGACGACTGCGATTTCAGTCTTTTGATCACCTCCTTTTTAGTAAGTTTTGTCAAAATATATTTGGTTCCTGCTCCTGGTCCAATTTTCACTTTTCCATTTTCCAGGAAAACTTCTCCGACACCAAGAATTCCTGTTCCAACTACCAGCATTTCCTCCCTTTCGTGAAGACCTTTTGTGACCTCACCGAATATTCGATCCAATCCTGTTTGCAGAAAGGAAGATTGACTTGGTTCGAATTTATCATAAGTAACGGCGAGCTCATCCATCAAAAACTCTGCCTCACCGACTTCTGTGACAATAACATTGTCGCCATGTCTCGTGGCTGGTCGAAGATAGAATGGTACAGTATCAATAACATTCCTGATAGTCCTGGTTGCATCAGACCTGAAACACAACACCAGAAATGTAATTAAAAACAGTACCTATCGAAATGAAATGGGGTTTAACGTCCTACTATTCTGCTCCGACTGGGCTAATGATGACGGCATATGCCTTACAGTGTGCTATGAGAGAAATTTGGATGGGGGAGCAGCACTACGGCCTACTCTTATATCGAATTCCAACTGCCAAGGGATCTTTTACGTGCACGCCAATTGCCAATGTATACACGGGACCTGTTTGTTATCCCTTCCGATAGGACTAAGCACCTATCTAACCTAATTCAGCACTGGTAATCAGATTATAAATTTAACTGTTACTAGATGAAGAGCCCCGGAGAAGAAAGATGTAAGTCACGTTCAGGAGATCCGATTAGTGAACCCAATATACGAGCTGTTTGTTTACATCTTAATGAAGAAATGACACGAGCCAAGGAGCACTGTGATTGGTTGAAAGTTCACAGGTTATTATTACTGAAGTCTGTCATGTATCAGGTATGATAATAAATTGTTTAAAACTCACTGAGAGAGAGAGAGAGAGAGAGAGATGGGGTTTAACTTCCGCTCGAAATAAACTAGGTCATTTCGGGATTAACATATGGTTTAATTTTATTTCAATAATTCGCATGTGTGTCGGGGTCTTTAGCAGTGGGAGGAAAACGGAAGACCCGGAGAAAACCCACGAGGTTGGACAGGCAACCCTATTCCCTGTCATACAACCCGGGATTCGAAACCACGCCAGTTGACTCGATGACAGGCCTTGTGATACAGCGTGCACATGCTAACCATTTGGCCATCCAACCCCCCCTTTTTCAAAGAACCCCAGTTAATGGCGCCATCTGGTAGCAAATTGTATAAGCTTTCTGTGGAACAATCAATTTCAGGTAAAAACGATCGAAGTCACATCGAACCAAGGCCCTTCTGAAATGGCCTTCCGGACAAATACAAATCCATGGTATTTATTTGACCTTAATTTGGCTGAAAAGTAGAAGTCAGTTGTTGTACTGGAAATTATGATTTGTATTAAACATCATTTTGAAGTTGTAATTAAACCCACTCGTTGTTCTGTTCGCGTCAAGCATTCTCGTCCAAAAGTCTGTTTTGCCTTTTATGCGAAAAGACCAAAATGTGACTTAGATCGTTCTTCCCCTGAACTCTTCAGATGAAATATTGGACTCATTTGATTATTTCATGGTAAGACATGCGTGTGATAGATTCTGTATTCTAAGTTGTATATTGATACAAGTATGGCACTGAGTAATATATTGAAAACAACACCTAGTTTGTGTTGAGTGGAGGATAAACCCCATCTCTCTCTCCGGTTCCTCCTGTTTCCTTCCACTGCTAATGAACCCTACACCCAGGCGAATTATTGAATTAAAATTGAACCATATGTTATTCCCGAAATGACCTGGTTTGGACATTAAACCCTCTCTTTCTCCTCTTTAAATGAATAAAATAATTTTTACCAGAAGCCATTGACTCTCCTTGATTTATGTTCCTTTAATACAGAGTGTTGTATGACACCTTCTGTGACAGCGTCATGACGACTGGACAATGTCTGGCCAACTGCCGTCACTATTCCTTCTACTGTCGCGTAGGGTATTTTATGATCTGGTGCTAGCTCCAACTGCTCCTTAATGTTATCACCTAATGTTACCGATGCCTGAAAAATAAATTCTTCAAAATATATTTCGGCTATGAATATATGAAATGAAATGTTCTGCTCCGAGTGAGCTAATAAAGGCGGGCATACACCATACAGTGTGCTAGGAGAGAAATTTTGCCCAGGCAGTGTAACTATGGTCTACTCTTATATCAAATTCCAACTGCCAATGTATACATGGGACCTCGTTTTTTTTTGTCCCATCCGAACAACTAGGCAGTTGTCCTTGTCAGGCCCTCTGTCCTGCACCACTGACAAGGGGAAACCACTTTCTCGGCTAATGCAGCGATCGAACGCTATGAATATAGACATAGTCTAGTTGATTTGGAGGGGAGAGGGGCATGGATTCTGGTGACCATATTTCTCTAAATGTTAAATTGTCAATTTGAGTTCATTTTAGCATGGATTAAGTTGAAGAAAATTTGATATGTTCCGAAAAATGCAAGTGCAGAGACTTTAAAACTACCCATTTGAATTGAATCAATGCAGATGTAATTATTGACCAATCAAGTGCAAAAAAATCTAAATCTGGTGAATGATATCATTGTATTATAGAAATATTTGAGAAATAAAACCTTTGGAGGCTCTCCTAGCTAGCTAGGCAATTTGGCAAAAGCAACAATCTTATCCTAACCCTGTTACCAGTAGGGCCTATACTCCTGTTGTGTTTTACATGGGAGAGAAGAACATTTCTTTTGTGAATTTTTCTTAATAATGTCATTAATGTCTACAATAAGATGTCCAGAATTTAAAAAAAAAATTACTGAAGAATAATTTCCTGCTTTTATGCCAAGGTATTGATAGTTAAAAATAGGCTACTAGGCTATTGTTCTACATTTAATAATTCATTTATATTTCAAATCTGAAATGTTAATAAGAATTCTAAACTGGGGACAGTCGACGGGGGTGACGAGAAAATACATGTATGTCAGTTTTAAAAGAAGAATAATCACCTTGAGTTGATCTGATGAAATCAGCCGGTTTTTATATTTGTTGTAGAAAACATACAATAGAATACTGGACAAACCAACACCAGCAGTTGTTAATTTGTCGGCAAAGTTCAATTCAACCATAGTTCAAGAAATTTAGAATACGTATTGCCAAAAACCACAGAATGTATCTCTAAAAAGTTGTAAAGAAAAAGCACCATTCATTCTGCGGCCATGATAAACCGAAAGTACAGAATTCCCGTAATGTCGTGAGAGTTCTCTAACCCTGTCACAGATTCGAACATCCAGTTTCCGCTTCAACCATTCCGGTGAGCTCCGGTTACAGAGAAGTTTATTTTCTTAAAAATTACTAACAGAAATTAGAAATGTAATGTTGTATTTAATTAACGCAATCAATCGATTAAATACTTTTGTATTTCCAAATGGATAAATGGTTTAACTTTACGTAATCGAGTGCAAAGTCAACGAATGAATGATAAAATTATGTCACCTGTAGATCACTATCGGATCATGCGTCTACCGCCGGTACCGTTAATACCGAACGTGTTACGTAATGATTAAACTTAAAGGGCCACTACTTGACGAAATGAAATGAAATGGTGTTTAACGTCCTACTGTTCTGCTCCGACTGGGCTAATGAAGACATGGCACTCCATACCATTTGGGCGCTAATGCACTTTCATACACCTAGTACTTGCCGTGGTCCTAGAGGGTGTTCAAGGGTGTTATCTATGATCTCACACCAAATTTTAGACCAATCGGTCAAAAACTTTTGATTTTACACAACTTTTAATTATCCATCATTCAGACGACACAGCCATTCGGGAAGCCATCAATTGGCAATGAGGGAAATTTTGCCCAGGCAGCGGCACTATTATGGCTTACTGACTTATATTGAATTCCAACTGCCAAGGGATCTTTTACATGCACGCCAATGTATACACAGGACCTTGGTTTTTTGTCCCTTCCGAATGGCTAGACATCTGTCATATTATTAAAATTATAATCAAGTGTTACTGTTACGGTACTAGCTAATATCGTGATCAAGAAGTGTCAATAATCGACTGCTTGAATTAGTTCCGAAATGACCTAGTTTGTGTCAAGGGGACGTTAAACCCCATTTCTCTGATTTTTTATCACCTTCTAAGATATGACGTCATTCTCAGTCAGCAGACGGCTGTCCCTCGAGACAGTCTACATTTCCTACTTGCTTCTCTGTATTCAGTTTTGTTTTTGTTTTTTTGTGACTATGGAACATCTACCCTATAAATACTGAAGCGTTTCTTTATTGAATTTAAAGGAGCTAATTTGCTAATATTTGGGACCTACAAATTGAAACAAATGGGTCACAAAGCATATAATAATGTAATGTGAATGTATATAAACTGATTTACATTCAACCGTTTCTGTTTTTACTTTAATTTCTAATCAGCTATGTTCGGCGAAATACGCCAGAAGTCTCAATTAATAGCAGTATTTAGCATCTGGTTATTCCAGTCTACCCCGATGATATTTATTGTGCATGCTCTCCAGATAAGAATATAGCGTCACCATTTGACATGACTTTTGGAATATGTCTAGCCGCGCTCTTTGAGTCCCTTGTTCCAAAAGGTGCTGAAACGCATTATGGTACATGATTCGTGTACCAATGGTAAAATGTTTATTTTGTCTTAAATACTGGATATCAGAAGCCCATCTTTTCCCTGTAAGGTCACAAGACCAATGTTGATTTGAACTGACAAATCATTCGTGTTTTCAATGTCGAAGATTTTTGATGATATTGAGTTAGAGACTTAGCTACTTTAAGAGTTTAGACTACTTTTTTATACATTTCACCGATGTGGTTATCTTGTATAGTTGAATTTTACTACATATGTTTACATTCGTATTTCATGTAGCATATAGCAGATCATGACTCATGCTGGCATTACACAATGGGTTCCCTGGGTTGTATTCCTAATTGTTTTCAAATTTGAGTGAAGTCTGTGTCACTACAGACCTGGGACTGTACAGCGCAGTGGACGCTTACGGCTAGCCCCGGATCCATTCACTTTTTTTGAATTGTCTGTATGTTTGTGTTTTCCTGAGTATGATGTCCTGTCCATGTATTTGTTTTTGTGTAAATTTTGTGTGGTGCAGTCCCCCTGCACTTACTATTAGAGTTCCTTGTTGCCTCCCTTCACAAAGCTGCTGGTAGGATTAGATTCACTGCTACCTTCTGCTTTATTTGATTAAAATTTTTCATTTATTTTCAGTACCATGTCAGCAACAGCAGCAGTAACACCTAGTTCAAGCGGCCCTGTTGGGAAACTACGTTTGATTACGTACCTGTCACCAGGAATACCCATACAATTATTTGAAACAATACTACATTATTTAGAGGAAGTGACTGGAAGGGAGGGCTATATTATTCACGAGTCAAGATGGAGTGGACCCCCAGCAGAAAGAGTCGACCCTTTCACCTCAGATGATGTTGATATAGGTACTTTTCATTTGAAAGTTTATAGTGGGAGGGGCAATACCAGAATTTAGCTTTAGACTTGGCAGGCGAAATCCTACAGCAACAAGATCTAGGTGGCCCCTAGCCAAGTTGTGTAATATTTATTTGAAAGTTTATAGGAGAAATGGCCGTGCTAGAATTTACCTATAGGCTTGGCAGGCAGAAACCTACAGCGACAAAATCTAGGGGGCCTTCGGCCAAAGTGTATAATATTTTTGACAGTCAGAAGTCTTTCTTACACACAATGTAGTCTTAAAGGGGCCTTAGGTAAGATTAGATCAGTGGTTCTCAACCTTTTTTTGCCAAAGGCACACCTTGGAACACATGAAAAAATAGCAGCACACTTGGCTAAATATATATGAAAACTATTTGAATTTTGCAAAATAAAAACATGGTAAGTCAGACGGAATACAACCGTAGACACAGACTAGTCATAGACACATAGAATGACTCAAACTAAATAAAGAAAAACACAGCTATGAACTTATCAGTAGACACCAGTGAATACTCAGTTGGGATCATATGGTTTTTCACATTTTCTTAGTGTGCCGTTCAAAATTTCGCGTCACACTTAGGAAGATCTGGTTGAAATCACTGGATTAGATAAAGAGCTAACAGTTCTCGTTATAATAATTAAAAAATAGTTAATGAAAACAAATTGCTTCACTCTAAACCAATATATTTGCGATTAACTTTTAGGCTAGCCTCGATCGCCATTACTACCGTTGGTACGATAATAAACAAAGTCTTGATTATCCATTTTTACGTTAAATCATCCATCATAAAATTTATGGTCTTTATAAGTTAATTAATGTCTAAATAATTTAGATAATATTTCAGGCATAAAGAAAGACCTGCAATAGAGGGTTTATATTACATATCAACAGGGTTTTTATATTATATATCAACAGGGTTTATGTTATATGTTATGTATCAACAGGGTTTATGTTATATGTTATGTATCAACAGGGTTTATGTTATATATCAACAGGGTTTATGTTATATATCAACAGGGTTTATGTTATATGTTATGTATCAACAGGGTTTATGTTATATGTTATGTATCAACAGGGTTTCTGTTATATGTTATGTATCAACAGGGTTTATGTTATATATCAACAGGGTTTATGTGTAGTACAGGATTTATGAGATTACAAAACGAGAAGAATGGATTTGTCGAGTTATGTAAAGCTGCTCCGATACACGTTCATCCGAAAGGACAAAACAGACCAATTTATTTCTCCGATGTTATCATTGATAGTTCAAACAAGTAAGTAAGAATGTTCTGATGGGATATATTTAAATTCAAAATCCTGCAATTATATTTTGTGTTTAGCTCTGAAAGAAAAGAGGGGGGGGGGCGAATGGTTAGTGTGTGGGTGCTGTATTATTAGATCTGTCATTGAGTCAACTGGCATGGTTTTGATTCCCTGGTTGTACGTGACAAGGAGTGGGGTCGCCTGTCCAACCTCGTGGGTTTTCCGGGACCTCTGATTTCCTCCCACTGATAAGCGAATTATTAAAATAAAATTGAACCATATGTTAGTCCCGATATGACCTAATTTGTGTCGAGTGGATGTTAAACCCCATTTCTCTCCCACATGGTTCAATTTTATTTCAATAATTCGCTTGCGCTTAGGGGTCGCTAGCAGTGAGAAGAAACCAGAGGACCCTGAGAAGAGCCAAGAGGTTTGACAGGCGACCCTACTCCTTGTCATGTACAAGCGGATATTCAAAACCACACCAACTGACTCAATGACAGATCTTATGATACAGCACACACGCCCTAAGAAATATAAGTCCAAAATGGTTCAATTCCAATTAGTATTTACAAAAATCTTTTAAACTGACAGTTTGCAATCCTCTGCAGACGAGATATAAACACGCCAGTAAGTGTTGGTTTGAATCTATTTTATGTATTTAATACTGGAAAAACTGGTATACTATATTTTATGTGCGGTATTTAATATTCATATTACATTTTATGTGATTATATATCAATATTACATTTATGTATTCAATATTAATATTACACTTTATGTATTTAATTTTAATATTACATTTTATGTATTCAATATTAATGTTACATTTTATGCGATTATATATTAATATTACATTTTATATATTTTATATTAATATTACATTTTATGTATCTTTCTCTTGTTATTTTAGGACCAAATACAAGGAATTCCAAGATTTAAAGGGACACAAATGGGCATACAACGATCAACTGTCATTGAGTGGTAATCTCATTGTACTCAAACATTTAAAACAGATGGGAGTCAACGCTAATTTCTTTGGAAATATAATTCACTCAGGTGAGATCTTCAATTTTTATGACAGACCATTTTGATTTTGAATCCCTTCGAAAACTATAACATTGTGAAAAGTTGAAGCAATATCAGTCCAAATATGGTTCTTTTCTATTCAAAATTTAGGGGGGGTTGGATGGCCGAATGGTTAGCACGTGCGCACGCTGTATCATAAGGCCTGTCATTGAGTCAACTGGCGGGGTTTCAATTCCCCGGTTGTACATAACAAGGAGTACGGTTGCCTGTCCAACCTCGTGGGTTTTCTCCGGGTCCTCCGGTTTCCTCCCACTGCTAAAGACCCCTACGCGCAAGCATATATTGAAATAAAAAATTGAACCATGTGTTAGTCCCAAAATGACCTAGTTTGTGTCGAGTGGACGTTTAACCCCATTTTTCTCTCTCTCTCTCTATTCAATATTTACAGTTGTCTTATTTTTATCATCTTAGTGACAGACCAGGCCCGGAGTTCACAAAGCATTCTCTGACTTAAGTTAAGAATTTACTCAACTTTCAATGTTTATGATAAATATCTTTGATCCAAAAACACAAAACTTTACACATAATTTCTTATTGATGTGTTTGATACATTAAAACAACAAAAGTTGTATAAGGGGCTATATTTTAGTTAGAATAAGACAAACAGTTTCGAGTAAATTCTAAACTTAAGTCTGAGAATGCTTTGTGAACTCGGGGCCAGGGGTCTTAACTGTAGGAGGAATCCATAGTACCTGGAGTAAAACCATGAGGTTAAGAAGGCACAAGCAAATTATTGAATTAAAATTGTATCATATAGAAAGTGCAGGAGGACCGTACTGCAAATAGAGGGGTTGGATGGCTGAATGGTTAGCACGTGCATGCTGTATCATAAGGCCTGTCATTGAGTCAACTTGCACGGTTTCGAATCTTCAGTTGTACGTGACCAGGAGTAGGGTTGCCTGTCCAGCCTCGTGGGTTTTCTCCGGATCCTCTGGTTTCATCCCACTGCTAAAGACCCCTACAAGCAAGTGAATTATTGAAATAAAAAAATTAAACCATATGTTAGTCCCGAAATGACCTAGTCTGTGTCGAGTGGACGTTAAACCCCATTTCTCTCTCTCTGCAAGGGGTTCTGCAAACAAAACCCCAAAAAGCAATAAACAATTAGAATAAGTGAATATATCCGGGGGCGAGCTGTAATCATCCACTGCACTCTACAGTCCAGGGCCTGTATGTATGTCAGTCCTAATATGACACGGGGGTGTTGAATGGCCAAATGTGGAGTTCGATGGCTGAATGGTTGGCGTGTGCGTGCTGCATCATAAGTTCTTTCATTGAGTCAACTAGCGTATTTTCAATTTCCTGGTTGTATGTGACAAGGAGTCGGCTCGTCTGTCCAACCTTGTAGGTTTTCTCCGGGTCCTCCAGTTTCCTCCCACTGCTCTAAAGACCCCTACGCACAAGTGAATTATTGAAATACGGTTGAACTAAGTGTTAGTCCCGAAATGACCTAGTTTGTATCAGTGGATGTAACCCCCCTCTCTCTCTCTCTCTCTCTCTCCAGATCCTCCCATTTTCCTCCCACTGTTAAGTGAATTATTGAAATAAAATTGAACCATGTGTTAGTCCCGATATATTCTAGTTTGCTTGTATTTTATCAGGTGGTCATCTCAAGTCTATAGAAATGGTGTTAGATCATACTGTTGATGCAGCAGCCATTGATTCTAATACACTGACGGCTTACTTCCGAAAAAATCCTCATATGAAAGGTCGTTTAACAACTATAACATCATTTGGACCACTTCCTATATATCCTATAGTTTTTAATTCAAGACTTCCGGGTAAGTATATGATTCAACATTATGTTCTCCCGTTAAAAGTCAAAACCTAGTAACTCACTTTTTTTTACCAAATTTGTAGTTACTAGGGTATGTGCTTCCTGTTTGTTGTACTAGATATTCAATCTTTTGATTTTGTAAGCAGTTACACCCATGACACAACCTAGCAACTTCCTTCATTTGCCTAGTATGCCACAGAAACACCTAGTAACTCAATAGTCAAAACAATGGATAAGCTGGGCTTTAATATTCATTCATTACATGTACGTTTTCCTTTGCTTTTCTCAAAATAAGAAAAACATGAGTTACTAGGTGTTGCCTTTTGACGGGAGTGTTGTAGATAAGATGAAAGCAAAATGAAATAAAATGGGGTTTAACGTCTCACTGTTCTGCTCCGAACTGGGCTAATGAAGACAGGCTAAAGTCATACAGTGTGCTATAAGGGAAATTTTGCCCGGACAGCAGCAATACGGCCTACTCAATACGGGATCTTTTACGTGCACGCCAATGTGTACACGGGACCTCTGTCCTTGTCAGGCCCTCTGTCCTGCATCACTGACAAGGGTGAACCACGCTGGAAAATCTGGATGTACTTTTTCGGCCAATGCAAGGATCAAACACCTAACCTCCAGATATGAAATCTCATTGTCCACAGGACCTGAAGTATGTAGAGAGAGTGTGTCATGGTAATCCTGAAAGAAAAGTAGAGATGGAGATTAACTCACACAAACTAGGTCATTTCGGGACTAACATATGGTTCAATTTTATTTCAATAATTCGTTTGCCGAATTGGTTAGCGCTTGCGCGTTGTATCATAAGGTCTGTCATTGAGTCAACTGGTGTGGTTTCGATTCCCCAGTTGTATGTGACAAGGAGTAGCGTCGCCTCTCCAACCTTGTGGGTTTTCTCAGGGTCCTCTGGTTTCCTCCCACTGCTAAAGACCCCTACGTGCAAGCGAATTATTGAAATAAGGTTGAACCAAGTGTTAGTCCCGAAATGACCTAGTTTGTGTCAAGTGGATGTTAAACCCCATCTCTCTCTCTCTCTCTCTCTCTCTCTCTCTCTCTCATTTTGCCTTCCAAATCTCTTCACAAGCTAGACAAGATATCCAACCAGACAAATTAATAAATATCTATTCAGAGATTTAAAAATGATGTAAATGACCTTGAACTTGTCTTTGCAGGTGATGTAAAAGACAAAATAACTCAAGCATTGATAGATATGAATAAAAATCCAAAATGGCGAGCGAAACTTATAGCAGAGGGTGTTAGCGGCTATGTATCTATAGATATGTCATTATTTGATATAGAAACCGAAATAAGGGATCTTGTTAAGGGCTTGAGTATTGCTGCCGCCTATTATTAAAGGGACGAGAACACTTTGATTTAGATCTAAATAAAGGGGCTGATGACTGGACGTTGCAGTTACTGGATTTAAGCAGCTTGATTTCTGCACCTTCGCTCTTCTTACCTGTTGAAGCAGACAATTCACATGCATTTAGTTTTTTCGGAATTGGGTAATAGTTTATTATTATTAGGAGATTTTGGTCATGGGTAGTGACTGCACCGTCCATGAAATTCACCAACATTTGTGAAATTCGTTCTATTTCTGGATACAATTACTTGGTTTATTAAAATTATACTGCAACATTTCAACAAGATTTCACAAGTCGCTTTCAAGCAAATACCTAACATACAAAAACGACTTGTGAACTCTTAATCTTTAAATGGCATTTATAAACTGGATTTAAAATACAGATGTGACGTCATCCTTTGATGTTGGCGTACTTTTATTTCCAATAATGCACGGACAACTTGCTGATCGTACATTATCTATACTAGATGAAATATTGGACTTGCGTGACGTATTTCATTGAAAAGCACGTGGGAGATAGTGTCTGTGTTTTAAGTTGTTTAATGATCTCGAGCTAAAGACATTGCGTAATATATTGAAACAACACTCGGCTTACGCCTCGTGCAGTATCAATATATAACTTAATGTCTCGCTCTCGACCATCAAACCAGAGAAACAACAAAATCACATACTTATGGAAAACAGCTACTAGTGTATTTTAAGGCCATGTTTCGAAGAGTTGTGAAATGTTGCTAAAACGTTGCAGTATAATAAACCAAGTGATTGTATCCATACTAAGTATTCTAGTATTATATCATAAATCAACGGCTAAATGTCTCTCAATGATTATATGATTACATAAAAGCAGGCCTGGAATTAACGGTTTTAGATGTACCAGACAAAATGTCAGACACTAATGAAATAGTACCTGACATTTACAACTTAGTGGCGGACATGTATTAATAATATCAATAAAAAAGACAAATCAGGTGCCTGACAAAGCCTGAATCTGTGACTGACATTGTCTGTGACAGGTGTGACATTGTCTGTGACCGATGCCTTATTTCCAGGCTTGCATATAAGCATGAGAAAATTTACATTTGATTTTGGCACCAAGCAGATTAAGATTTTATTTCGATTGCCTCTCAACAAATGAAAAGATCAAATTTAATTAAATCAGTAATTTTATTTTGATCTGAATCAAAGAGATCGTGTCTTTTTAAATAGCAATCTGATTAAAACACAGATCCTATTTCGTTTCGTTTTTATAGTTCAAAATTTCGTTTTACTTGTCTTTACTACACTTGGATCTGGAAGAGTTGTTATTTAACTCGTGTTCTGAATGGTGTCAGGGATAAGCCAATGAAACAGTCTGTTACGGCAAGCTTTAGGCGTGTTTTGCATGGAACTGTGGGTAATCCACTAGTAACATCAATGCTGATTGGTTAATCAAATATCTGACATCATAGGGTCATAAGTCAGTCTTTTGACCCCTGACGTGACCTATCGCTATAACTTGTCAGATCTTCATGTAGTGTAGGCCATCGAAAGTATAAAAACACTGAAACGAAATATAGATCTGTATTTTAGTCCGATTGTTTAAATAGTGAATCGTTGACTGTATAAATAATCCTTTAATCTCATGACAGAATTGTATCTAAACCTAAACATATATATAAATACAGGTATATTAAATATTCTTGATATTTACATAATGGACCAATCAAAGTGCATTACTAAGTTCTTTTCTCTCTCTATATGTCTCTCTCTCTTCAATCATTTTTCAAAGTTTAATGTCGTGGGTTTTCTTCGGTCCTCCGGTTTCCCACACTGCTAATGACCCCTACGCTTAAATGAATTATTAAAATAAAATTGAACCATGTGTTAGTCCAGAAATAACCTAATTTGTGTCAAGTGGACGTTAAACTCTCTCTCTCTCTCTGTATATTGGCTGGCCTTGTAAGGATATATTTTCAGTATTATGATTATTTTATAGTGGTTTCAATGGCCTGTTTGATGATTTAAATTCAACAGACATAAATATGAGGACATACCAATTTAATCTTGGGGATTACTTATTAAAATGTTTTTGCTTCCTTCCTTTATCTTGGGAACAAAACATAGTTCATAAGAATAATGGCTACTTGTTTATCGATATCCCAATGAAATAAGAATTGGTTTGGCCTGATTAAAACTGGAACACTCCCACTTCCAAATATAAGAGAAATGAGACCCATCTATTTGGCACTATTTTTGATTGTTTATTTGGCAGATATGGCTAAAATCGAACCAATTTCTTGGTCACTTTATTTGATATTTTTTCTGCAAAGAGGGGCTTTAATCCTTTAGGACTTGGTACATGTATATTGACTACGCATGCAACACCCCCAAATTCAGAGTTTGTAGCATTCTACTAGGAGCCATAGTGGCTAAGTCAGTAAGGCATTCGTACACCAGACAGCTAGGTCTTTGCTTCAATCCTGGTGTAGGACGAGAAAGATCCCCAGGATTTTTCTGCGTTGCTTCCACTCGTCAGTGGCGCAGGACTAAGGACCTTGCAAAGAACATCTAGTCATTTGGATGGGACAAAAAAAACAAAGTCCCATGAACCCTTGGTAGTTAGAATTTGATAAAGAGTAAGCAGACAACGAGAAACCACACCGGAAAATCCAATAACTTTATCATCTGATTCCCAGTACATGTTTTGTGTAATAAATATTAGCAACTGGGCCCGAGAAGGACAGCTGTCTAGTCGTCCGTATGGGACGAAAAACCGAGGTCCTGTGTACACATTGGCATGCACGTAAAAGATCCCTTGGCAGTTGGAATTCGATATAAGAGTAGATCATAGTGCTGCTGTCAAGGCAAAATTCCCCTCATAGCACAATGCATGGTGTAAACCTGTCTTCATTAACCCAGTTGGTGTAGAGAAACAGTACATAAAACCACGATTAAATTCATTTATATTTGTAAATTGATTGAGATTATATTTTGTTAATCGAACAAAACAAGTGATACTAATTATAAAGATATTATATTTTGTTAATTGTTAATCAAATTTAATGTTTAATGGTGTACTGGTATCTATCGATATTGTGTTGAAAGATTTATTAATTATTTTAAATATTGTTAATTATTGTTAATTATGGAGTTTGTATATTCTTTGAGAGAGATAAACCTTGTGTCCAAGCGATTATATGTCATTTTGTCTGCTGAGGCTGTCTTCATTAGCCCAGTCTGTGCAGAAAAGTAGGACGTTAGACACCATATAACTTACACACCACCGCGCGCTGTATCATACGGTCTGCCATTGAGTCAACTGGCATGGTTTCGATTCTCCGGTTGTACGTGACAAGGAGTAGGGTCGCCTGTCCAACCTCGTGGGTTTTCTCCGGGTCCTCCAGTTTCTTCCCACTGCTAAAGACCCTACACGCAAGCCAATTATTGAAATAAAATTGAACCATGTGTTAGTCCCGAAATGACCTAGTTTGTGTCGAATGGACGTTAAACCCCATTTCTCTCTCTCACTTACACACCTCCAGACGTATATCTTCCATAGCAACTGTTGATGTTTTAAGATGGCTATTCTGTAAAGTCACTACGGGTTGATGGTTGATATTGAGGTAATAATTCACCTCAAATAACCACATGCTTTAAATTTCACATGCACAGGGTAAGCAGTAGTTGATATTAGGCAATGCAATAATCTTTTGTGTTGATGAGTAAGTCAGATAGCAATCTATTTCCACACATGTATTTCGAAACAAAACCTACAGACTTCGCCCATTCGATTTTTATTTTGAATAACAACCTGGAACTACATATTAGGCCACCAGAATTTTACTTTTTCAGGATTATTGAGCAAGTAAATAAATTTGGAGTGATTATCATAAACAGGAAGGGAAAATAATTTTTTTATATTTTTAAATTGTGACAAAATAAATCAAGAGTAGCAAATCCTGAAGAAATAAAAATAAAATTAATCAACTCACGATGCTATCAGATTCTCAAGCTATTAACTAGATTAGAACGATTCGGCCATTTAATGAATAAATTTTGAAATGAAGTAGCGAGTCTTAAGTTTTGACCAGGGGCCTGTTTCACGAAATCTAAACTAAAGATAAAATCCAAATTTTAGTAGATACTTCAATTTTGATTGGCTAAGGACTAAAATTAATTTAATATTATCCAATCAAATTACTAAAATTTGGATTTTATCTTAGTTAAAAATTCGTGAAACAGGCCTCTGGACCTTTGTTACGATAATAAACATGTTATCAAAACTGCAAAACAGTGATAACTTGGCTCAGAATAAAGTAATTTAAATGATATTTTAAATATATTCATTTTACATTATCTATTTTTTTAACTAATATAGCACAAACGGCCATCTTTCATAATGTATCTATAAGAAAACAATATTATTCAAAAGTAGAAAATCTCCCGGTTTATAATCAATCAGATTAAAGTTAGGCCCATTAAAAGATTTTAACAAAGATTACAGGTAGCGCTGGCTTTGACCATATCTCGTTAATATGTTATGCAGTAGTTTACCTTTTGTTTTGAATATGTTTGCTCGTTGTATAGACCATATTATGTCAGTGTATACATTTATGTTATACAAGTTTAATTATTTTGTTGTCATTATTGATTACGCATATTCCAGCTCATTAACCATTGCTACATTTACGGCGACGGCCCTGCAAATTTTAGGACATATGACATCATATGATTGTGGGTTAGGACCTGCAGATTTCGTCAAAGTCTTGAGATGTAAACAGGGCTGGTGCTAACCCTAACCCTAATGCATAATCCACATATGACGTCATATGTAAAGGACTGTCTCCGATCTATCTTTCTCCGTTTCTGATTTGTTGGAGAAAAAATCATTTAAAGACAAAAAGTCTTTGTTTGCTCTTATCAAAAGCTTTTAGTTTCAAACTTTGAGGGAGCTGCAATTAGTAAGGCGGTGGCTATCTAAATAATAGTAGGATGTAGTGCCACTGCCTGGGCAAGATTCTCTCATAGCGCACTGTATGGGGTATGCCCATCTTCATTAGCCCAGTCAGTGAAGAAAAATAGGGTCTTAAAGCCCATTTCATTTCCGAATTTTCAAGATCTGAATTTTGTTTACAAGACAAGGTGGCTGTTTATTTATTAAAATCCTGCCTTTACCTACGGTGGTCAGGAAATTAAACACTTGTAAATTGGACACTCATTATCAAAATTAATCAGTCAGCTTTAAACTGGACACAAGTACAAATTAGATGACTTTGGATGATTTTAAATGATTTTTACAAATTTTTAAACAAAGATTTGATATTAAACGAATGTTAAAGAAATTAGTGCTAGATATACAAGATTAAATGATACCTAGATGTAGCAATGGTTAATCAGCTTGTTACCTTGTTTAGATGTTTGATTGTTACATTATTAATTGTTTGTAAGGAAATATTTAAAAGTGCTATAAAAAATTTATCGAGGTTTCAAAGATGATTTGAATATATTGACAAGATGTATGGGTAATTTTAATTTTATTTTATTTAATGCAACCAATCGTCATTTGTATTTTTCGGACAATATTTAATTTTTTACGACTTATTCCAATCTAAAATGTACTCGGGTTGATTATTAAACATATAATATACAAAAATATCAAGTCTCCATTTTGGATCGATTCCCTGGTTGTACGTGACAAGGAGTAGGGTCGCCTGTCCAACCTCGTGGGTTTTCTCCGGTTTCCTCCCACTGCTAGCGAATTATTGAAGTAAAATTGAACTGACCTAGTTTCTGTTGAGTGGAAAGTAGACAGCAGTGAGTTAATGGGCGTGGTTTCGAATCCCCGGTTGTACGTGACAAAGAGCAGGATCGCATGTCCAACCTCATGAGTTTTCTTAGGGTCCTCCGGTTTCCTCCCACTGCTAAAGACCCCTACGCGCAAGTGAATTATTGAAATAAAATTGAACCATGTGTTAGTCCCAAGATGACCTAGTTTGTGTCAAGTGGTTGTTAAACCCCATTTCTCTCTCTCCATTTTGGAATGATATTCTTTTTAGAGATTCAACTTCAACAAGATTATAGTTTTTATAGGATTCAGAATCCTTCTTGACGATTAGCGACTATAATGAAGGGATTCAATTCAAAGCATAATGCTACCTAACATGATGAAGATATTTCTTACAGATAAAATTGCGATCCAGACTCAAGTCCCTGTTCTCTTAGTGCAGAAATCAGAGTGGAATTATGACATTGAAAATGTTTAAGCTGTGCCGATTGGTGGATATATTATATTCTTATTCAGTCATACATGGTCTTTCAAACAGGAGGGGGGGGGGGGAGACCGAATGGTTAGCATGTGCGCTTTGTAACGTAAGGTCTGTCATTGAATCAACTGGCCTGGTTGACAGCAATGAATAAAATCTTTATACAAAAATCCAATTTTTGTTTGACAATAGTTTTATTTATTTACTAAGACCAATAAAAAAATCTATAACAATAAAATAATCAGGGTAAAATAAGAGAAAGTATAAAAAGTAACAAAGTATAAAATAACAAATTACCCACCCTACTAATCACCAACAAGCTTTCTTTCTTCTTTATTGATTCCGGGGGTTGGATGGCTGAATGGTTAGCGCGTGCGTGCTGTATCATAAGGTCTGTCCTTGAGTGAGTCAACTAGATTCCCCGGTTGTTCGTGACAAGGACTAGGGTCGCCTGTCCAACCTGGTGGGTTTTCTCCAGTTTCCTTGCACTGCTAAAGAACCCCCCCCCCCACCAGGTATTGCAAGAAGAGACCGAAAAGGAAAAATATGTCATTGAGTCAAGTGGTGTGGTTTCGATTCCCCCGCTTTGATGTGACAAGGAGTAGGGTCGCCTGTCCAACCTCGTGGGTTTTCTCCAGGTCCTCCGGTTGTAAATAGATATTGACAAAATTATGGAAATGAAATGAAATGAAATGGGGTTTAACGTCCTACTGTTCTGCTCCTATACTGGGCTAATGAAGACGGGCATACGCCATACAGTGTGCTATGAGGGAAATTTTGCCCGGGCAGCGGCACTATCGCCTACTCTTATATCGGATTCCAACTGCCAAGGGATCTTTTACGTGCATTCCAATGTTTACACGGGACCTCGGTTTTTCGTCTCATCCGAAGGACTAGACAGCTGTCCTTGTCAGGCCCTCCGTCCTGCATCACTGACAAGGGGAAACCACGTCGGAAAATCTGGATGACAAAATTATGGATAATTGAAATATCTGTTCTTGTCGGTGATCAGTAGGACTTCATACTAATAACTAATTAATACATGGAATAACAAGTTTAATTAAACATATATACATTATGCAAGAGCTAAATCTGTCTATTGCAAGTCTTTCTTTAGGCAATACAACCTCGTGGCTTTTCTCCGGGTCCTCTGGTTTCCTCCCACTGCTAAAGACCCCTACGCGCAAGCGAATTATTGAAATAACAAAATTAAACTGTGTGTTAGTCCCGAAATGACCTAGTTTGTGTCGAGTGGACGTTAAACCCCATTTCTCTCTCTCTCTCTCTCTTTAGGCAATAAATGTTATCTAAATTATTAATTAGATATTTATTAATAAAACAAGACTATAATCAACTCTCGATGGCATCGGATACTCAAGATTTTAACTAGATCAGAACAGTTCGCCATTTAAAAATTTAATTTAAAAATGGGAAAGCGAGGCTAAGTCGCGAATATACAAGTGCCCTGGTTACCACTATGCACACATCTTGTCAAAACTACAAACGGTGGAAACTTGTCTCAGAATAAAGTAATTTGATTGAAATTTTCAATATTTTTATTTTACATTATCTATTTTTGAACTATTATAGCAAGAACGGTCAACTCTTTATCTAAATCTTACATAATGGATCTTTAATACATGTAATAACTAATTAATACATGACTAACTAATGAATAACAAGTGTAATTAATACTAATAATTAAAGATACATTATGGGAAATTAGATAACAAGTTGGCAGTTCTCACTATAATAGTTAAAAACTAGATAATGTAAAGGCAATTTGCTGAAAATTTCAGTCAAATTGATCCACTATGAACCGAGAAATAAGCGATCAAAGTTCCGCATAGCCTCGGTCATCATTTCTAAAGTCGGTACAACAAAAATCATTATCCATTTAATCGTTAAATCGAGAAGGAAAGTTATGCAGCAAATCAGATCATAATCCAACAATTATCGCAGGCTAGCGTCGACATCGAGAGTTGATTATGGTCTGGATACGTTAATTAATGTCTAATTAATAGTTTATATAACATTTCAGGCCTAAAGAAAGACCTGCAATAGGCAGATTTAGCTCTTGCATAATGCATGTTTAATAAATACATGTAATTCTATAAAATATAATTTACAAGAGATATATGTAAAAGAGAATTGACAAGAGGAACTTGTTGAAACGTAGTGTGAAATGAACTCGGTGATTGTTTTCCATATAAATTTGTGTTTTTATATTATATGTTTAATTACTAAATGCCGTTTAAGGATTTCAAGAGAAATGTATATTGACATTATCTGGACCAATAAAATTAATATACACACAGGAAACTGGTTTTAACATTTTCTTTTCAAAGTTAAGGTGGGGGACAGGGGACGGACACATGCGCTTTAGATCATACCGGACTGTACTTAGTAAAGTGGTGTAGATTCGATTCAAGGCATGTACATGACAAATATATGTCTTCAAAAGGGATGATGGGGGTTGGGTTGGGTAGCCAAGTGGTTTGATGCATGTGCTTTAGTGCTTTTGATTCCTGCCATGTACATGACAGACATTTGCCCAGGATATTGTTATATTCATGATCGTTATTTAGTTATACTATCAGGAAGTAATCATTCAAACACTAAACTAATGCGCTATTTAGATGCTTAAATAATGCTAGTTTGAACTTTTGTAATCTGAATGCAAATGACCAGGAACATGGGGGATGTGGTATTGTATTAGACATTTCACTGCATTAGATCTAAATGTATGGAATAGCACATCCGACAAAATGTCACATGGTTCAGTTGCTTAAGTCATTATTTTTGGCAAAGATAATACTCCATAGATCTAAATTTAAAGGGATTTAACTGCATTAGACCTAAATGTATGGAATAGCACATGTTACTTGTGTCATTATTTTTGGCAAAGATGTTACTCCATAGATGTCTAAATTTAAAGAGATATAACTGCATTAGATCTCAATGTATTTGAGAAAATATTACTTTGTTGTTAGATGTCAAACATGTCACTTAATACATCTGAATCTAAAATGGATGATAAAAAGGATAAGGGTTACTGAGATTGTCACTCCAAACATCTAAATCTCAAGCACTGATGCCACAAGATGGATGGTGAAAATGGTAAGGATTGTTTGGCCGAGTGTTATCCTGGGTGTTATCTGTAATGCTGGGTATTATCTGTAATGCTGAGTGTTATCCTGGGTGTCATTTGTAATGCTGGATAATATCTGTAATGCCAAGTGTTGTCCTGGGTGTTATTTGTAATGATGAGTGTTTTCAGGGAGTTATCTGTAATGCTTGATGCTAACTGTAATGCTAGGGTTATCTGAAATGCTGCCTGTTATCTGGAATGCTAGATATTATCTGCAATGCTAGATGTGTGATCCTGGGTGTTATTTGTAATGCTGGGTGTTATCTGTAATACTAAGTATTATCTGTAATCCTGAGTGTTATCTGTAATGTTGGGTGTCATCTGTAATGTTGGGTGTTATCTGTAATACTAAGTATTATCTGTAATCCTGAGTGTTATCTGTAATGCTGGAAGTTATTTGTAATGTTGAGTGTCATTTGTAATGCTGTGTGTTATATCTGTAATGCAAGTGTTATCTGTAATGCGGGTGTTATCTGTAATGCGGGGTATTATCTATAATGCTAGATGTTATCTGTAATGCTGGGTGTTATTTGCAATGCTGGGATTTATCTATATATAATGCTGGGTGTTATCTGTAATGTGGTTTAGAAAGATAATAGTCATCTTCACTAACCATGGCTCGAATGGCCTTAGGTGGATGATGGTAACGATTAGGATTGTCTAATTGTGTGGAAGCAACACTCATTGGTCGATTTCCTGTATTCGTTTCTACGGAAACGATGTCTGCTTCTGCTGCGGGACTGATATTATGAACGTCGCCTGCTATTGTATCTTGAATGGCTTTAATCATGTGGTTTATTTCATCTAACACCTGTAATGTCTGAAAAAAAAATACAAATACAGGTACTTTACAAGATACGTCGTAACATCATTGTACATATATACAGCATGATAAAACACAGGTAAATTACTAGTATACATCACAATAAATGAAAATTAAAGTCAAAACAATTTACAGATATAAATTATTAGTATACGCCATGAGAAAGTACAGGTAAATTAAAAGTATATACCCTGGCACAGCACAGGTAAACAGTATACAGCATGACAAAATACAGGTAAATTACTCTCATACACCAAACCAAAAAACTACTAGTATACACCATAACAAAATAAATGTAAATTACTAGTATACACCATTACAAAATAATGTTAAATTACTAGTATACACCATGACAAAATACAGGTAAATTACTAGTATAAATCATGACAACATACATATAAATTACTAGTATACACCATGACAAAATACATGTAAATTACTAGAATACACCATGACAAAATAAAGGTAAATTACTAGTATACACCAAAACAAAATACAGGTAAATTACTAGAATATACCATGACAGAATACAGGTAAATTATTAGTATACACCATGACAAAATAAAGGTAAATTACTAGTATATACCATGAAAAAATACAGGTATATTACTAGTATACAGCATGACAAAATACAGGTAAATTACTAGTATATACCATGACAAAATACAGGTAAATTACTAGTATACACCATGACAAAATACAGGTAAATTACTAGAATACACCATGGCAAAATAAAGGTAAATTACTAGTATACACCAAAACAAAATACAGGTAAATTACTAGAATATACCATGACAAAATACAGGTAAATTACTAGTATACACCATGACAAAATACAGGTAAATTACTAGTATACACCATGACAAAATACAGGTAAATTACTAGTATAAATTACTAGTATGCACCATGACAAAATACAGGTAAATTACTAGTATGCACCATGACAAAATACAGGTAAATTACTAGTATAAATTACTAGTATGCACCATGACAAAATACAGGTAAATTACTAGTATGCACCATGACAAAATACAGGTAAATTATTTGCTGAAAATGGAATCCTGTGATAAATCTGTCAATGATGAAATAAAGAGAATAATATGAACTCAAGATAAATCTACATACCTCTTCATCTGCGACTGGAAACGTTTCTTGTGAATGTTTGTCCTTTTCTGTCACAGTTTTTAATTTATCGAGAATTATTTCAGGTAATTCGTCAGCTGCCATAGATATTCTCCATTCACACACATCGTTTAACTTCTGTTCAAAAGCTCGAGTCATTTTACTCAGTGTTGTACTATCCAATGGTTCCTGCAAATAAATAAAATAATTTCTAATTATAAAAATAAATCTGGTAGCTGATTTGGTGTAAGGTATAATGGTACCTGGAAGAAAATAAAATAATTTCCGATTTTAAAAATAGCACTTAAGCCAACTTTGTTTAAGCCTCTTTGTCCAACAATGCACCATAGAGTACATAATAATAATAATCGTTTTCTAAAGCGCTGAACATTCAGACAGTGGCGCTTTACAAATGTAGATATGATTATAAAAAACAAATTGACCCATTTACTAAAAAACAAGGCTTTTTATCAGCCATATTGAAACAGGTCAACCATTCCTTTAAAGGCTAGCCGGGTTGGATGTCCAAATGGTTAGAGTGCGTGTTGTATCATAAAGTCTGTCATTGAGTCAACTGGCGTGGTTTCGACTCCCCGGTTGTACATGACAGGGAGTGGGTTTTCTCTGGGTCCTTTGATTTCCTCCCACTGCTCAAGACCCCTACATGCAAGTGAATTATTGAATTAAAATTGAACCATGTTAGTCCCAAAATGACCTAGTTTGTGTTGAGTGGACACTAAACCCCATTGCTCTCCCTCTCCTCTCCCTCTGTTTTAAGGCTATATATAAAAATACCCTACCTTTTTACCAATGGTGGAGTTCGCGAAACTGTTGACTTCGGTACCTACATCTGATTCCATGAGATTCAGCCATTTAATATATTCTATATTATATACTGTTAGATCTTTTAATGACGTACACAGACAACGGACATATTCCGCTTGACCAGCCATAGAATGTAACATTCTCCAACTATCCACAATATGATCACTTCTCTAAAACAAAAAAAATAAATTAAAATTTATAAAAATACATTTTTATTATATAACAGAGCTTTCACTTTAAAAAAAAATTCCATATTAGTTGTAGAAATATTGGCAAAAATGCCAATCTGATTATAACACAGATCCTATTTCATTTCATTTTTTATAGTTCAAAATTTTGTTTTACTTGTCTTCACAACATTAGGATCTAGAAGAGTTGTTATATAACCCGCGCTCTGGTTAATGTGAGGGATTTGGCATTGAAACGGTCTGTTACGATGAGTTCTTGGCGTGCGATGCATGGAACTCTGGGTAAACCACTAGAACCGTCAACGCTAGTTTATTAATCAATGTCTGACATCATCGGGTCAAAAGCCGCTTGTATGACCTCTGATGCGACCTCCCACTATAACCGGTCAGATCTTCATGTGGCGTAGGCCATCAAAAGTATAAAAAAAATGAAACGCAATGTTGATCTGTATTTTAACCAGATTGCAAAAATGCAGGATTGAGGGGTTCTCTAAAATAAAAAAAAACCAGAAAAGAATAGAATCTTGTAAAATTAGAGAAGCTGCTTTAAAATAGCTGTCGAGAATTATCTGTTTATTTCATAAAATGTTGTTCTACCCTCTTTTGCACATCTTCTGCAAAATAACACTAACTCAGCAAAGTCAAACAACATTTTTTAGCCTTTTGAAGTTATCTTAAATCTTATATCAGTGAGGGGGGGGGGGGGGGTGGATGGCCTAATGGTTAATGCGTGCACGTTATATCATAAGGTCTGTCATTGAGTCAACTGGCGTGGTTTTGATTCACAGGTTGTACATGACAAGTAGTGGGTTTTCTCCGGTTCTTCCGGTTTCCCCCTAATTCTAAAAGATCCCTACCTGCCAGCAAATTATTGAAATAAAATTGAACCATATGTTAGTCCCGCAATGACCTATATCTCTCCCCCTATATCATTGAGTTTTAAACAATTTATTATCATACCTGATACATGACAGACTTCAGTAATAATAACCTGTGAACTTTCAACCAATCACAGTGCTCCTTGGCTCGTGTCATTTCTTCATTAAGATGTAAACAAACAGCTCGTATATTGGGTTCACTCATCGGATCGCCTGAACGTGGTGGACCACCATTTTGAAAATGAAAGGCAGACTGAAAAATTGAAGATTGGCAGCTGCATTCACAACTACAGGTGTGGACCCATTCTCCCATGCAATTCTCGCTATCCAGCATTAGACTTCAATAGATATTAGTAGAGGTTAGGGCTAAATCTATTTGTTAAGGCCAGCTCAATTTTCATCAAGGTCGCCGAGATGTAAATAAGGTTAGGGCACTTGATTTGTTGGCGAAATTGTAGGTTAGGGTTAGGGTAAGCATTGAGGCTAGGTCCAGGGTTAGGGTTGGGATTAGTGCTAGCCCTGTTTACATCTCGTGACCTTTGACCAAACTTGAAGTTGGCATCATCCATTAGATCTAATCTAGAGGTTAGTGTGAATTACAAGGGAGGACAACTCTGACTGGGAGGATGGTGTGAACCCACAACCAGCATGTCCCAGATTTCCATCTCTGTGTTTGCTCAGAAGTATCTTTGAAAGTTTTAAGCCCAGTTCCCACATTTGCCAAGTCCTGCAGATGGTCCGACAAATTTATTGTCCTATATACAAAATATGTTCTTCAGTTTCATAATTTCGGCCAGAAACTGTTTGGTGAAGCTGTTTTAGGGCTATCCCAGGGTTCTGTTAGTGAACTACTCTCTAAACCAAAACCTTGGCACATGTTAAGCATCAAGGGGAGAGAACCCTTCATTAAAATGCACTTGTGGCTGAGCGATCCTCAAAATATTGATAGATTAAAAAGATCCCTTCACAGTTGGAATTTGAAAATGGGAAGGGGGAAACCCCCTTGCATTGCACACGTAACCATAGAAAACATTAGCTCTGTAAGCTTCCCAAAATAAGTGATATCAGGTGTTCTTCAAAAAGATTGGAAATGAAATGGGGTTTAACGTCCTACTGTTTTGCTCCGAACTGAGCTAATGAAGATGGGCATACGCCCGGAACAGCGGCACTACGGCCTACTCTTATATCAAACTCCAACTGTCAAGGGATCTTTTAGGTGCACGCCAATGTGGACACGGAACCTCTGTTTTTCGTGTCATCCGAATGACTAGACAGCTGTCCTTGTCAGGCCCTCCATCCTGCATCACTGACAAGGGGAAACCACGCCGTAAAATCTGGATGAACTTTCTCGGCCAATGCAGGGATCAAACACCTGACCTCAAGGCTAGCGAGCCAGCGTCTTACCCACTTAGCCACCGTGATCCCCCAAAATATTGGACATCATCAGGAGCCCATATTTCACAATATTGATTGGAATGGACCAATACAGAATTCTAATTAGTATTTAAAAATTCGAGTGTTATTGATAATACTGAGTGAGAGCTCCTTGAAATAATTGAGGAAAAACTTACTCTGTCTTTACTAAGAAACACACTATGATAATATGATGTAGGATTCTCTTTGTAGAATAGTTCTTGACTAGCAATAGAAAACAGATATAAACAATATCAGACGTTAAACATACATTATGCAAGAGCTAAATCTGCCAATTGCATATCTTTCTTTGGGCCTGAAATGTTATCTAAATTATTAATTAGACATTAATTAACTTATCCAGACCATAATCAACTCTCAATGGCATCGCTAGCCTGAGATGTTTTCTGGATTAGAATCCTATCTGCTGCTTAATGCTCATTGATAATTAAATCAAAAAATGGATAATCGAGACTATGTTTTTTTACCGTACAGACTTTAGTAATGATGATCGAGGCTAGACCCAAAATTCAATCCCTAAAATCTTGTTTCAGAGCGGATCAATTTGACTGAAATTTTCAGCAAATTCCCTTTACATTATCTGGTTTTTAGTTATTATAGTGAGAACTGCCATCTCTTTATCTAATCTCCCATAATGTATGTTTAAATAAAGCTATTTCAAACACACTCCTTATATGTATATATATATATATATATCATAGCATCATTCATTTATTTAGTGAACAATATATCTCTCAATTACAGAGATGTAATGAAATGGGATTTTAAGTCATACTTTTCTGTAATGACAACCCATGGACATAGGAACATCAGAATGACAACCCATGGACATCAGAGTGACAAGACATGAAGATAGGAACATCAGAATGACAACACATGGCGATAGGAACATTAGAATGACAACACATGGCGATAGGAACATCAGAATGACAACACATGGCGATAGGAACATCAGAATGACAACACATGGCGATAGGAACATTAGAATGACAACACATGGCGATAGGAACATCAGAATGACAACCCATGGAGATAGGAACATCAGAGTGACAAGACATGAAAAAGGAATATCAGAGTGACAAGACATGAAAAAGGAATATCAGAGTGACAAGACATGAAAAAGGAATATCAGAGTGACAACCCATGGAGATAGGAACTTCAGAATGCAAATTTTTACTTCCTTTCACGTCACGATACAAATTTCGAAAACATTTTTTTTATTAAACAATCGTAAATATTTGGGTAATCTTACTTCATTCCATCGTTGTTAAGAAAATGTAGGAGGAAAAATTTCTTGACAGGAACATATCGCCATCTATCCATTATAATATACGCCTGAAACAATTACAACGTTACCGGTATTAAACATACATTATGCCAGAGCTAAATCTGCCTATTTCAGTTCTTTCTTTAGGCCTTAAATGTTATCTAAATTATTAATTAGACATTAATTAACTTATCTAGACTATAATCAACTCTCGATGTCATTGCTAGCCTGTGATATTTACTGGATTTGAATCTGATCTGCTGCTCAACGCTCATTGATGATTAAATCCAAAAATGGATAATCAAGACTGTGTTTTTTATCGTACCGACTTTAGTAATGATGATCGAGGCTAGGCCTAGACTTCAAAAGCTAATATCTCTGTTCAGAACGGATCAATTTGACTGAAATTTTCATTAAATTCCCTTTACATTATCTAGTTTGTAACAATTACAGTGAGAACGGCCAGCTCTTTATCTAATCTCTCATAATGTATCTTTAAAGATACATTCCGATGAAAAAAGATTTATAGGTTAAAAGAATGGCAAATTTGGTATATATGGAAAGTAGAGACTCTCAATTTTACCAGAAAAAATTACAAAGTTTAAAGATGTATTCCCACACACAAAAACTATTTATAGGGTAGTTATTTCCAATAAAAGTACGGCAAATTTGGTATATCTGGAATGTAGAAACCCAATCTGTAGGGGTTTCCCATTTTAAAGGTACAACAAGCCAGGTGGTTCACATTTATCGCAAAAGTCTTTTGGGCAGAAAGTCAACCATTTTTCCAAAATGGATAACAAGAATGAATCAGAAAAAACGCCTTATTCCAAGAAAAAAAAACACAATATTAAAAATGTCCTAAAAACCCAAATGTCAAAATCTCACCTTCATATAGACAGGTTCTTTTCTCGATACAACCATTTCAAATTCTGTCCAGAATCCTCGTCTTTTGTTTAATATATCTTCCCATGGCCAACGTATCTCTTCATCTCCCATATAAACACCAAGTACAGGATAGGTCTTTCTCTGTATTAATTCACTTACATGGCTATGTACTATAAAATAATACAATGAGTTAAATATACAATGTAATGAGTTAAATATACAATAGAATGAGCTACATATACATAAGAATGAGCTAAATATACAATAGAATGAGTCAAATATACCATATGATGAGCTAAATATACAATAAATAAGCTAAATATAAAATAGAATGAGTTAAATATACAATAGAATGAGCTAAATATACAATGGAATGAGCTAAATGTATGATAGAATGAGCTAAGTATACAATAGAATGAGCTAAATATACAATAGAATGTGCTAAATATACAATAGAATGAGCTATATAAACAATGGAATGAACTAAATGTATAGAGAGAGAGAGAAATGGTGTTTAACGTCCACTCGACACAAACTAGGTCATTTCGGGACTAACATATGGTTTAACTTTATTTCAATAATTCGCTTGCGCGTAGGGGTCTTTAGCAGTGGGAGGAAACCGGAGGACCCGGAGAAAACCCACGAGGTTGGACAGGCGTACTAAATGTATGATAGAATAAGCTAAATACACAATAGAATAATGAGCAAGATATTACTCTATTGGACATAACAAAAAGTGCAAATGATTTTTTTTTTTCAAACACCTCAGCACCACCCATAATCTTTTGATGGGCCTCTTTATAATTTGATTCGGCCATCAGTTGAATTTGGTTTTTTTTGCTTACTTAAATGTTAATTAATCAACTTGAGTGGATTAAGTCATGAAAAGTTAGAAGTTGTCACAAAAATATGCGATCGGGAAAGGCGACTTTATTTTTATGAATGCAAATATTTCAGGTTTTTAATGAGCATAGAGTATTAGGGTTAGAAAATACTGACCTATTTTAGCAAAGAGTTGTCTAACTTCCCCCTCACATCCAGTAGGTCCTTGTATATAATAATGTTCCTCTATAGTTATATCTATTATATAGGGTTGTAATTTACCATAATATACTGTATTACCACTAATACCAGGACATATACCAACCTATATATAATATAGTTATATCTATAGTTATATCTATGGTTATATAGTGTAATATAGTTATATCTATTAGTATCTATTAGTGTAATATACTGTATTACCACTAATACCAGGACATATACCAACCTATATATAATATAGTTATATCTATAGTTATATCTATGGTTATATAGTGTAATATAGTTATATCTATTAGTATCTATTAGTGTAATATACTGTATTACCACTTATACCAGGACATATACCAGCCTATATATAATATAGTTATATCTATTAGTATCATATAGTTATATCTATTAGTGTAATATACTGTATTACCACTAATACCAGGACATATACCAACCTATATATAATATAGTTATATCTATAGTTATATCTATGGTTATATAGTGTAATATAGTTATATCTATTAGTATCTATTAGTGTAATATACTGTATTACCACTAATACCAGGAGATATACCAACCTATATATAATATAGTTATATCTATTATATAGGGTTGTAATTTACCATAATATACTGTATTACCACTAATACAAGGACATATACCAACCTATATATAATATAGTTATATCTATTAGTATCATATAGTTATATCTATTAGTGTAATATACTGTATTACCACTAATACCAGGACATATACCAACCTATATATAATATAGTTATATCTATAGTTATATCTATGGTTATATAGTGTAATATAGTTATATCTATTAGTATCTATTAGTGTAATATACTGTATTACCACTAATACCAGGAGATATACCAACCTATACATAATAAAGTTATATCTATTATATATGGTTTTAAAATACAGATGTGACATCATCCTTTGATGTTAGCGTACCATTATTTCAAATAATGATACCGAAGAAATTTTGGACCCACATGACGTATTTAAGTGCAAGTTTCTGTATTTTAAGTTGTTTAATGGTCTCGAGCTTAAGACATTGTGTAACATATTGAAACAACAGCTCGCAACTAACGCCCCTCATGTTGTTTCAATATATTACTTAATGGACGACTGTATTATGAATAAAGAACCTCTGATTCGTGATGTGATTGGTGCCATCTTGGAATTATGAAATGCATAAATCGTTGTGCGTAAATGTCCAAAGAACAGGCATGATACGTTTCATGTCAATCAGCTTGAAATAGACAGGGTCTTAGGTTGTTCTCTAGCTAATAAATGTTCCATGTAATTCTATTTGATGAGTTCTCCAGCTAACAAATGTTCTTAGGTTGTTCTCTAGCTAATAAATATTCCATGTAATTCTATTTGAGGAGTTCTCTAGCTAACAAATGTTCCATGTAATTGTATTTGAGAAGATCTCCTGCTAACAAAATATTCCATGTTCCATGTAATTTGAGTTCTCTAGCTAACTAATTTTTCATATAATTTTATTCAAAGTGACCACCATGCACATAATATTATTTGGGGTGTTCTCTAGCTAACAAATGTTTCATGTAATTGTAGTTGAGGATTTTCCTAGCTAATAAATGTTCCATCTAATTGTATTTAAGGAAATCTGAAAACCGTTTTTGGCTTTCAGATACTTAAACCTTAATAGCTGAATTAATTTTAACCAGATTGGTTTGAATTAGCCGTAAAATGGATATAGTAACCATTGGCTATAAGTACATGCAATTAAGATTTTTATCTTATGTGGTCTTCAAGGAAATCTCCAGCTTACAAATGTTCCATTTAATCTTATTGGAGGAGTTCTCTAGCTAATAAATGTTACGTGTAATTGTATTTAAGGAAATCCCCAGCTTACAAATGTTCCATGTAATCTTATCTGAGGAGTTCTCTAGATAACCAATGTGCCATGTAATTTTATTTTGAAGAGAACACCATGCAATTAATTTTATTTGAGGAGTTCTCTAGCTTAGCAATGTTCCATATAATTTTCTACTCACCCGATAAGGTCCTTTTCTCTGTATATAATTTCTAGGCGTAAGATGTTTAGCTACAATCTGTGCTACACTGGTTATAGCATCTGGATCAACAATATTCATTATAGACAGGGGTCCTGTTAAAACAGAAATTGCAAATTTTCAAGTTATATTTTTAAAATGTATTAAAATAAAGCCTTAAAATAGATGGTATCCATAAACAGTCCTACTTTGTTAAAGAATAATCCTATTAATCCTATAATTCACTATTGCCAGCTGAGAAATTGGCAAAAATATCATTACAGGGAAGGTAATTGTGTTGTTATTTCCTGTGTCATAGATTTTTAAGGGTGGGAAATAATGCCCATGATCGTATAATAGTGATTTGATAACCTATTGAGCAAAAGACATAGAAATAATTATGTTTTGACTTTCTTAGAAAATTTGAAATTCTCGCTTTAAAATAATAGACAGTTCCTGATAAAATAATAGAGATCCTGATAAAACCTCATCATCAACAATGAAATTTAACCCTTTAGCACCTGAACTGAACATAACTTCTGCTCCTTCTAGCACGTCAAACCACCCAACAAATCCGGTTAATTACGAACCAAATGCTAGTCAGTCATTTGTCTGCTAGTCTGTGATATCACCCTAGGTGGAAGCAAACATAAAGCCATTTGAACGAATGAACATGAGTAAATGCAGTCGGCAGTCTTTGTTTTTCGACTAAGAAAAATGACGCAAATTTCTTCTCATCCTTCATGTGTATTCAAATTCTGGATGATCTACCAGTAGTTATTCATTTCTCTGCTAGTCTGTGATATCAGCCTCGGTCGAAGTGGACATTAAAACCCAGGAACATCAGTCATTTGCAGTCACCAGTCTCTATGTTCTACCCGAGAAAAATACTGCAAGTTTCAACTCATCCTTCATGTGTATATAAATTCTGGATGACCTAGTAGTGTTCAAGAGTTTAAAAGAAATAAATTACCATATATTTCAGTAGCAGGAATTTGGTAAACAAAATTCTCTGAATCGACAAGTTTTGGTGAATTTCCTGTTACTCTTTCTAACACAGCAGACGGTTGTTCATAACATAAATCCATTCTAAAATATACAAATATATATATAAGCAGAATTAAAAAAAAATATCTAAATTTTCTGCTTTGAAGCTCATTTGACACAAACTAGGTCATTCTAGGACTAACATATGGTTCAAATTAGCTGGCACGTAGGGGTCTTTAGAAGTGGGAGGAAACCGGAGGACCCAGAGAAAACCCACAAGATTGGACTGGTGACCCTACTCCTTGTCACGCCACTTGACTCAATGACAGACCTTGTGATTTCATGCTCACACGTTAAACCACTAGACCACCCAACCCCTCTTTCTTACTAGTAAGCGAGAGGGAGGAATGGGGTTTAACATCCTCTCGACACAAAGTAGGTCATTTCGGGACTAACACATGGTTCAAATTTATTTCAATAATTCGCTTGCGCGTAGGGGTTCAAATTAGCTGGCACATAGGGGTCTTTAGAAGTGGGAGGAAACTGGAGGACCCGAAGAAAACCCACAGGGTTGAATAGGTGACCCTACTCCTTGTCACGCCACTTGACTCAATGACAGACCTTGGGATTTCATGCTCACAAGGTTAAGGCACTAGCCGACATGGTTTCCCCTTTTCAGTGAGGCAAGACATAGGGCCTGACAAGGACAGCTGTCAAGTCGTTCGTAGGGGACGAAAACCTGAGGTACCGTGTATACATTGGCGTGCACGTAAAAGATCCCTTTGCAGTTGGAATTCAATATAAGAGTAGACCATAGTGCCACAGCCCAGGCAAAATTTCCCTCATACCACACTGTATGGCATATGCCCTTCTTCACTAGCCCAGTTGGAGCAGAACAGTAGGACGATAAACTCAATTTTATTTGATTTAAACCACTAGACCACCCAACTCCCTCTTCCTCACTAGCAAGCAAGTTACATTTAAATACTTACTTCATAGCACATTGTCTAAGTCTGGTAATTAATCTGGCGTAAGGATTTGGTGGTATATAATCCCCTGTATATACTTCTACTAGAAACTTATACCATGTTTCATCTAGATGACTGTCAATCATATACTATATACATACAAATATAATCATACATTATTCTTATTATATATACAAATACACTCATACATTATTCATAGTCTTACAATCTGATTAAAACACAGATCCTATTTCATTTCGTTTTTTCTAGTTCAAAATTTTGTCTTACTTGTCTTCATATCCTTCTTTCTAGTTGATGTGAGGAATTAGCCAGTGAAACTGTCTGTTACAGTGAGTTTTTGCCATGCTCTGCACAGAACTGTGGGTAAACCACTAGAGACTTCAACACTGATTGATTAATCAATGTCTGACGTCATAGGGTCAAAAGACGCTCGCATGACCTCCCACTATAACTTGTCAGATATTCATGTAGTAGAGGCCATCGAAAGTATAAAAAACTAAACGAAATATAGATCTGTTTTTTAATAAGATAGGCTGTTCTATATCCCTCCCCCTGTTGACATGTACATTGTCCTGATTGTAACTCACCTTCATTAAAACAGATTCTGTTGACATGATTTTAGGAGACGTATCTCGTTCTATACACATCTGTACATTTATAACTGAAAAATTAAAATAGCCGATATATTCCACTAGACAAGACCTATTACTCACATCTTAATCCATGCTAAAATGTAATTATTTTAAAACATTACATTAAGAAAAGAAAACCAAAATATCAATGAGGCCAATCAAAATATTTTTATCCAATACTTATAGGTGGGTGGTGCTGGTTTGTTTATGTCATCTGAAGAGGATGCCAGATGGTGTGAAATTTTGAATTCCTCAAATCCTTATAGAGATTTCACTTCCTCGATATTGTAGTATACAATAAATTCCTCGATCCCTCAAATGGCCATCAGCAACTTCGAGCCAGTGGCTCTTCAATATCTACGAAGTCTATTTTATCATTGAAAGCTATGGCACAGTCGTATGGAATTTAATTTTAAAGCCATGTGTCTTTCATGGACAAATGAATAAAAACATTTGAAAGTTAGTTATAGAAAAAAAACCCTACAAATTGTGCTATGAAGAAATACGACAGTGCCGTATCAGCTTATATCCAACAAAAAAAAAAACAAACCGAATATATAATACAGTAATTTATTCAGGAATATTACTGACATGAATTTCAAGCCGGTACATGAATTAAATATGGAAAATTTTCCGAACGGTGTACCTATTTGTCGTTATTTTTGTGGTAATCACATACATTAGAATATAAGACATTCTCCATAAAAAAATTACCAAGAATTATTTTTGTTGAAGTATGGTTATATTAAAGGGAATGGAAGCTTAAAATTTTAAAACCCTGTTCCTACCGGAACCTTATTTGACCCAATTCTGACCGGTTCGTTTCAAAATGGATTAATAACCCAGCTACGAAGTCCCCTTTAGGCCAATACAAATTAATTACTAGAGTTTCTGGGTCTTGACTTGATAAATAAATAGCCACTGTGATTGTGAATGATATTTTTGTATAAAATTTCAAAATGTGAAAAGGTGTAGCATTTTGGTCCTTAAGACAATATTGGTTCTTTGAAGAATTGTTGCTTCACTCTGTCTATAGAGTCAAATCACATGCACTTAATGAAGAGGAATATATAGTTATACATAAAAAACAGTGTCAAAATATCCATCAAATTCTATCTGTTTATTGACCTATGGTTGGTAGACCAAATAAGGTAATGTTTCCTCCTCTTGTCTTGTGAAATAAAGAGGTTTATTCCATATTTGGGATGGAAATTAACGTCAAGGCTATCTAAGACGTGCAGAAATTAGGGGGTTATAAAACAGGGTGTGGAGCAAGATTGGTCAGAGCTCACCCAGATATTCCAAGCAGCTATTATTATTGAGAACGAGGTACCTTCAAAGCCATTACAGCTTAACAATAAAGTTGTAAAACCATTTATTCTGTAGTGTTATAGATTACGATCACGAAGAAAACAAACACAAGGAAAGAAGTTTGATAGTACTACAAAGGGGAACTAAAACTTTTGAAAGAGAAAGCAAGTACTTTTTATTTTTAATTATATTTTTTTCCCCTAAGTAAATGTTATATTTACCACTAGTTTCATGTTTAATTATATCCTCTTCTTCAATACCATGTTTATATACATCATCTGTTTCCCACGCTCTCATTCCTGTCTGAAATAATATAGAACACCTCATTCCACTTCCTATTTCTTTTTGAGAGAGAGAGAGAGAGAGAGAGAAATGGGGATTAAAGTCCACTCGACACAAACTAGGTCATTTCGGGACTAACATATGGTCTACTTTTATTTCAATAATTCGCTTGCGCGTAGGGGACTTTAGCAGTGGGAGGAAACCGGAGGACCCAGAGAAAACCCACAAGGTTGTACAGGCGACCCTACTCCTTGTCATGTACAACCGGGGATTCGAAACCACGCCAGCTGACTCAATGACAGGCCTTATGATAAGTTTATGAAACTCACTTTTTTTTGTTCTCCTCTATCTCGTAATTTAGTCTGAGGTCTCTGCATATCATTGGGAAAGGTTGTCTGCATTTTCTCAATAAGCTCCTGAAATATCAATTCAAACATAACATACATGTTATGACTCTGAAATACTCAAAATTAAATTTCTTTTGTTGTATATTAAAGACATTTCTTTCATTCAGAAATGAGAGAGAGAGAGAGAGTTTAAGGTCCACTCAAAACAAACTAGGTCTTTTTTGGAACTAACATATGGTTCAATTTTATTTCAATAATTCGCTTGCACGGAGGGATCTTTAGCAGTGGGAGGAAACCGGTAGACCCACAGAAAACCCATGAGGTTGGACAGGCGACCCTACTCCTTGTCACGTACAACCCAGGAGTCAAAACCACGCCAGTTGACTCAATGACAGACCTTATGATACATTGCACACACACTAACCATTATAGGCCATCCAACTCCCCAAGATTAAAACACAGCTGTCGTTTCTTTGTTTGTTTGTTCAGGGTTGGTGGCTGAAATTTTGTGTATAGGGGTAGCTCGGAATAGGGACTAACTTAGGTCTGGTGGTGTTTCAACCTGTGCAGCGCAGGGACATCCGCTAGTTTCATAATAACAATTTAAGCTTTCAGGCCACCCAAAACTCCTGCTCTTTCTAAAGACTCAGAATCACATTAATAACTCTGAATACTGGTCATATACTAGTTCTGTGACAAATTGCAGACTAGGGAGCAAGTGGTTAGCGCTAAATGATAAGGCCAGCTCAATTTTTCGTCATAGGTCACGAGATGTAAACAAGGCTAACGCTAATCCCAACCCCAACCCTGGACCTAGACGATGAAAAGCAGATCGGATTCAAATCCAAAGAAAATCGGACACTAAATACTTACAACTAATTTCGGACACCATTTTAAACAATCTTCAGCTAATTGTATAGATAATGTCTGACAATATGAATTCATATTACGTAGAGTACCCACAATCTGAAATAATAATAATAATCTATTCATTTATAAAGTGGAACAAAATCCAACCAATGGCTACCCATAGGCACTTTACAATGCTTAGACCTGAAATTTATATTAGAGTTAACAGGATAGAGAGAGAGAGAGAGAGAGAGAGAGAGAGAGAGAGAGTGGTTAATGTCCAAACCAGGTAATTTCGAAATAACATATGGTTCAATTTTATTTCAATAATTTGCCTGGGCGTAGGGGTCATTAGCAGTGGAAGGAAACAGGAGGACCCAGAGAAAACCCACAAGGTTGGAGGGCAATCCTACTCCTTGTCACGTACAACCGGTGAATCGAAACCACGCCAATTGACTCAATGGCCCCTCCCAGGTAACAGATAAAAGTAAAAGATGAATTGCACATAAGAAGAGTAACAGGACAAAACCCATAAATAATAAAATAACTTTAAAAAGTTTGTCTTTGAAAGTAGTGATACTAGAACAGTCAATGAAAAAGAATGCTGACCAAAAGAACGATCAGGTATTTAATGAGTTTAAAAAATTTTGATTTGCGATCTAAGATTTGTACTGGGTTTATTACCATATAGTTTTAACATAGGAATAAAAGCAGAGATCTGTAAAGTCAAATAAATATATCATATTTAACACACGAAAAAAATATTATCTTATTATATAATAGACCTACTTTCATGATATGTGTTGCAGAACCAAAATGGAAATCATCCGGTGCCAGGAGGTCATCTATCTGAGCAGTTAAAACTTGACCGACTGTAACTATATCATTACTTCGTTCTTGTCTACAAAAAATATACAATTATATATTTATAGTTTGAAATGTGTTTAATCTTTATTACTGTAACTACCATTCAAAATAAATTGAAAGCTTCATTAATACAATTCTTAAAGATATGGTCTTAATTGTTAGATCTAAATATTAAGGCCACCTGCAGATTTTGTCAAGGTCACAAGATGTAAACAGGGCTAGCGCCCACCCTAACCTAACCCTATCCCTTACCCTAATCCACAATCTCGTCAACAATCATGTGCCCCAACCCTATTTACAAAGATAGGATTAACTGAAAACTGGATTGAATATTGAAATTATATTTAAACAGACCTGTCAGAACCAAAGGGGGAGGGGGCATCTGGATTGAATATTGAAATTGTATTTAAACACACCTGTTTGAAGTCTGAAGACCCCCAAATAATTTGCAAATATGTGTTCATTAGTTTTAAAAAAACACATTTTGGCTCATTACAGCCCCCCACACCCCCTTCCAAAATTGTGAATAATGACTTATAATATCAGAGAGAGAGAGAGAGAGAGAGAGAGAGAGAGAAAGAGAAATGGGGTTTACCATCCACTCAACACAAACTAGGTCATTACAGGACTAACATATGGTTCAATTTTATTTCAATAATTCCCTTGCACGTAGGTATTTTTAGCAGTGGGAGGAAACCGGAGGAAATGGAGGCGACCCTAATCGTTGTCACGCAAAACCCGGGAATCAAAACCATGCCAGTTGACTCAATGACAGACCTTATGATACAGTGCGCACACACTAACCATTCGGCTATCCAACCCCTTCTATAATATCAGTATGTTTCGTGACTTCTACAAGTAAGTAATTTTACTTACAGACTACTGGATAACAATTCTTCTATATCACATTTATATCTGGCTAGAAAATATCGTATAATATAAATATCGTCTGTCTACAAGAATAAACATATAAAAAAAATCATTTAACAATACAAAATATTATTTCAATAAACAATACTGACCTGCTTAAAAATGGAGGGAAATGGAGTTAAATGTCCGCTCAACTTGTTTTTGTTAGTAAATAACATGTAAATTTCTACCAGGTATTTCATGAAATAGCGAGGAAACCTGCAGACCCGGAGAAAAAACATGAAGTTGGGCAGGTGACCCTACTTCACATACAAGCTCGGGATCCAGTCTTGAACGATACTTGACACAAACTAGGTCATTTCGGGACTAACACATGGTTCAATTTTATTTCAATAATTCGCTTGCGCGTAGGGGTCTTTAGCAGTGGGAGGAAACCGGAAGACCCGGAGAAAACCCACGAGGTTGGACAGGCGACCCTACTCTTTGTCACGTACAACCGGGGAATCGAAACCCCGCCAGTTGACTCAATGACAGACCACATGATACAGCTCAGCGCACACGTGCTAACCATTCGGCCACCACCACCCCCCCCCCTGAACTCATGATACACCCTTATGATCAATTTGAGTAAATATTAGATAAATGCATGTATCAAGCTGTAATATGGTTAATTATAATCCAAAATTATGATAATAAACTTACATTAGCAAAACCCCGTAATAAGGCTCTAATAGATTTATTTTCTTCCATTATGAGATGCAGACGACCTGGGGTACCATGTAATAACCGATAAATTTCAAACAGAATACTCGGAGAATAAGACGACCTGTAGATAAAAAGATGTTAAAATTTATAAATGAAATGAAATGAAATGGGGTTTAACATCCTACTGTTCTGCTCCTAAGCTGGGATAACAAAGACGGGCATACGCCATACAGTAAGCTATGTGGGAAATTTTGCCCGGACAGTGGCACTACGGCCTACTCTTATATCGAAGTCCAACTGCCAAGAGATCTTTTAGGTGCACACCAGTGTGTACACAGGACCTCACTTTTCCGTCCCCTCTGAACGAAGAGACAGCTGTCCTTGTCAGGCTCTCAGTTCTGCACCACTGACAAGGGAAAAATACGCCGGAAAATCCTCCAACTTCCAGGCTAGCGAGCTAGCGTATTACTCACTTAGGCGCCATGACTCCCCTTTGGAAACTATAAACTGTTTCAAATAGTTTATTATAAACTATTACCTGTCCATTAATATTAATATTAAAGCACTATAAACTGTTTCAAATAATTCTGCAGTTGGACTCTGTTTGGCTATTCTTCTTTGAAAGTGTGATCTGAAAAATACAAATAGGTGTATATATGTGGGGTTTAATGGTCGACAGCAAGCCATTAAGTAATATAATGAAACAACAAGAAGGAAGTTAGTCCTGAGTGTTGTTTCAATATATTACGCAATGTCTTAAGCTCAAGACCATTAAACAACTTAACAAACAGACACTCGTACATGCTTTGCAATGAAATACGTCATGCAGGTCCAAAATTTCAACTAGTATAAATAATGTATGCTTGGCACATTGCCCGTACCATTATTTTAAATAATGATACCCAACACATATATATTTTAAGTGTATTTGATGTTGACCAAATTTGATATGATTTCCAGAAATCTGATCTCTGTCATGTTCAGAGAGAGAGAAATGGGGTTTAACGTCCACTCGACACAACTAGGTCATTTCGGGACTAACATGTGGTTTAATTTTATTTCAATAATTCGCTTGCGCATAGGTGTCTTTAGCAGTGGGAGGAAACCGGAGGACCCGGAGAAAATCCACGAGGTTGGACAGGCGACCCTACTCCTTGTCACGTACAACCGGGGATTCGAAACCATGCCAATCGACTCAATAACAGACTTTATGATACAGCGCGCGCACACTAACCATTCAGCCATCCACCCCCCCCCCCCCCTGTCATGTTCACACATTGTATCTCTGGAACAAATTCTAGAATTCTGAATATCAACTGGGTACAGCCTCTCAATAGGATTTGTGGTTTCACTAATCTAAATGATGCATATAAATTACACACAGATCAGATAACAATTTTTGGCATTAGAGCGTTTACAAACAAGGTTCAACAAAGTGAAATAAGGGCCATAACTCTAGACATAATAAACAGGATTCTTCTTTTTACTAATTTAAGTGACGCATATAAATTTCATACAGGGCCATAACTCTAGAAGTAATAAACGGAAATTATTGAAACTAAATAGGCCTCTTCATCTTACTAATGTCAACAACATAGATCAATTTTAAAACAATCGGATCATAACTTTTGGCGTTAAAGCGTTCACAGGGGTGACAGCTATATATGTCCACATTTCCATATGGGCGTATACAAACAAAGGCTCATTCGTATAAATTTTAGATTATGCGCTTACTTTAAAGGGGAGACAATCTGCCAGGCAAAAGGCCCACTTCCTGGATCGTCTCCTAATTTAAATCCATCTATTCTGATTTTCTTTGGTTTGTATCGTTCTAGTTGTTCATAGACGTGATTCTGTAGACCACTGACACCAGCTCCCATGGCACTAGACTGTCTTCTGGTACTACTCTGTCTAGTGGCACCACGAGCTGAAAAATATTGATGAAATGAAATGAAATAGGGTTGAACATGCTACTGTTATGCTTTGATTGGGCTAATGACAGGGGGAGGGGATGGATGGACCAATGGTTAGCGCGTGCACATTGAATCATAAGGTCTGTCACTGAGTTAACTGGCGTGGTTTCCATTCCCCGTTAGTATGAGACAAGGAGCAGGGTTTCCTCCCACTGCTAAAGACCCCTGCTAACGCAAACGAATTATTGAAATAAAATTAAACCATATTAGTTATTTGGATGGGACAAAAAAAACGAGGTCCTGTGTATACATCGGCGTACCTGTAAAAGATTGTACAGTGTACGCCAGTCTTTATTAGCCCAGTTGGAGCAAAACAGTAGGACATCAAACCCCATTTCATTTCATTTTTATACTCCATATAAACTTATACCCTGTATATTATGTAAAATACATTATGTGAGACATTAAACCCCATTTCATTTCATTTTTATACTCCATATAAACTTATACCCTGTATATTATGTAAAATACATAATGTGAGACATTAAACCCCATTTCATTTCATTTTTATACTCCATATAAACTTATACCCTGTATATTATGTAAAATACGTTATGTGAGACATTAAACCCCATTTCATTTCATTTTTATTTCATTTCATACTCCATATCAACTAATTCCCCCTGTAAAATATGTTATGTGAGACTTTAAACTCAATTTATTTTCATTTCATTTCATTTCATTTTTATACTCCATATCAACTTATACCCCGTAAAATACGTTATGTGAGACTTTAAACCCAATTTAATTTCGTTTCATTTTATACTCCATATAATATCTACCTAATCCTATATGTATATTCTATGAATGGAAAAACAGTAAAATATGACAATCCGACTTATACTCCACATTAATTTATACCCCTTAAATGAAATGAAATGAAATGGGGTTTAACGTCCTACTGTTCTGCTCCTATACTGGGCTAATGAAGACGGGCATTTGCCATACAGTGTGCTATGAGGTAAATTTTGCCTGGGCAGCGGCACTATCGCCTACTCTTATATCAAATTCCAACTGCCAAGGGATCTTTTACGTGCATTCCAATGTATACACGGGACCTCGGTTTTTCGTCTCATCCAAAGGACTAGACAGCTGTCCTTGTCAGGCCCCCCGTTCTGCACCACTGACAAGGGGAAACCATGTCGGAAAATTATACCCCTTAAAATATGACGATTCAACTTAAACCCTGTAAAATATGCTGATTCAACTTATACCCCGTAAAATATGACGATTAGATGTATACTCCACGTCGACTTACACTCCGTCAAATACTCTATGTGAGATATATTTACCTGATCCTATATGTATATTCTGTATATCAGCTTCTTCTGTCTGTGGTGTAAACACTGAGAAATAATGTTCAGCATGGGCCTGATTTAAAAATAAACCTTCGTGTAAAGATGACATCGGAAACTCGGAAAAACTGGACAAACTACAAAATATATAAAACTAAAATAAATCATTATTGTTAGCTAATTTCATTCATTTGTTGATCAAAAGCTTTATTTGTGTTTAATTCACATCAATAAACTATGAAAGTTATATTTATAGCACGACTTTCATGAGTTAACACGTTTAACCAGAGGCTGTAGGCCGAGGCGTTAAACCTATTAACGAATGAAGCGTGCTATAAATGACTTGTAACATGGACACCTGCTCAACATGCTTGTTGTTTTTGCACAGAAAACTACTCCACTTCAGTATAGGATTTCTACTAAAACTGGCGTAAACTAGCAAAAGTGTGCAATAACATTGAACATGTCTAGTTATTGCATGGTTAAGCACCACCCAATCTACTAGAGGGAAAACAATCGGCTTATTTAACGAAAAGAACAAAGGAAGATTTCCCGTCCATGTTACAATGGGGTTTAATGTCCTACTTTTCTGCATCAACCGGGCTAATGAAAGCTTTTTTTATGTGCACATCAACGTTTACACAGATGGACCTCGTGGGGGGGGGGGGGGGGGCTGTCCCATCCAAAAGACTATGCACACTTTTCCCATGAGTAAATAAGGTGAGGTCCCTAACAAGTGAAGATCAAGTTTTAAAATTCGCAAAGATTCTTCTTGGCCCACACCTGGATTCAAACCTAAACAAATGGCCGCTCAACGACGGCGGCCCCATTTTCTTATGTAAAAGCCGTGTTTGACTCTTGTCACTGGTGTGTGACAGAAGGCCTGTCAAGGGACAATATACAGTCTTTCAGATAGCAAGGAACACTGAGGTCCCGTGTATACATTGGCGTGCACATAAAAGATCCCTTGGCAGTTGGAATTCGATATAAGAGTATGCCATAGTGCCGCTGTCGGGGCAAAATTTCCCTCATAGCACACTGTATGGCATATGCCCATCTTCATTAGCCCAGTTCGGAGCAGAACAGTAGGAAGTTAAACTCCATTTCATTTCATTCGTATGAAAAGACAACATTTTTCTAGACACGTTCAACCCCATTTCTCCCTCTCTCCCATTCAGTCATCCAACCTCGCTACAATGAAGATAACATGACGATTACCCCTGTTCTTGAATGCTGTCTATTACTTCAATAAAATTTAACGCATACTGTTTTTGTCCGCGAACATATGATAGCTGATTAGGATCTAGTCTGAAGACACACTGAAATTCAAAATAAGTATTACTTTATTAGTTATAAGAATTAAAATAAAATTAAATTTGAAAGAATTACCTCCCTTGACAGAATCCAGGACGACATTTTCAATATATTTCAATCTACACAAGTTCACTGATTGAATTTCAAATCTAAAATAATCTGACATTCACAAGAGAATCTATCTTATTCAAATTCATTAACATATTAGTTAAAGATACATTATGAGAAATTAGATAAAGAGTTGGCAGTTCGTGCTATAATAGTTAAAAACTAGATAATGTAAAGGCAATTTGCTGAAAATTTCAGTCAAATTGCTCCACTCTGAACCGAGATATTAGCTTTTGAATTTTAGGCTAGTCTCCATCATCATTACTAAAGTCAGTACAATGAAACACAAACTCTCGATTATCCATTACAAAATGTATTCAAATTCAGAAAATAATTATCAAGAGTTAATAATTAACGTCTAATTAATAATTTAGATAACATTTGAGGCCTAAAGAAAGACCTGCAGTAGGCAGATTTAGCTCTTGCATAATGTATGTTTAATAACTTGCAATAGTGTCATAGTAACAGTCTTGAAAACAGAACAGGACTTAAAGATACATTATGGGAGATTCGATAACGAGTTGGCTGTTCTCACTATAATAGTTAAAAACTAGATAATGTAAAGGCAATTTGCTGAAAATTTCATTCAAATTGATCCACTATGAACTGAGAACTAAGCGATTGAAATTTCCGCCTAGCCTCGATCATCATTACTAAAGTGAGTACGATAAACAGCATAGTCTCGATTATCCATTTAATCGTTAAATCGTGAAGGAAAGTTATGCAGTAAATCGGCTCATAATCCACTAAAGATTGCAGGCTAGCGATGCCATCTAGAGTTGATTATGGTCTGAATAGGTTAATTAATGTCTAATTAATAATTTAGATAACATTTCAGGCCTAAAGAAAGTTCTGCAATAGAGAGATTTAGCTCTTACATAATGTATGTTTAATTTTGTTCTTTCAGTATTTAGTGACAATTTGTTCATAAACTCTTACCTCTACATAGATATATTTATTGCCAATAACAGCATCACTGACAGACTGTAAAAATGTTCCCTGAAATATGAGAGAGAGAGAGAGAAATGGGGTTTAACATCCACTCGACACAAATCAGGTCATTCATTACAGGACTAACATATGGTTCAGTTTTATATCAATAATTCCCTTGTACGTTCGGGTCTCTAGCAGTGGGAGGAAACTGAAGGACGGGGAGAAAACCTATTGGACAGGAGACCCCACTCCCTGTCACGTACAAGCGGGGAAGTGAAACCTTGTGATCAAACGTGCACACCATAACTATTCGCCCCCCCACCCCCACCCCAAGTTTTAAAATTATTTTTTTTACCCAAAAAGACAAGCAAGAAGTAAAATTTTACGTTCCTAAAGAACAGAATCTTATACCTTGTCTTCTTGAATACCTGCAGGATCCCAGAACGCCTGACTCCAGTCTTCTCTGGTTCCTTCTCCAATACGTACAGGTACATTTACACCTGACAAAAATATTTAATTCAAAAATATTTAAATGCTGAAATTTGATCAATTTATGGGAACAATCTGATTCAAATACAGATCTATATTTCGTTTCGGATTTTTATACTTTAGATGGCGTACACTCCATGAAGATCTGAAAAGTTATAGCGATAGGTCACGTCAGGGGTCAAAAGACCGACTTATGACCCTATGATGTCAGACATTTGATTAACCAATCAGCATTGATGTTACTAGTGGATTACCCACAGTTCCGTGCAAAACACGCCTAAAGCTCGCCGTAACAGACCGTTTCATTGGCTTATCCCTGACACCATTCAGAACATGAGTTAAATAACAAGTCTTCCAGATCCAAGTGTAGTAAAGACAAGTAAAACGAAATTTTGAACTATAAAAACGAAACAAAATAATGATCTGTGTTTTAACCAGATTGAACATGGGTATTAGTCTAAAAACATCAATGATATTCATACATTGAATTTCAAGACCGTCGCTAAATGGTATAAATGAAATGAAATAAGGTTTAACGTCCTACTGTTCTGCTCTGACTGGGCTAATGAAGACGGACACATGCCAGAAAGTATGCCATTAGGGAATACGGCCTATTCTTATATCGAATTCCAACTGTCATGGGATCTTTTATGTGCACACCAATCCGAATGACTAGACAGCTGTCCTTGTCAGGCCCTAATACCTTGGTATCTTTTAGGGCAAAAATTATTGATAGAAGGAATTAGAAGTAATATAATAAAAATTCCTCCAATACCCACCTAGTATTCTGTGGTTTGGATCTCTGTACATAGAATCAATGTCTTTCATTATATTATTAATAAACAAAGGCACTCCCTGTTAATACAAGACAAACATTTACTAACATTATTAAAGACACCATCCTGATTTGAACAGTGTCTCAAAAATAAAAGTCCATTTACGTATGAAATTTAAGCGCCAAAATATAGAGGAATGGTGTATTTATCTTGTCTCAAAATTTCAGCTCAAAATATTGACTTGTAACCCTTTTAAAATTTAGGGTCAATTTTTTCGTTGGGTTACCCAATAATCGATTACTGTTCCTTTGGAGGTCTATACAGTGCTGTACTTGATAACGAAAGGTAAATTTCACCTACACGTTATTTTCATAAAATAAAAGTCTTGGGACACCGGTGGGTTTAACTTGTTTGAAAACGTAGCACGTATACTGAGTTAGTTGCTCGGCTCTAAGGTAGAGGTTTTTAGGGGCCTTTAACACAAAATTACGCAGTTTTATTCTTCAAAATATAATCGAAATTGGCCCTTTAAACAATGACACGGACAGGGTCAATTCTGAACTAACAGATGATACAAAGTTCAATAATTTGCTTGTGTGTAGGGGAGAACCTGTTGAATACCCTACTCCTTGCGATCGTAACAATGTCACTTGACTCAATGACAGACCTTATGATCTAAAGTCTACGAGTTAATCCTGACTATAAGTAAGACATATATACCTGTTGAACTGAAGGACCAGATATGATATACGTTATTCTAAGTTGTATCAGATGAGACTGGGAATAGAAGGATCCTAGAAATATCGTTGTTCCAACTAGAGCTACCATAGCTTGAACCTAAATAAAACATAATCGTTACAACTAGAGCTACCATAGCTTGAACCTAAATAAAACATAATCGTTACAACTAGAGCTACCATAGCTTGAACCTAAATAAAACATAATCGTTACAACTAGAGCTACCATAGCTTGAACCTAAATAAAACATAATCGTTACAACTAGAGCTACCATAGCTTGAACCTAAATAAAACATAATCGTTACAACTAGAGCTACCATAGCTTGAACCTAATTAAAACATAATTGTTACAACTAGAGCTACCATAGCTTGAACCTAAATAAAACTTAATCGTTACAACTAGAGCTACCATAGCTTGAACCTAAATAAAACATAATTGTTACAACTAGAGCTACCATAGCTTGAACCTAAATAAAACATAATTGTTACAACTAGAGCTACAATAGCTTGAACCTAAATAAAACATAATTGTTACACTAGAAATATAGTTGTTCCAACTAGAGCTACCATAGCTTGAACCTAAATAAAACATAATTGTTACACTAGAAATATTGTTGTTCCAACTAAAGCTACCATAGCTTGAACCTAAATAAAACATAATCATTATATTAGATAGAAGAATTAATTTGGGTTGGATGAGGGAATGAGAAGTTAACAACAGGTTTCCATAATGAGAGAGAGAGAGAGAGAGAGTGAGAGACAGAGAGAGGGGTGTTAACATCCACTTGACACAAACTATGTCATTTCGGGACTAAAATATGGTTCAATTTTATTTTGATAATTCGCCTGCGCATAGGGAAATCAGAGGACTCAGAGAAAACACACGAGGTTGGACAGGCGACCCTACTCCTTGTCATGTACAACCCAGGAATCAAAACCATGCAACAACCATTTGGCCATCCAACCCCCCAAAAGCAATATCAAGAAAAGTTATTATGAATTTACTGTGTAGTCTTCATCATCAAGTATTTCTTCTGTTTTAGGTGTGATGTTATCAACCAGCCATTTATAATGTAATAATGTTGTTGGATTTACTGTAGGTAAAATACTGGATAATCCCCACACACATGGATTCTCTCTCAGTGTATAAAGATTTAATATATTGGTTTCTTGCAACATACGACCTGTCAATATAAATATATTAAACATACATTATGCAAGAGCTAAATCCTCCTATTGCAGGTCTTTCTTATGGCTTCAAATGTTATTTAAATTATTATCTAGAAATTTATTAACTAGTTAGACAATACTTAAAGGAGCTAAATCGCTAATATTTTGGACCTAGAAATTGACACAAATAGGTCGTAACGCATAGAATAAGTAATAGGAATATATATAAACTGATTTACATTCAATCGTTTCCATTTTTACTCTAATTTAAAATCAGTTACGTTCGGCGAAATATGTCAGAAGTCTCAATCGAATGAAAATTTCTAGCGTCTGGTTATTCTAGTCTACATTGTATTTATTGCGCATACTCTCCCGATATGAATATGCCGTCACCGTTTGACATGACTTTTTGAATGTCTAGCCTCGTTCTTCGAGTGCCTTGAATATCAGAAGCCCATCTTTTCCCGGTAAGATCACAACATCAATTTTGTTTTAAATTGACAAATAATTCATGTTTTCAATGTCGGAGATTTTGGATGATATTGAGTTAGAGACTTAGCTACTTTAACTAATTAAAAGTCTATATAACATTTCAGGCCTAAAGAAAGACCTGCTATAGGCAGATTTACCTCTTGCATGATCAATTTGAATAAAACTTTTCATGGCAAAAATTAAGCCATGAAAAACTAGATATTGTTCTAGAAATACAAATGACGTCTATAAATTCTATGGCCTGTGGTCTTAAGTCTATACCTAACATATAATACAATGCTCTTATATGAAAACATAAGACAATGGAATCCTTACAATCAAACCTAACTAATGCTAGGTTCCAACTGTCATGCGATGCGTTACGATAGGATTGCCCCCTTCGAGTCCACGATCTGGTATGTGCAGATATGCTCGGATTCGTTTCGATATGATCAACAGGATTTCTACGAATGACCTCAATATTTGATAAGACCTGATAGGATCACCACGACTACTCCACGATTAAAATCACTATATCCATCGTAGCGCGAATCGTGATAGTGGGAAGCTAGCATAACATATGCATCATAAAAAGTCTGTGAAACCTAACCTCTCTCTGTAGCATGATTAAAAGATTGCATCCAAAACTTTAATATTATGACAATAATTTGGGTACTAATCAACAAATAATTTTATTTCAATTCTAAATAATTGATTTTTAAAATAATCTTACCAAGAGCCATTTCTATCCTCTCTATTGTATCTGACTCCAAATAAAATCTACAATAAAAAAAAAATCACCACAATTTACAAATTATCTCCCTTTAGTGTGTCAAGGGAGATAATTGTTAAAGCACCATTAAACATATTACGCAGTCCTCCAGTATACACACTACTCTAGAATGCAAATAAAAGAATTCTTGGCAGTTGGAAATCAAAGAAAAGAAGGTAGAAATGCAGCTGTCCAGGCCAAATTCTCCCAGTTGAATTGTAAATGTAATCATTGAAATAAAAAATACCTCAATGGCGTACACGTAAAAGAACCTTGGCGGTTAGAATTTCATGATGAGCAGGCAGAAACAGAACTATTTGGGTAAAATTCTTGCCATGTACACCAAGGAGTTTGGATGGTTTTGGATCATATGGTCTGTCGTTGAGTCAAGTGATCATGGTTTCGATCCAACTCTTGTATGGGACAAAACAGAGGGGCGCCTGTCTAAACTCATGGGTTTTCTCCTGGTCCTCTGGTTTCCTCCTACTGCTCAAAGACTCCTACACTCAATGTTAATTCCGGAACGACCTAGTTTGTGTCAAGTGGAAGTTAAACCCCATTTCTCTCTATGCATGTGTTAGTCTCAAAATAACCAACACATTAAGTTGACAAGGCGTTAAAACACCATTCTACCTATAATTTACCTCTCTGAAAATTTTCTCATCCTAACAACAAAACCAGCGTATGGATTATACGGTAGATCCGTTCTGTTCAATAATCTGTCCAACACCAATCTAAAATTAGCATCTAATCCGGTCTTTTCTAAATATTCCCGTATTTGGTTGTTTAGTCGAGCGTTTGGACCAGATGGTACGTCATATTTCGCTCTTGCTAAGATTTCTGATGCCTGAAAATAAGAAGACAATCAATAAAACTGAATAAGATCAAGCTATTTACACATCAGGCCATTTGTCGTTCTCTACGAAATATATTTAGACCATTAATAGTTTGTTATTTTGACGGAGGGGCTGACAAGGAAAGCTGTCTAGTCGTTCGGATGGGACGAAAAACCGACGTCCCGTGTACACATTGGCGTGCACGTAAAAGATCCCTTGGCAGTTGGAATTCGATATAAGAGTAGGCCGTAGTGCCGCTGTCCGGGCAAAATTTCCCTCATAGCACACTGTGTGGCGTATGCCCGTCTTCATTAGCCCAGGTTAGGAGCAGAAAAGTAGGACGTTAAACCCCATTTCATTTCATTTCATTTCATTTGTTATTTTGATAAATTTGGATTAAAGGCTCTGTGCACTGTTTTCATTTTGTGGAAAATATCATATTTTTCATAATTTATTCACTACTTAAAGTAGCTAAGTCTCTAACTCAATATCATCCAAAATCTTCGACATTAAAAACACGAATTATTTGTCAATTTAAATCAACATTGATGTTGTGATCTTACGGGGAAAAGATGGGCTTCTGACATCCAATAATTAAGACAAAATAAACATTTTACCTTTGGTACATGAATCGTGTACCATGGTGCATTTCAGGGCCATTTTTAACAAGGGACTCGTAGAAAGAGGCTAGATATATTCCACAAGTCATGTCGAACGGTGACGTCATATTCTTATCTGGAGAGCATGCTCAATAAATACTATCGGAATAGAGTGGAATAACCAGACACTAGAGATTGCCATTGGATTGAGACTTCTGGCGTATTTCGCGGAACATAACTGATTAGAAATTGCAGTAAAAACAGAAACGATTGAATGTAAATCAGTTTATATACATTCATATTACATTATTATATGCGTTGCGACCCATTTGTGTCAATTTCTAGGCCCCAAATATTAGCGATTTGGCTCCTTTAAATGTACTCAAATTGAGTATTAACATTTAATAAAAATAGAACAATCAGATTACAGAGAGAGAGAGAGAGAAATGGGGTTTAACGTCCACTCGACACAAACTAGGTCATTCCGGGACTAACATATGGTTTTAATTTTATTTCAATAATTCGCTTGCGCATAGGGGTCTTTAGCAGTGGGAGGAAACCGGAGGACCCGGAGAAAACCCACGAGGTTGGACAGGCGACCCTACTCCTTGTCACGTACAACCAGGGATTCGAAACCACGCCAGTCGACTAAATGACAGACTTTATGATACAGCGCGCGCACGCTAACCATTCAGCCATCCAACCCCCCATCAGATTACAGAGAGGCCTGTCAAAAGATATAGCATATATTGTAGGTGCCAGCTTGTTAAGTTGAAATCCTGGTAATATTGTTTGCAGAGGATGCTGAGTGTTGACAAATTTTCAATTCATCACATCTTTGTAAATACCTTAAAGTTACAATTTCATATTTTCTAAGAAAGTCAAAACATAATTATTTCTATGTCTTTTGCTCAATAGGTTGTCAACTCACTATTATACGATCATAGGTTATCTTTCTCACACTTAAAAATCTTCACACCGGAAATAATAACACAATTACCTCCCAATTACCTCCCTTGTTTTCCTATTCCCCACCATGGAATAGCTATCTTCAAACAACATTTGAATTTGAAGTTGAAAATGATATTTTTGCCAATTTCTCAACTGGCAATAGTGAATTATAGGATTAATAGGATTATTCTTTAACAAGGTAGGACTGTTTATAGATACCATCTATTTAAGGGCTTTATTTTAATACATTTTAAAAATATAACTTAAAAATATGAAATTGAAATTATAACTTTAACAAAATTAAAGCACTTTTGAATTGATATTCCCTTTAGAGATTCAAATTTTACAATATTGTGTGTGTGGGTGGGGGTGGTGAATGGCCGAATGGTTAGCACATGCTAACTGAGACAATATTAACAAGAAAGACTTTTAAAAAATCTTTAGGGTTTATATCTAAATTTTCATGGTCTTAGGACATCCTTAAATGACAATCAATGGCTTTAAGAATAAATGAATTGCTGACTTACATCTGACTGTACTGATTCTGGTTCTGATATGGTTGCTAGACTTGGAGCAGCTGATCCACCTCGGGACTGTCTTCGTACCACGGGAGGAGGCTGACCAGCAGGGGATTGAGGTTTCCTACCATTACTGCTAGGTTTGTATTGAGCTTTTTGCTGTTTGAGTAAATGAAATATGATAAAATATCTTTGGGTATTATCCTTTCAATGTTTCTATTGAGAGAGAGAGAGAGAGAGAGGGGGGAGAGGGAGAGGTTTATGGTACAATTTTATTTCAATAACTTGCTTGAGCATAGGGCCCCAGGGGAAAGGTGTGCAGGCGACCCTACTCCTTGTCACATACTACATGTAGCTTGGGATCAAAACTACACTACTTGACTCAATGACAGACCTAATGATCTAAAGCGTTAGCATTAGACTGACCACATGCTGCCCCAATGTATCGCATTAAATGTATTTAGTTTTCTGTATAGAAATGCAATGGGATTCAATCCCCTATTTTTCTGCACCCCTTCGGCTAATGAAGACGGGTATAGCATATATATGTCATGTAGTGTCTTATGAGGGAAACAGACAGATCGGTTAATTTCCACCTTCTCTCTCTCTCTCTCTCTCTCTCTCTCTCTCTTATTTTTATCTATCAAAATACAAAGGGATTTAACTTTCTATTTTTCTGCACACCTTTGGCTAATGAAGATGTCATATAGTGTGCTATGAAGAAAGTAGACAGCTCAGTTTCGATCAACCACCTCTCCATGCAACTCTAGCTGGCTGTCAAAGATTTCTTTTAGGCCAATCCAACGAATAGCCACTGTTTCCTTGCCGGGCCCTCCATCCTGCGCCACTAACAAGCGGGAGATCAGGATGCAAAAATGCTGAATCTGTCCACCACTGCAACTAAATGAGAGTTATAGCTTTCAATTCATATTAAATGCATCACAAGCTTATAGAAACTAAACTTGTTTTAATCAATAACATTAATTATCATGCTCAAAAAATATATTTCATGAACCTACTTTGTTTGACTTTGCTTTATTATCAGCTGCTTTATTTTTATTGGTTGACATCCTCGCTGATGAAACTTTTGGCTACCAATAAATAAAATTTGTAACCACCTAGCCAAAGTGGGTCCGATGTTACGGTATTATCTTCATTTTGCACCAAATAACCTTCCCCCTACCAGTGGATTAACTACAATTTTAACAATTTTTGATGAAATTGAGTCATCAAATTTATCCTCTTGTTTTTTTGTATATGTTATCTGTTGAAGATTAGTAATCTGTTGAAGATTAGTAATCAGATAAGTACCGATAATAAAAGTTGCATGAATAATTTCCAAAAATATTATTTTGTAATTTGCCAGTTGATAAACTATAAAGTTAACTAAAACAACTGAAAGTTATCAAACTTTTTGTCATCAGATCGTAAATGTTGCGAAAATAAAAAACATGTTTGTTTGGGTTTTTTTCATTAACTGTAAAACGTCTGTCAGCCTTGTCAAAACATATTCTCTGTCATGACATGTCACATCCAACCAAAACAATGTCACGTGGTTTCAAACACGTGCGTCGCAAACGTAAACAAAAGATGGCGACGTAGTAACAGCTTTCTATCAATTTATATTGATTATTGATCGAACGGAATGATTTTTATAGTCTAATCATGCTTAGAATGCAACTTAATTATTATTAATAGCGTTAGTACAATAATTCGTGGACAGGTCTCGTGAAGTGTTACTTCCGGTTGCTTGTAAATAAGCAAGATGGCCGCGCCCAGTGAAGAACGTGAATTTGGAAGAAAACCGAAAATTATCAAATCTGTATCTAAATCAAGCACAGAAAAACGATTAATTGTTGTTCTCGAAAAAGCCTCATTAGAAACAGTCAAGGTTATTTAAATTTTGATGTAATTTGAGGGCTTAAAAAGTATATATTTTTACGCCCACAAAATAACGAAATATTGAAAATGGTTATTTGTTTACATGTACTCTGTAGCTAAATACAGCACGTGGTTTTGCCCACGTGCAGATACTGGATAATCAGACAACTCGGACCAAAGACCACTCGAACCAAGACAGTTGATAGACCACTTGGACCGAGATAGAACTAGAAGACAACTCAGACTAATATTAAGCTTTACTTTTACTAATTCGCTTCATAATTAAAATCAAAGACTACATAATTGTTATTTTTAACTTATAAGACCACATGATTGAGATTAGTTCTCCGATGTTTTTATAATAAAGTAGCCTCGGTATTCTAACTTGGGATGAGTTGTCTTCTTTCTTGGGATGAGTTGTCTTCTTTTTTGGGATGAGTTGTCTTGGGATAAGTTGTGTTTGGGATGAGTTGTCAGGTATTCAGTAGCCTTGTATTCAGTATTGATTGGCTTTCTGATATTTAAGACTGTTTTAGCAGATTAAATGTGTAATTGTAAGCTATGTCTGTTACATGAAACAAAACAATTGCATGAAAGTTGCGACTCTGGAATCACTTGAAATTATTATTAGTCCCAGTGGTCTTCTGTCTTGGTCCGAGTGGTCAACTGGTCCAACTTGTCTTTGTCCAGGCGGTTATGCATTCATATATTGCACAAGGATTTACCCACAATTCACCGTCTTACACCCGAAGCTAATTTAGTTGAAAGATCCTGCTACGTCTGATTCATTTTTCTACATTGCTTATATTTACTGTCGGCCATTGCTACAATCCCTGCATTGGCCCAGAAAGTTCATCCAGATTGTCAGTGATGCAGGACGGAGGGCCTGACAAGGACAGCTGTCTAGTCATTCGGATGAGACAAAAAACCGAGGTCCCGTGTATACATTGGAATGCGCGTAAAAGATCCCTTGGCAGTTGGAATTCGATATAAGAGTAGGCGATAGTGCCGCTGCTCGGGCAAAATTTCCCTCATAGCACACTGTATGGCGTATGCCCATCTTCATTAGCCCAGCATAGGAGCAGAACAGTTGGACGTTAAACCCCCATTTCATTTCATTTCATTTTGTCGGCCATTGCTAAAACCTTCAGTGCAGCTGATAGGTTATTGTTAGCTACCATTGAGCCCCTTTATTTCATTTCACCTTGCTATTGCCTAAGTGGGTATAACGCTGGCTCGCTAGCCTGGAGATCGCGTGTTTGATTCCTGCATTGGCAGAGAAAGTTCGTCTGGATTTTCCGACGTGGTTTCCACTTGTCAGTGATGCAGGAAGGAGGACCTGACAAAGACAGCTGTATAGTCGTTCGGATAGAATGAAAAACCAAGGTACCATGTATACATTGGCATGCACGTAAAAGATCCCTTGGCAGTTGGAATTTGATTTGAGAGTAGGCCAGTATAGTGCCGCTGCCCGGGCAATATTTCCCTCATAGCATGCTGTATGGCGTATGTCAGTCTTCATTAGCCCAGTCGGAGCAGAACAGTAGGACGTTAAACCTCATTTCATTCATTTCATTTCCTTGCTATCGCATTTTCTTTATTAATAAGTATAATGATTTGCCAACAAAAGGCAGACATTGTGTTAAATCCCAGCAAGCACATGACTTAAAACCTAATACATGTAGTTATCAAATTTCCTATTTCAGACCGGAAAATCTTATGAATTATTAAATTGTGATCGACATAAACATTTATCTAAAAAATTTAAAAAAGATATTTCACAATGCAGACCAGATATTACTCATCAGGTAACTATTATAACTTGTTTTGTGTGTGGTGTGGTCCTCCTGCTCTTACATTTGAGCGATTTATGGAGTAATAATCACTGGTTTATTAACATGCAATGTTTCGACGATGATACTCTCCTCGTCTTTATCAGGGGGGTTGGATGGCCGAATGGTTAGCATGTGCGTGCTGTACCATAAGGCCTGTCATTGAGTCAACTGGCATGGTTTCGAATCCCCGGTTGTACGTGACAAGGAGTAGGGCTGCCTGTCCAACCTCGTGGGTTTTCTCTGGGTCCTCCGGTTTCTCCCACTGCCAAAGACCCCTACGAGCAAGCGAATTATTGAAATAAAAAATTAAACTATATGTTAGTCCTGAAATGACCTAGATTCTCTCTCTTACTTCTTTATCCCTCGATGAATTTAACATTTCGCAACATTGAACATCTTAAGCGAGTCATCGACTCCTGTAAGGGATGGGTAAAATATTCTCATGGATCTCATTTGAATCTGATTGAATCCAAACCAAGAGATTATCTGCCATTGATATTTTGTTTTCTTGATTAAATGTTAAATTATTGATTTAACTACATTTGGTAAATACTGACAAACCCAATTCCTTAGATACCAGTACGTATATATCCCTGGATAGCCCAAAACTATTGCTCCTTAGGGGGCCACGGTGGCTCAGTGAGTAGGACGTCGGCTTGCTAACCTGGAGGTCCCATGTTCAATCGCTACATAGGCCGAGAAAGTTCATCAGGATTTTCGGGCATGCTTCCTCCATGTCTGGTGCAGAACCAAGGGCCTGGCAAGGGACAACATAGTCGTTCGAATGGGATGGAAAACCAAGGTCCCTTGTACACACAGTTGGAATTTGATATAAGAGTAGGCCATAGCGCCGCTGTCAAGGCAAAATTTCCCTCATAGCACACTGTATGGCATATACCTGTCTTCATTAGCCCAGTCAGAGCAGAACAGTTAGTTAACCACATAGCACACTGCACAGCGTATGCCTGGATGGAGCAGAATAGTAGGACATTAAACCCCCATTTCGTTTCATATCCTTGTATGTGAGTCACATAATGTGACACAACCATGGGCGTCACACATGGGGGGGTCTGAATATACTTGGACCCCCCAAAAAATTTACATAGTAGGCCCAAACTCCTATTTATTTACAACAATTATTAGGTTTGGTAAGATTCTATCTATATAAAACCTGTACATATCCCAATATGGTTTATACTGCTAAAATAAAACACAGAGATAATCATCCTGGAAACATGTGTGAAGTGAAAAGTACCTGTGTTCCGTAAAATTGTGTCTAGTTTGCATATCAGTAATATTTTGTTAATTTTTTTCTGCCACTTATCAGAGTGAATCGCATGTAGGTACCCAAAAATATAACCGCCAGCAACGTAACCATAATGCTTTTGCACGTGGTGTCTTGGTAGACAGCATGGCCACATGGTGTTTGTTTATATTTTTTAGGAGTTTTAAAAAATGGGTTGGGGTTAGGGTTTAGGGTTGCGGACCCCCCCAATATATATGTCACGGCTACGCCTCTGGACACAACTGAATGTAACTCGTGTTTATTTTGTTGTTTCAGTGTCTATTAATGTTAATGGATAGTCCGTTAAATAGAGCTGGTTTATTACAAGTTTATATTCACACAGAAAATAATGTCTTAATAGAGATCAATCCACAAACTAGAATACCCAGAACATTTGAACGATTCTGTGGTCTTATGGGTAAGTCACAATCTGATTAAACACAGATCCTATTTCGTTTCGTTTACTTGTCCTTACTATACTAGGATCTGGAAGAGTTGTTATCATTGACCTGTTCTGAATGGTGTGAGGAATTAGCCAATGAAACAGTCTGTTACGGCGAGCTTTAGGCGTGTTTTGCACGCAACTGTGGGTAATCCACTAGTAACATCAATTCTGATTGTTAAATCTGACGTCATAGGGTCAAAATTCACTCGTATGACCTCTGACGCGAAATATCGCTACATTCGTTCAGATCTTCATGTAGTGTAGGCTATCGAAAGTATAAAAAAACGAAACGAAATAAAGATCTGTATTTTAATCAGAATGGGTAAGTCATCATGGATATACATGTGTAACAACACATCCAACAAATGTCTAAATTGTTTACACAACAGTTAGTAACGGAGTAGAAAATTACACATGACATACGTAAAACTTTTAAAGGGGCATTTTGGGAGATTAGATAATATGCTGACAGTTCTTTCTATAATAGTTAAAAAAATAGATAACGTAAATAGAATATGCTGAAACATTTTTAGTCAAATTACTCCACTCTGAATGGAGATATTAGCGATTGAATTTTAGGCCTAGCCTCGATCATCATTACTAAAGTTAGTAAGATAAAAAAAAACATAGTCTCAATTATCTATTTATGAATTTAATCATCATTGAGCGTTGAGCAGCAGATCAGATTCAAATCCAATGAAAATCCGACACACAAGATGGCATCAAGAGTTGATTAAGGTCTTTTGATGTTAATTAATGTCTAATTAATAGTTTATAAAACATATCAGTCCTAAAGAAAGACCTGAAATAGGCAGATTTATGTTTCAGCAGCATTTAGTAAGGGAATAGAATAAAACAGGACACGCTTAAACTTATAAGTAACTTGTATAATAGATAACATTTCAGACCTAAAGAAAGATCTGCAATAGGCAGATTTAGCTCTTGCATAATGTATGTTTAAGCAGCATTTAGTAACTTGTATAATGTATAATTGTGTCATGTGTTATACAAATATCTATTGAAATTGACATGATGATTTCGGATATGTAGCATCGTAGTCTCTATCATCCAGAAAAATATTCTACAAATATTAGTCTGGATGCGTTGTCAACATTTGAGAAAAATAGGTCATTGGCTAGATTATCTGGTCTTTTACATTATCATAAACAAAGTCTAAGGGAGGCAACTAGTCATAAAACAAGATGTCGACATCCATGAAATTAATTTAAAGAACTGGACAGATATAAATGTGCGATATTTCTTCTTTTTCAGTTCAGTTACTCCACAAATTAAGTATACATGCTTCAGATGGTCCACAAAAATTATTAAAGGTAGGACGTTTTATTACTTAAAGATACATTATGGGAGATTCGATAACGAGTTGGCAATTCTCACTATAATAGTTAAAAACTAGATAATGTGAAGGCAATTTTCTGAAAATTTCATTCAAATTAATCCACTATGAACCGAGAATTAAGCTATTGAAATTTCCGCCTGTCTTCGATAATCATTACTAAAGTCAGTACGATAAACTGTATAGTCTCGATTATCCATTTCATCGTTAAATCGTGAAGGAAAGTTATGCAGTAAATCGGATCATAATCCACTAAAGATCGCAGGCTAGCGATGCCATCTAGAGTTGATTATGGTCTGGATAGGTTAATTAATGTCTAATTAATAATTTAGATAACATTACAGGCCTAAAGAAAGACCTGTAATAGGCAGATTTAGCTCTTCCTCCCACTGATAAAGACCCCCTACGTGCAAACAAATTATTGAAATATATTGAACCATATGACCTAGTTTGTATTTAGTGGACTTTAAACTACATTCCTCTCTCTCTCTCTCTCTTTCTTTCTATTAATGCTCTGACTCTTTAATGTCATTGAAACAATTTCCTAATTTCAGGTTATAAAAAATCCTGTGACAGATCACCTTCCTGTGGGTTGTACGAAACTAGGTACATCATTTCAAGCCGAGGAAGTGGTCAATCCTAGAACCTTAGTACCTAAAGATAGTCCAATGGTTGTAGTCATAGGAGCCATGGCACACGGCAAAGTGAGTAGGGCCTACTTTATTTTGGTTTCAGAAAACTTTTGTTGTAAATAGATAAGATCCTTATAATTACATGCCTTTGTGTAATCAAGGGACATACCTTCATGTAATCAAGGGACATACCTTTGTGTAATCAAGGGAATACCTTCTTGTAATCAAGGGACACACCTTTGCATAATCAAGGGACATACCTACGTGTAAATTGAGGGACATACCTTTGTGTAATCAAGGGACATACCATTGTGTAATCAAGGGACACACCTCCGTGTATATCAAGACATACCTTCTTTTATCAAGGGAATACCTTTGTGTAAGCAAGGGACATACCTTTGTGTAATCAAGAGAATACCTTTGTGTAATCAATGGACATGCCTTCATGTCATCAAGGGACATGCCTCATTGAGCACTGGCACACTAACTAGGAGGTTCTGGTTCAATATCAATGTCGACAGTATCCAGTTGTTTGGATTTACAACAAAAAAAAATCTAGGTCCCATATATGCCAATACCATTCGCAGTATGTTAAAGATCCCTTGAGAGTTATAAATCGAAATAAACATAGGCCATAGCACCACTGCCTGGACAAAATTTCCCTCTTAGCACACTGCATTACATATGTCTGTCTTCATTAGCCCAGTTGAAAAGCCAGACGTTAAACCCAATTTGATTTCCTAATGTCTATGTTTGGGAACCCAGGTGGCGTGGTGAGTATATGGTTAACTCACTCACCAGGAGGTTCGGTGTAATATTTCCCTCAAAGCACACTGCATGGTGTACGAAATGAAATGGAGTTTACCATGCTACTGTTCTGTTCCAAATAAGCTAATGAAGAAGGACATTAGCCATTCAGTGTGCTATGGGGGAAGTTTTGCCCAGACAGCAGCACTATAGCCTACTTTTATATCAAATTGCAACAGCCATGGGATCTTTTACGTGCACATCAATGTGTACACAAGACCTCAGTTTTTTGTGCCATCTGAACAACTATACATTGTCCCTGCACCTTTGATAAGAGGCCGTAAAACTTAGATGAACTTTCTCGGCCAACATTGGGATTGAACAAGGCACCTCCAGGTTAGCGAGCCAATGTCTTACTCACTGAGTCACTGTGGTTTCCCCCCTTTGTCATAGGATGTTAAACGTTAATTCCTTTCCTGCCGTTTATATATTCATATTTATATATTTCAGGTTGATATAGATTATGTAGAGAAATCAGTATCCGTTAGCAACTATCCGTTATCCGCAGCGCTAACGTGTGCTAAATTCTGTTCAGCGTTTGAAGAGGAATGGGGTGTAATTTGAAATAAAATTATATATTTTGTATACACTTTATCTTGGATTTTTATTCTAATTATTTTTCAATCTCATAAAAATACAGATCTATATTTCATTTTGTTTTTTATACTTTCGACATCAACCAGAACGAGGATTAAATAACAAATCATCAAGATCCTAGTATAGTGAAGATAAGTAAAAGAAATTTTTACCTACAGTAAACCTCGCGCAAGTCAGATTTGTATAAGTCGAAACTTTGCTCAACTCGGAAAAAATCATTTGGACCCTTTGATCCAGCACGTTTTTCTTATTAAATTTCTGCGTGTAAGTCGGATCTTTGTTCAACTCGGATCAAAATCTTTGGTCCATTTGATCCAATTCCGGCTTTTTTCCTTCGTCTAAGTCAGATCAGCAGTATGTTCAGAATTTCACTGTCAGTTTCGTCCCGATGGTCTAAAACATGGTCAGCTATTCCATGCACAGAGCCCCAAAATACTTCCCTCTATCATTTTGACTCCAATCAGCCTATTTGACACGACGCAATAATAGAATTTTCCCGGAAAATTCGAAACTAGCTGTCTGCTGTACGAGTCACTTTCCGTGAAAATGTAGGACATTTTTCAAATATGGCAACAAAATGGAAGTTATCTACTCGCACATACGAACAAAAGTTTGAAATATGCCTTATGCGAATAGGATCTGTGTTTTATTCAGATTGATTGATTTTTTATTTAGCATTTTTATTTCATCTACATCAAGTGAAGAATGTAAAAGTCAACCGTTCTGCTTCTATACTGGGCTAATGAAGGCGGGCATTCACCATACAGTGTGCTATGAGGGAAATTCTGGCCGTGCAGCGGTACTATGGCCTACTCCAACACCAATGTATACACAGGACCTCGGTTTTTCGTCCAATCTGAATGACTAGACAGCCGTTCTTGTCAGGCCCTCCATCCTGCACGTCTTAATGTAAAATAAATAGAAGACACTTGTTAATTACATGCATATTTATCTTTATAAAGTCTTGACCAATCAATAAATGCTAATTATTAAACATAGTCAAGGTGTTGACGTAATTAAACTTTTCAACAAGTTTCATAACTCTTAATTAATTAGATTCAAAGTTGTGTTTACTAAAGCCTTGACCAATCAAAAAGCTTAGCTCAGATTATGCTCATCATCGAACCCGGTCAAATCAGCCACACCCAGTGTGAACATTCTACATCAATCAGAAGAATAGTTATTGTGACAGACAGACAAACCGGAAAGGCAGGTGACAAAAAAGATTGTTTTTTTCACAAATAAATATTTGCCCATTCTCTTATTCCGTATGTGAAATATTTGGATGCTGGTCGTTTGCATTGTTCACACCTATTTGTTTTTTTATACATTACAAAAGAATATTTATTGTGACAGATGAACAAACCGAAAAGGCAGGGGGAACAAAAAAGATTAATTGTTTTTTTCACAAATAAATATTAACACATTCTCTTATTCTGTGTGTGAAGTATTTGGATGTTGGTCATTTGCATTTATCAGACCTATTTGTCTTTTTACACATTATTTCATTCCCTGTGCGAGATATTTGGATGCTGGTCATTCGCTCTGTTCAGGTCCATTTGTCTTTTAATTTCATAGAGAATAACACCCGCTGCAATAGACGTATTTAAGCTATTCACTACATTAGTCATAGGAACGGTCACAATGTGTCCAAACCGATCGAAAGCCATCTTCTTAGCCTCTGGACTGACGCCTTCAGTTTCACCACCAATGATTAAAGCCACATTAGAGTTTACGTCAAGTTTATCATAGCTAGTGATGGGAAGGGGCGTTTTCTTGTAAAGTTTCTTCATTGATTTAGTCATGCGATCTTCTGATTCATCATCATCTACATCATGGTCATCTTCACGGTGTTCGTCCATATTCACATCTGAACCTTCAATCGTAACGGTTTCTGCCAGATCTAGAAATAAATCAACATTCTTTTCGTCCAATCCTCTGGTGATTTTTTGAGGTTGTCTCGTGTCAGCTATGAAAATTTGAGTTGAGGAATTAAAATAGTTTGAAACGGTGTCCCAGGTGAAGCCAGTATATATTGGAATATTAAAATGGCAGCCCATACCAGCACGAAGTACCTTCGGTTCCCAAGCATCCACACAACCTGTCAAAAACAAGAGAATTATTGTTTATTAAATATAGGGGGTTGGGTTGCCAAATGGTTAAACGCATGCATGTTAGATCATCAGGTCTGTCATTCAATTTAAAGATGAGTAGGGCAAAAATCTTGCTGTCCGGCCAACCTCGTGGGTTTTCTCCGGGTCCTCCGGTTTCCTCCCACTGCTAAAGACCCCTACGCGCAAGCGAATTATTGAAATAAAATTAAGCCATATGTTAGTTCCGAAATAACATAGTTTGTGTCGAGTGGACGTTAAACCCCATTTCTCTCTCTCTCTCTCTTATGAGGCACCTGTAAATATTTTTTATTATATGTCTCAATTATGTAACTTCGCCTTTTTATATAATTTAATGGCCAGTAAAAATTCTTCACATTAAATTGTACATACGACCATTCAAATAAATTTTACCTATGTATAAAAAACAGATAGACCTATAAATACCTTTAACGGTCATGACTGCCCGACATCCGACTGCTGCAGCTGTTCTGATCAATGTTCCCATATTACCTGGATCACGAACACGATCACATATCAAGGTAACAGGTAGGGTTTCTTCAGGTAAACTTAATGCTTGTCCTTGATTTGGTTTCTCAAATATAGCTAAAAATACAAAAACACAAATTACTATAAAACAAATTCATGTTAAATACAATAACACAAATTACTATAAAACAAATTCATGTTAAAAATAATAACATAAATTACTATAAAACAAATTCATGTTAAAAATACAATAACACAAATTACTATAAAACAAATTCATGTTAAATATACAATAAAATGAATCACTAGAAAACAAATTCATGTTAGTTAAAATACAATAACACAAACTACTATAAAACAAATTCATGTTAAAATACAACAACACAAACTACTAGAAAACAGGAGAGAGAGAGAGAAATAGGGTTTAATGGCCACTCGACACAAACTAGGTTATTTCGGGACTAACATGGTTTAATTTTATTTCAATAATTCGCTTGTGCATAGTGGTCTTTATCAGTGGTAGGAAACCTGAGGACCGGGAGAAAACCCACGCGGTTGGACAGGTGACCCTATTCCTTGTCACATACAACCGGGGAATCAAAACCACGCCAGTTAACTCATTGAAAGACCTTATGATGCACTGCGCACACGTTAAAATTCAGCCATCCAACCCCCATGTATGTGTAGCAGGTTATGAATTCACTAACAAAACTGAAATGGGGTTTTACGTCCAACTGTTCAGCTCCGACTGGGCTAATGAAGGCCGGCATACTCCATACAGTGGGCCATGAGGGAAATTTTGCCCGGACAGCGGCACTACTACCCACTCTTATATCGTCCTATCGAATTCCAACTGCTGAGGAATTTTTTTTACGTCCCATTCGGCCCTCCATCCTACACCATTGACAAGGGAGAACCACGCAGAAAATACTGTTGAACTTTCCCGGCCAACGCAGGGATCGAACACGGGACCTCCAAGTTAAAGAGCCAACGTCTTCATCACTGAGCCACCGCGGCTCCCAATTCACTGACAACATCTGAATGATATACCTACCAATAAGACCAGATGGTGATTGGGTATCCGACCATATTTTGAGTTGCTTATAAGTAATTTTATACAGTGGTGTTGTCGATAAAGATTCTTGTCGTAAGTCCGATAGCAGCTTAACATCACTAAAATACAACTGTTTCATTACACCACCAGCTTTTAACCCATCATTAATTAACCTATGACCTTCTAATAATATTATCTTCTTCTCTTCGCGCTGCGGCTTGGATTTGGCGGCTAGAATGGTTTTACTGAAATAGAAAAATAGATTTCATATTTTTTTACGATGAAAATGCAATACAAACACATTGTCAGTGCTACTGCAAAATCTTGTATCTCAAGTTTTTATGGTTCTTCGATCAGATCTGAGACAGAGAGAAATGGGGTTTAACGTCCACTCGACCCAAACTTGGTCATTTCGGGACTAACATATGGTTCAATTTTATTTCCATAATTCGCTTGCGCGTTGGGATCTTTAGCAGTGGGAGGAAACTGAGGGCCCAGAGAAAACCCACGAGGTTGGACAAGCGACCCTACTCCTTGTCACGTACAACTGGGGAATCAAAACCATGCCAGTTGACTCAATGACAAACTTTATGATACAGCGCGCAAGTGCTAACCATTCAGCCATCAACCCCCATCCCCCAATCAGATGAGACCAATTGGCAATAACTGTGTTTTGCAGTGTTTAATAATGTCTATAGCAGTTGTCTTATGTCTAGGCCTGTAAATATATGCTGTATGATAACTGGTGTCCAGGCTTGGGTATAAATTAATATACCTACCCAAATCTCTTATCTCCATCGTCCAACTTTTCATATTGGTATTTTGAACTGGATTTAGTATTTTTGACTTCTGATTCAAACATTTTATTTTGCCGTTTAATTTTTTCGACAGTCATTTGATCTTCATGTTTGGATTTTTTCTTTCCAATTTTGTTATTGGTTGAGTTTTTGATATTTTGTTGCACGGGATCTGTAGGTATGTAGGATAAATAAGGATTCTGAGAGGGGTCTTCCACTGAAATCCCCTTTTCTGCAAGTTTTTCGCGTTCCATTTCTGGTGTAAGCATATTTTCGACACGCCTTCGAACTCCTCTCGCGTACGATCTACATATTAGATTATGTGACAGATTATAGGAGGACGCCTGTGGCTTAAATTTAAATAAAGTTGTAAAACAACTAGAAATACACGTTTTCATGGACGCCGCCATTTTGTTGACCTTGCATTAAGTCACGTTTTACAGGTCATTTGTCCATATCAAATCACAACAAAGTGTCTGGATTAACAAGACTACATAGTTGTGTAAATATGATCACATGGCTGTCATGTGACAAGAAAGCTGAATGAAATCAGTCGGCCAACAAGTGGAAAATTATTCAGCATAAATACGCCGACAAAGTTGTATTGTTATTGATATCAAAATGGCATCACGAAGAGCTCTTCATTTCGTATTTAAAATTGGGAATAGACACGAAACAGCAAAGTTTTACAGAGATGTGCTTGGTATGAAGGTGGGTTTATTTTAACATGATTATAGTTTATATAGGCTACTATTTTTATAGTATTTAGTAGCCTATCTTTAAGACAGTTGTATGTTTTTATAGGCATGCTTATATATTACAAAGTCTTATATACTATAGGCCTAAATTACAAAAATCTAGACAGTATCAGTTGACATGTAGAATTAACATTAAAGTGCAGTGAACCATTACATTTCATAAAGCCTCCAAACTAGGCCTTTATGATTAAGACATCGTACTTACTGGTGTTTCCACCTGTCTGACTGAATGGTGAATACAATTTTTAGGGGGGCTAAATCTACATGTAGTTGTTAAGACCAGCTCAATTTTTGTCAAGGTCGCTGAGATGTAAGGTTAGGGCATGTGATTGTTGGCGAGATTGTAAGTTAGGGTTAGTGTTAGCATATTGGGGGTAGGTCCAGGGTTAGGGTTGGGATTAGTGCTAGCCCAGTTTACATCTCGTGACATATGAAGAAAAATTGACTTGGCCTTATCATTTAGCACCAACCTTTTTATGGGCTGTCTTGCATATTTCTCTTCCAAAAACGTCATGTGATAATATTGATCATTTGAGGATATGTCATATGACTTTTAGAGATGCTCTCATACATTTAAAATCACAAGATAAAGGGTAGGTTTTGATTGTCAAATGATAATGCTTGTTTGATTGGCCTACAACTACGCCCAAACCACTAATATTTCCATTCAAATCTCATTGAATTTCATAAATTTTCTCAGTTTGAACATTATTTGATACCAGCTAGTAGTTGCACAGGAAAATGCTTTTTCAATAACTCTACGCCTAAGAGAAATTAATCAGGGCTGGCCTGGAATAATGGCAGAATATCATGATTTGCTTGAAGGGGTCTTTTAGCAGTAGAAGGAAGCAGGAAACCCTACTCCTTGTCATGAACAAGCAGGAATGGAAACCACACCACCTCTCTCTCTCTCTCTCTCTCTCTCTCTCTCTCTCTCTAAAAACAATTGTTTATGATTAGATATTTTTGGAGACAAAGATATAGACAGAAATATGAGTGATTGAAATTTGTCTGTAGCCAAGATGTCTCCCTTCTTACACACTTCACGTTAATTTATTGTAATGATTCATATTAATTTCCCATATTTGTATGTAACCCTGGGGGGGGGGGAGGAGTAGAGGTGAGTGTGAGGAGTTGGGGAATTTGTTTAGAGTTGGTGTGGATGGTCGGAGTGGAGGAGGAGTAGGGGTGGTGTGAAGAGAGAATGGGTGCACGAGAGGAGTTTAGAGTTGGTGTGGGTGGGCAGGGTAGGGGTGGATGGGGGGAGTTGGGGAACTGGTTTGGAGTTGGTGTGGTTGGGAGGATGAGGGGTGGATTGAAGGAGTTGGGGAATTTTTTTAGAGTGTGGGGTGGGTGGGGGGGAGTGGGTGTGATGTGAAGAGAGAATAGGTGGATGGGAGGAGTTTAGAGTTGGGGTGGGTGGGAGGAGTGGGTGTGGTGTGGTGTGGTGTGAAGAGAGAATGGGTGGATGGGAGGAGTTTGAAGTTGAGGTGGGTGGGAGGAATGGGTGTGGTGTGAAGAGGATGGGAGTACATGTAGTTTAGAGTTGGGGTGGGTGGGAGGAGTGGGTGTGGTGTGAAGAGATAATGGGTGGATGGGAGGAATAGGGGTAGATAGGAGGAGTTGGGGAATTTGTTTAGAGTTGGGGTGGGTGGGAGGAGTGGGGGCGGTATGATAGAGAATGGGGTTATGTGTTGCCGTGCGAAGAGTGGAGGTGGGCAATAGAAGAATGTATAATGTCTTTTTAAAATATTTTAAACTGTTCTCTTGCTGTTTTGATGATAGTTCTTGTTTGCTGTATGTTAAAACAGTAATACGTATTTAAAACATTTTCTAGAAAATCAGGTTTAGACGAATGACCTTGAAGGCATGTTTACAGTTATAGTTTGGGTTTTTTTAAAATGGAGTTACACTACCTTTAGTCAACGATATTTATTATAATTTTTCACATACCAGAAAGACACAAATATGCTAGATTTGTCTCGGGACTTCGAGAAAATTACCTATGACCTTTTGACATTAGGTACAATGTAAATGACAAACGTAAAGATGTTACTGTAATTTATGAACATGTTAGTCTGTCATTAGTCTATACTAATCTATGTACCACGGATCTGGGGGCTGTTTCACAAAATTTTAACTAAGATAAAATCCAAATTTTAGCAATTTGATTGAATAATATTAGATTGATTTTAGTGCTTAGCCAATCAAAATTGAAGTATCTACTAAAATTTGGATTTTATCTTTAGTTAAGTTTTCGTACTTATATAGTTGTACTTATGTAAAGCGCCCGAGAGCAACTCGCTGAGTTGAGTTGTTGGTGTTATTTAAATCAATTATTATTATTATTATAAAAAAACCTGAATAGCACAATTAACTACAATATCTATGACAGTGAATAAGATATGAATGAATGTCAAAATACATTCATTTTTCATATACATGTAAGTCACAGTTTTATGTTGAACAGATTTTCTCATCTTAAAGGCTCAATACCACTGTTGTTGTAACTGAATAATATGTCCCAATCTTTATTCTGGTCAACAAATTGTACTATTTTACAATATTCCAATTAATTGATGATACAAATTTCATCTTAACACACCTAATTTATAAAATTGGAATAATTCAACTAAATGATTTGAAAAGCCTGACGTAAAGCTTTTCAAATGTGACTTGGATTTAAAAATATTTTTGAGCCCTCTGGACAAGTAAAATAGGATTTAATGGATAATTTACACAACAGGTAGGACACTAACACATCTAGTACTTAGAATAAGGCTATTTTTTATTTTCTGGAGCTGTCAAGCCAGCAAGAGTGTTATTGTCCCTTTAAGTGATTAATTTTTCTGGGTCAGATGAGACAAGTCATCTGAACTTGAACTTTAATATAAAGGGTTTAACTTGTTGGTAAAAATGAAAGATTTAATTATTAAGTTAATAAGCTTTAAAATTCCTTTGAGATAATTTGTTTGATATTTTTTTTTTCTTCAGTTTTTGCGTCATGAAGAATTTGAAGAAGGATGTAAAGCTGCTTGTAATGGGTATGTACATTTTATTGTCGCCGGGGTTGGATGGCCGGATGGTTAGCGCATGCGCGCTGTATCATAACGTCTGTCATTGTGTCAACTAAGGTGGTTTCGATTCCGTCTGTCCAACCTCGTGGGTTTTTTCTGGGTTCTCAAGTTTCCTCCCACTGCTAAAGACCCCTACGCGCATGTGAATTATTGAATTAAAATTGAACCATATGTTAGTCCCCAAATGACCTAGTTTGTGTTGAGTAGACCTCTCTCACTCTCTCTCTCTCTCTCTCACACATTTTATTTAGAACCCAAAAGAAATTAATGCAACAGTTTTAAAACATGAGAGCTAATATCTATTTTATGATTTAAGGGTTCAGCCAAAAAAACACCCGGTATACATTAAAGACACATTATGTAGGCGCTAAATCTGCTTATTGCAGGTCTTTCTTTTGGCTTCAATTGTTATATGAATTATTATTTAGACATTTATTCACATGACAAGCTTATAATCAACTCTCTAGACCAGCGGGTTTTGCCGCATTGTAAATAACATTCCCATAAAAAATTTGAAAAAATCAATTCTGTACGATAGGTACCAGAAGGGTTGTGCTATATTTCCAGGCTTGCTGATAGAATTTGTGAACTTCCATTGTAAAGGGTGTCCCCTTGTCAGTGTTGAAGGACCGAGGGCCTGGCAAGTACAGCTGTCTAGTTGTTCAGATGGGACAAAAACCCTAGGTCCTGTGTACACATCGGCGTGCACGTAAAATATTCCTTTTCAGTTGAAATTTGATATACATGTAAGGGTAGGACGTAACGCCGCTGTACGGCCAAAATATCCCTCATAGCACACTATATGGTGAATGCCCGTCTTCATTAGCTCAGTCGCCGCAGAACACGTTAAACCTCATTACATTTTATTTTTTCCATTGTCATGTTCAATAATTCTGTATTTAATCGGATTAGAAGATCGTGTGTTCACAGAAATAATTAATGGTTATTTGTTTATAAAACAAGCACATCTCGTCTTACTAAGTATGCGTAACTATTAATTTGTTAATGATCGCGATTATTTGTATACCGTCTATTTAATTAATAATATATTATCTATGAAACCATACTGTCATTACTGGAGAGATCTGTAAATATAACCAGAAAATATACATATTTAATGATCCGACAGAATCATCAAATTATTTATTAGATAATTTATGACAGTTATTACTTTCCACTTGTGGTTTTAAATTCGGTTGTGTTAAAACAAGTGTAAAGTAATAAGGACAGCTGTCTAGTTGTTCGGATGGGACAAAAAACAGAGGTCCTGTGTACACATTGGCGTGCACGTGAAAGATCCCTTGACAGTTGGAATTCGATATAAGGGTAGACCGTAGTGCCGCAGTCCAGGCAAATTTTCCCTCATAGTACACTGTATGTGTATGCCCAACTTCATTAGCCCAGTCGGAACAGAACAGTAGGACGTTCAACCCCATTTGATTTCATTTCACACGTCATGGGGTATGCCCATCTTTATTAGCCCAGTTGGAGTAGTAGGACGTAAAATCCCATTACATTCATTTCTCTCTTTGTCCTAGGAATGAAGCATTTTTTGATACTGGCAATAGTAGAAAAATGCTAATATTTTAGATCATCACGATCGATGGATGAATTAAAAATGGAAAATTTTCCAAATGTTTATCAATAATTGGCATTATTTTTGTGATAATCACATACATTAGAATATAAGACATTCTCCATAAAAAATTACCAAAATTTATTTTTGTTGAAGTCGGAGGGCCTGACAAGGACAGCTGTCTAGTCCTTCGAATGAGACGAAAAACCGAGGTCCTGTGTATACATTGGAATGGAATGCACATAAAAGATCCCTTAGCAGTTGGAATTCGATATAAGAGTAGGCGATAGTGCCGCTGCCCGGGCAAAATTTCCCTCATAGCACACTGTATGGCGTATGCCCGTCTTTATTACCCCAGTATAGGAGCAGAACAGTAGGGCGTTAAACCCCATTTCATTTCATTTCATTTTGTTGAAGTCTGGTTAAATTAAAGGGAATGGAAGCTTATAATTAACCTATTTCCTACTGGGACTTCATTTGACCCACTTCTGGCCGGTTTGTAACTGTCAGGTACTATTTCATTAGTGCGTGACATTCTGTCAGTTACATCTAAAACCGTTATTTCCAGGCCTGTCTGTGAAATAGATTGGGATATACTGAGCAGATAAAAAATACATCAAGACTGCAGTATTAAATCTTGGTTATGAATATTTGGTCAATATTAATTATGAACTTTGGATGTAATAAGATGCCTTGAGATCATTTCAACTCTTTGGTCAAATTTTGTTTAATTTGAAACTTGTCTTAAGATGGATATACATGTATTGTACAATGTTACACTGTGTATCATGGTTATGAAAATCTGGTCAATATTGTGAATATTTAAAGGGGAATTCAAGTCGTTGTTGTTTGTATTTCAGAGAAAGCCAAAACAAGCTCCCTACAATCAATGAATTGAAAAAATCGCTCCCCTCAAAAAACTCTCCCAGTTTTGATAATAAGAGTGATTTAAAAATTAAGGAGAGTGATTTAAAAATTAAGAAGAGTGATTAGTTATGTGCATGGGAAATGGTTCTAAAATCAATAACTGCATGTAATGGGGTCATTCCTGGCCCCAAGTTCACAATGCATTCTCAGACTTAAGTTGAAGAATTTACTCAAACTTGTTCACCTTATTTTAACTAAAATATAGCTCTTTATAAAACTTTTATTGTTTTAATATATCAAATACATCAATAAGAAACTATGTGCAAAGTTTTGTGTTTCTAGATCAAAGCTATTTCTCATAAACAGTGATTGAAAGTTGAGCAAATTCTCAACTTAAGTCTGAGAATGCTTTGTGAACTTAGGGCCAGGAATGACCCCATTACATGCAGTTATTGATTTTAGAACCATTTCCCATGCACATAACTAATCACTCTTCTTAATTTTTAAATCACTCTCCTTAATTTTTAAATCACTCTTATTATCAAATGATAATAAACCCCCAATGACTATGTAAAGGAGAGCGATTTTCAGTTTTAGGGGGAGGGGAAAAAAACTCCCCTTGGTCGACATTCAGGTGAGTGTCAGGTGATCAAGAGCGATCGCTCGCCTTAAAAAACAATGACTGACATTATGGAAGATTAGATAAAGAGCTGACAGTTCTCACTATAATAGTTAACAAGTAGATAATGTAAAGGGAATATGCGGAAAATTTCAGTCAAATTGCTTCACTCTGAACCAAGATATTAGCGATTGAATTTTCGGCCTAGCCTCCCTCATCATTACTAAATAAACGATAATAAACATAGTCTCAATTATCCATTTTTGCATTTAATCATCAATTAGCATTGAGCAGCAGATTGGATTCAAATCCATTGAAAAGATGGCATCGAGAATTGATTAAGGTCTTTTCATGTTAATAAATTTCTAATAAAACATTTCAGGCCTAAAGAAAGACCTGCAATAGACAGATTTAGCTCTTGCATAATGTATGTTTAATAACTTCAGCTTAAGATCATGTTCAACCTTTTGGTCAAATTAGGGTATATTGATAAGGGGTTTTGTTTATATTATTATTAGGTCGTATATTGATAGGGGATGAAGATATCCTACCCCTTTGTTGTCAGTCCGTGTTATCAGGTGTGATATACTGGTTAAATATTGGTTTACACCTGTGACACCTGGGACTCGACCCCATTCATCTGATATAGTTTCATTCATACAGGTGATCAACTATCTTCTTACTACTGACTGCCTAATTTACTTAATGGCCACGGTCGCTCAGTGTGTAAGTCGTTCGTTCGTTAGCCTGGAGGTCCCTTGTTTGATCCCTGCGTTGGCCGAGAAAGTTTATCAGTACTTTTCGACGCGGTTCCTCCTTGTTAGTGGTGCAGGATAAAGGTGTCTGGCATGGGACACCATACATGTATAGTTGTTTGGATGATACAAAAACCCAAGAGGGAAAGTCACAATGGAAAATCATAAGGAACTTTCTAGGCCAATACCGTGATTGAAAGAGGGGTTGGATGGCTGAATGGTTAGCGCATTGTATCATAAAGGAACTTTCTAGGGGGGTTGGATGGCTGAATGGTTAGTGCGTTGTATCATAAGATCTGTCATTGAGTCAACTGGCGTGGTTTTGATTCCCTGGTTGTACGTGACAAGGAGTAGGGTCACAAGCGAATTATTGAAAAAGAACTGAACCATATGTTAGTCCCGAAATGACCTAGTTTGTGTTGGTGGAGTTAAATCCTCTCTCTCTCTCTCTCTCTCTCTCTCACATTAAGAAGAGCTTAAGTTTGATAGTGTGTATTGAATTACAGCTATGTTGATATTAGACATGTGTTTATAATCTGTTGTTGATACTTGAACTATGAGATAATACTACTCATATCAGATATCAACTACATCGTAATATGTACTCATATAAGATATTTGAACTACGAAATATAATACATGTACGTACTCATATAAGATATTTGAACTATGAAATAATACATGTGTACTCATATCAGATATTTGAACTACGAAATAATATATGTTTACTCATACAAGATATTTGAACTACGAAATAACAAGGAGTACGGTCGCCTGTCCAACCTCGTGGATTTTCTCCGGGTCCTCCGGTTTCCTCCCACTGCTAACAACCACTATGCGCAAGCGAATTATTGAAATAAAATTGAACCATATGTTAGTCCCGAAATATCCTAGTTTGTGTCGAGTGGATGTTAAACCCCATTTCTCTCTCTCTCTCTCTCTCTTTAAAGAGGGAGGGTTGGGTGGCCAAGTGGTATAACGCATGTCATTGAATAATAAACGTTGTTAATGCATGTACTTTAGATCATAAGATCTGACATTGAGTCACATGAAGTAGTTTCAATTCCCAGGGTCACTTGTCCAACCTTGTGGGATTTCTCTGGGTCCTCTAGTTTCCTCCCACTGCTAAAGACCTCTATGGAAAAGCAAATTATTAAAGATAAATTTGTACCATATGTTAGTCCCCAAATGATGTAGTTTGTGTTAAGTGGATTTTAAACCCCATTGATCTCTTATAAAAGAGACTGATACTTGTCTTATCAAGTTATCCCTGTTAAAGTTGAAATTAAATGAGTGTTTAACGTCCAACTTCTCCCTGGGCTAATTAAATGAAATGGGGTTTAATGTCCTATTGTTCTGCTCCGACTGGGCCAATGAAGACGGTCAGCGGCACTATGGCCTACTCTTATATCGAATTCCAACCATTAAGGGATCTTTTACGTGCACGTCAATGTGTACACAGGACCTTGGTTTTTCGTTCCATCCAAACGACTAGACAGCTGTCTTTATCAGTCTATCCCTGTTAGGGTTGAATATATTATACATAAGAATGTAACTTAAGATAAGGTTTTCCTCTGATAATCATGATATGACCAAACTTCTTACCAGAAAAAAACAAATATTGAGATAACTGCATGACAGCAAAATGGCCGAAACTTATTACCAGAGATAACTGCATGATATGACAAAACTGACATCAAAATTGATATAAAAATGATAAAATCACATATCACATATTTTAATATTAGAAGCAGTCCATAGATTTATAAAGAATAGTAATAGTTTTTACAGTGACACGACGACAGACAGTCGCCAAACTTAACTGATAAACAAATGTATAAGACAATTTGCAATTGAAAGGTCATTTAATTATTGGAAATTTTCCCCTTACAGTCACCTCTAATGATTTCTTCCGTCCTGCATCACTGACAAGGGGGAACCACGCCGGAAAATCTAGATGAACTTTCTCAGCCAATGCAGGGGTCGAACACCCGACCTTCATGCTAGTAAGCCAGCGTCTTACCCACTTAGCCACCGTGATCCCCCTGCGCATTTCTGGAGCCAGTTGTTATAATGTTTGTACCTGAAACATGACATGGATTAAAACTTCTCTTCTAATTCAGTCAAGTTTGTTGCTTGGAAAATCAATGAGTAATATTTTTTTAATTTTTCAGTTCGTATGATGGTAGATTAATTTTTAGTTTTGTTATTTTTCAGTTCGTATGATGGTAGATTAATTTTTAGTTTTGTTATTTTTCAGTCCGTATGATGGTCGATGGAGTAAATCCATGGTGGGCTATGGACCGGAAGATGATCATTTTGTCGTAGAACTAACGTATAATTATGGTCTTGGATCCTATAAAGTAGGAAATGATTTTCAGGTAGGTGATTAATAAATTTTTACTTAAAGGGGCCATTTGGGAGTAATTATGATAGTTACAAAATAATGTAAAGAGAATATGCTGAAAATTTACCAAGATGCTGTAGCAATTGAATTTTAGGCCTAGCCTCAATCATCATTACTAAAGTCAGTACGATAAAAAAACAAAGTCTTGATTATCCATTTTGACGTTAAATCAGCCTTCACAAAATGTATTCCAATCCAGTAATATCGCAGGCTAGCAATGGCATCAAGAGTTGATTATAGTCTAGATAAGTTAATTAATGTCTAATTAATAATTTACATGTAGATAACATTTCAGGCCTAAAGAAAGACCTGCAATAGACAGATTTAGCTCTTGTATAATGTATGTTTAAAGTAACGATGCATCATTTTTGGCTTAATATCAAATTTCTCACAGCTTTATTAAATTCTAAATATGTACTTAAATTGATTGTTTAGCATTTAATTAACAAAACAACATCAGTATACCAATGTCAGTGGTGCAGGACAGAGGGCCTGACAAGGACAGCTGTCTAATCCTTCAGATGGGATGAAAAACTGAGGTCCCGTATATACATTGGCATGGATGTAAGAAAAGATCCCTTGACAGTTGGAATTCGATGTAAGAGTAGGCCATAGTGCCACTGCCCAGGCAAAATTTCCATCATAGCACACTGTATGGTCGCATGCCCGTCTTTATTAGCCCAGTCAGAGCAGAACAGTAGGACGTTAAACCCCATATCATTTGTTTTGTTTTATAGGGTATAGCAATAGCTTCTAATAAAGTGTTAGAGAATATCCAGAAGACAAACACACCAGCCACGGTTGAAAATGGTGTGACAACTATCATATCACCGGGTGGTTATAGATTCTTTATTCTTCCTGCAGATATAAATGGAGGTATGTTTATTTTGACTTGATCTTTGCAATCTGATTAAAACACAGATCCTATTTCGTTTCGTTTTCTAAAGTTCAAAATTTCGTTTTACTTGTCTTTACTATACTAGGATCTGGAAGATTGAACCATATGTTAGTCCTGAAATGGCTTAGTTTGTGTCGAGCGGATGTTAAACCCCATTTTTCTCTCTCTCTTTACTCGTTTAAAGGTATCTTGCAAGACATTGTGTGATACAGTGATACAAAACTTGTTGTGTTTGATAATGTTATCAGTATTTTAATGTTTTAAAGGACTCGGATGATACAAAATTTGACGTATGTGATAGTTTAGTCTGTATTTCAAGGTTTTTGAATGTCTCGGGTGTGACATTGCGTGATAATGTTTAAGACATTCAAATTATTTATGTACTACGATGATTACATAATCTTGTACATTAAATGATAGCACCATTGGGAGTTTTAAGAATTTTAATGGCATTCCCACCATTTGTAGATAACAATAAATAAAATTTATAGTCATCAATCAAATTTGATCTAGTTTGTTGTCACAAGTTTATCATGTCGGATGGTTATTTTTATCAAAATTTTAAAAAGAGAGAGTGAGGGAGAGAAATGGAGTTTAACGTCCGCTCAACACAAATGATGGCTAAGTGAGTAAGAAGCTGGCTCGCTAGCCTGGAGTAAGGTCGCCTGTTCAACCTCATGGGTTTTCTCTGGGTCATTGTGTTTCTTCCCACAACTAAAGACCCCTAAGTGCAACGAATTATTGAAATGAAATTGAACCATATATGTTAGTCCCAAATTGACCTAGTTAGTGTTGAGTGGATGTTAAACCACATTCTCTCTCTCAAACCTCATTTCGTTTTATTTTTTTATTTTTTTTATTTTTTACCAGACCCTGTACAGAAAGTTATACTTGGATGTTCTAATCTACAGAATACCATTGGTAATCATAACTTCTATTTTTATATTAAAATTTTTTGCTTTATCATGTTATTTTTGATAAGAATGTTTGTTTTCGATTAAGATAATAACTTGCAATGTTTGTGTAGAATTTATAACAAAAAGAAACTCTGTTATCAAAAACATGTGCAACATGATAAAGCAAGTTATGTATCAGATTTTTTATACAACATTACACAATCACCTTATTATATATTGGCCGATAAAGTTCATCAGGATGGTACAAAAAAACAAGGACCTGTGTATACATTGGCGTGCATGTAAAAGATCCCTTGGCAGGTGGAATTCAATATAAGAGTAGACCATAGTGTTACAACCCATTTCGTTTAGTATTTATGTCTTTATTAAAGATGTCTTCCTTTGAGAATTGTCTATTAAAGATGTCTTCCTTTGAGAATTGTCTATTAAAGATGTCTTCCTTTGAGAATTGTCTATTAAAAATATCCTCCTTATTAAAGATATCTTCCATTGAGAATTTTCTATTTAAGATATCTTCCATTGAGAATTGTCTATTAAAGATATCCTCCTTTGAGAATTGTCTATTAAAGATATCCTCCTTTGAGAATTGTCTATTAAAGATATCCTCCATTGAGAATTGTCTATTAAAAATATCCTCCTTTGAGAATTGTCTATTAAAGATATCCTCCTTTGAGAATTGTCTTATTAAAGATATCCTCCATTGAGAATTGTCTATTAAAGATATCCTCCTTTGAGAATTGTCTATTAAAGATATCCTCCTTTGAGAATTGTCTATTAAAGATATCCTCCTTTGAGAATTGTCTATTAAAGATATCCTCCTTTGAGGATTTATGTCTTATTAAAGATATCTTCCATTGAGAATTTTGGTCTTATTAAAGATATCTTCTATTGAGAGTTGTCTTACTAAAGATATTGTCCATTGAGCATTTTGGTCTTATTAAAGATATCCTCCTTTGAGAATTGTCTTATTAAAGATATCTTCCATTGATAATTTTGGTCTTATTAAAGATATCTTCTATGGAGAATTTTGGTCTTATTAAAGATATCTTCTATGGAGAATTTTGGTCTTATTAAAGATATATTCCATTGATAATTTTAGTCTTATTAAAGATATATTCCATTGATAATTTTAGTCTTATTAAAGATATATTCCATTGATAATTTTAGTCTTATTAAAGATATATTATTAGTACAGTGTATTTATGTATGTAGATATATAATATTAATTGGACCAGGTTATTAGTATGTTTAATACCAGGTTATTAATACAGTTTGTATAATGTATAATACATATTGAACCAGGTTATTATTACAGTGTATTTATGTATATATTCCAGATTATTGGACAAGATTATTAGGAATGAAAATATACAGTCAGACTGAAAAATCTGTCGTTCTAGGGTATTCTGATAATAAGGTATTTATATATAAAGTAGTATTTCTATGTTTACTGTAGATAAATACTTTAAAAATTAAAAATACGTCCAGTTAAATAATAAACCACTTTTACTTTATCATTCTGCTCATTAAATCATAAACTAGCTGTCTTCTCTTCATTGATAATTGTTTCAATTCCATTTAATAATTGAAGTTGAATATACAAGTCACCTCTCTCTCTCTCTCTCTCTCTCTCTCTTTCTCTTACTTTGCATGAGGGGAGGAGGGAGGGGCTGAGTCGTTTAAAGCATTTCCTTTGGATCATAAGGTCTGAAATTTAGAAATTAGGACAGTTTCGATCTCAGCTTGTACGTGACCAGGAGTAGGGTTGCCCAGACAACCAAGTGTAGTTTCTCAGAGTCCTCCTGTTTCCCGTCACTGCTAAACAAAAAAACCAATGAGGATGGGCAGGCAACCCTACTCCTTGTCATATACAGGCTTCAAGACCAAACAGAAAGAATGTATTATATGTTTCATTGTATGACAACCGATGTTTATTTGTTGTTTTTTTATTTCAGTGTAAATTAGAATTTATTGATTTAGGAGTACCTATTGATCATGCAACAGCTTTTGGCCGAATTGCTTTTGCATGTCCTAAAGAGCAGGTAAATAACCCTTTTTCTTGTTTGATATTTCAGATTCATTAACCCTCTATCTGTTTGTTTCTTTGACTGACGCTGTAGGACAGTATACAGGTTTTGGGGGCACCACAGCTATACACGTGACGCAGGCATTTTGGAGCAGTTAAGGGCACACAAGTTATCAGGCGGTTTCATGCAGTCTTAAGTTCTAAAGGAGTAAATGGAGTGCTACAGGCCATTAGCACATATGGTGTGCATAGAGCCATTAGCACAGATGGTGTTCATAGAGCCATTAACACAGATGGTGTGCATAGAGCCATTAGCACAGATGGTGTGCATAGAGCCATTATCACAGATGGTGTGCATAAGGGTATTGCATGAGGCCATTACGACAGATGGTTTGCATAAGGTCATTACCGTAGATGGAGAGAATAAGGCCAATACCACTTGGTGTGCATAGAGCCATTAACACAGATGGTGTGCATAGAGCCATTAACACAGATGGTGTGCATAGAGCCATTAGCACAGATGGTGTGCATAGAGCCATTATCACAGATGGTGTGCATAAGGCCATTACAGTATTGCATGGTGTGCATAAGGCCATTACGACAGATGGTTTGCATAAGGTCATTACCGTAGATGGAGAGAATAAGGCCAATACCACTTGGTGTGCATAAGGCCATTACGGCAGATGGTGTAAGCAAGGCCATTAAAAAGTCCATTATGGAAGATGGTGTTCATAAGGCCATTACCATTATGGTGTGCATGAAGCCCTTACTATATGGTGTGAATAAATCCTGCTCTTAGTACACAGATCCGATTTCCTCTCGTTTTTTATAGTTTTACTTGTCTTTACTACACTAGGATCTGGAAGAGTTGTTATATAACCCGCATTCTGGTTGAAGTAAGGGATTAACTAATAGAATGGTCTGTTATGGCGAGTTCTTGACATGCGATCCACGAAACTGTGGGTAAACCAGTAGAAACGTCAACGCTGATTGATTAATCAATGTCTGACGTCATAGGGTCAAAAGCCGCTTGTATGACACCTGATGTGACCTTCCACTACAACTGGTCAGATCTTCGTGTTATGTAGGCCGTCGAAAGTATAAAAAGACAAAATGAAATATAGATCTGTATTTTAATCATATTGCAAATAATATCCCAGAAATTAGAATTACCAGTATTATATTACCGGTAAAATTGAATATTAATATTTGTATTTTATAGTTACCAGCATTAGAACAGTTAATGAAGAATGAAAATCAGAAGATATTGACCCCATTGATAAGTTTAGATACTCCTGGCAAGGCAACAGTACAAGTTGTTATATTGGCTGATCCTGTAAGTCAACTGGCATTAAGTAATTAAACTGGGCATACACAATTCTATCAAATACACAATTCTATCAAATACACAATTTTTACAAATACACAATTCTATCAAATACACAATTTAAAAAAATACACAATTCTATCAAGTATACAATTCTATCAAGTATACAATTCTATCAAGTATACAATTCTATCAAATGCACAGCTCTATCAAGTACACAATTCTATCAAGTACACAATTCTATCAAATGCACAATTCTATCAAGTACACAATTCTATCAAATGCACAATTCTATCAAATGAACAATTCTATCAAATGCACAATTCTATCAAATACACAGTTCTATCAGTCACCATTGTTATGTTCATTTGGTATGTATCAGATGCCAAAATGAACTATATTTTTAAATCATTGAAATAAATTAATTAGTTGTGTGGGAAATTGGGAAAAGGGGCAGTTATTAAGCTTAAGAACCTGAGGTCACTTTGTGACATTGTAAAATACACAATTCTATCAAAAACACATCTCTATCAAATGCACAATTCTATCAAATACACAATTTTAACAAATACACATGCGGGACACAATTCTATGAAATATAACCGGCTTGGGTGGTTGAATTTTTTCTAACACAACACTTTATATCATAAGGTCTGTCATCGAGTCAAGTGGTGTAGTTTCGATTCTCTGTTTGTACATGAAGTAGGGTTGCCTCTCCAACCTCAGGTTTTCTTGGGGTCATCAGGTTTCTTCCCACAGCTAAAGACCCCTGTGTGAAACGAATTATTGAAATAAAATTGAACGATATGTTAGTCCCAAAACGACCTAGTTTGTGTTGAGTGGACTTTAAACCCTCTCTCTGTCTGTCTGTCTCTCTCTCTCTCTCTTTTTTTTTGATCTCTCTCTTGATCTAAAAAGACAACTTAAAACTATTATTGACTTTATATCAAAATTTGTTTTTTGAATTTTAGGATGGCCATGAAATATGTTTTGTTGGAGATGAAGCGTTTAAAGAATTATCACAAGTGGACCCAAAAGCTGATTCTCTTTTAGATGAGGTTTGTTAACTTCTTTATCATACACCCAGTACCTCTGGCTTCTGAAATCCAAGTTCATTCTATCTCTATATATGTTGTCATGTATGTCATGCTTAGTGATGTGGATCCAAGTGGGGGAAGGAGGCCATGTTAGTCGAGTAGTAAGGCTAAAACCATGAATTATACAGTGTCAGGGCCATTCTATCTCTCATGTATGTCATGCTTAGTGTTGTGGATCCATGTGGGGGAAGGAGACCGTGTTAGTCGAGTAGTAAGGCTAAAACCATGAATTACAGTGTCAGGGGCTTTCTGTACACAGAAAACTATCTACTCTACTTCGAGAAAAGATCTCTACCCTAATTTGCTGCCATATCCAATAATTAGTATGTTTTTTGGTTTTTTTCTCAGAATATTTTCAACTTTATTAGAAACAAAATTTATGACATCTTTTTGTAAAAAAAAAGAAAATGAAAGATTTTAAGATTTTGTTGTTGTTCTATATTTGCAGGGTTTAAAGAATGACAAAAGTGATGAATGGTTCGCGAAACACAACAAGTCGAAAGCTGCAGCGTAAAAAACAGGATCTGATCTCTTACCCATCATATTCTAAAAATCATATTAGACTGTTAACCCATATGTCATGTTCTGGATGAAAGAGACTTTTTGACTAGATTTTACCAGTTTTAAAACATTATAAAATACCCAAATTATATGATGAAGGAAAATATTTGCTTAAAATTTAACATCTTCAATATTTGTACCTAAAAGTTTTTGGGAAGAGGAATCAAATACTTTTTGTTTAGCATGACGAAATAAGAAGCCAAATTTTTAAACAGGTGCTCCTGAAGTATGATATAAGTTATATATCCCAACATCGTCTTCCAATCTTATACAGGTTTAAAGGAGCATAAAGCAATAGGAGTTCAAAGTTCAATTCTATATTGACAACAGGCCCCGAGTTCACAAAGCATTCTCAGACTTAAGTTATGAATTTACTTAAAACTGATCGCCTTATTGTAACTAAAATACAGCCCCTTATAAAACTTTTGTTGTTTTAATGTATCAAATACATCATTAATAAAAGTTTTGTGTTTCTGGATCAAAGATATTTCTCATAAACAGTGATTGAAAGTTGAGTAAATTCTTAACTTAAGTCTGAGAATGCTTTGTGAACTCAGGGTCAGGTCCATATTAAATGTTGATTTTTAAACTTTTAAAGAAAATATCAATTTTAAATGTTGACGATTGACGTGTCCAATATCATGACTTATCTATGACATTTTTTTATTTTTAAAGATATCTATTAAATATACATAAATTGTATCATATTTTTCTAGGGTTGATTAAAACTAAATAAAAAAAATATTTGTAGAACTTTAGATATTAGTTATATAATAGCAATTGACGAATTATTAATTAAATATGAAGTCAATTTTTGCTAACAGGTGAATATTTGAGGTCTTTTGTTTACTTGGGATTAGCGATTAGCTTGATATTATGACAAGTTTTAACATTATCCAAATATTGTCCATATATTTTTTTGTGTTTATAAATGTTACTGTATTTTGTGTTTTGAGGTTTTCTTTAGATAATTAATTTTAAAACATATGAATTGACTGACAAGTTAGTTTACGATCATATATCGGAATTAGAGTGAGGTTTAATATAACACCAAGGTGATTTGAAAACATGTATTTATTCCAGAATTAAATAAATCAAACTGCTGGAATAAAATTACCTCAGTCTTGCCTACATCTTCCTTTACTTTAATCTAAAGGTACAGCAATGATTTACAATCAATACATAATATTCTCAAATTCTTATCTATATTTAGCATCTGGTCATTTTCACACTCTGGTCAGTCATGACTGGTTAATATAGCTCAAACAAGAGCCCTGGTATATACTTCTATTTAACTAAGATTTCTTAAATTAGAACTTGGGTATGTTTCACATCACTCGGCAAACCTCAGCCGACTCCAGTACCCTACATATAGCCTCAGCTGTATGACGTAGTCCGCCATTGGAACTATTTGTTAAAATGGATCTTGGGTAGGTTTCACATAGGCATTCAAAGACTATATATGTTGTACAAATTACCGGTATGTAAATTAATTCAAAAATCATGTATATAACATCATGACATCACATGACTCAGTTGACATGACATTTCTTTTCTATATTTAGCAGCTTGTTGAATGCCAATTGACAGAATATTCTACGTCAAATCATGACCTTACACCTTGGTTGCCTATTATTGACAAAATATTTTGGGTAAAATCATGACCTCACAAGGTGCTGGACATGACATTTCTTCTCTTTATTAAAGGGAATTATTGAAATAAAATTGAACCATATGTTAGTGGCGAAATGACCTAGTTTGTGTTGAGAGGATGTTAAACCCCATATCTCTCTCTCTCTCTTTAAACCGCTACACATACATTCAGTAGAGATATCTTTAGAAATGTAAAATTTTGACCAGATGTATTTGTACAATTCTTTACAGCTATGCAAATTCTTTAGCTCTCCTGAACAGTTCGGCAAAACCCCATGCAACCTATGGCCTCATTAGGCCTCGTCAGCAATAATATGGAAAATACGGGTTTCGTTTTTACGCTAAAATGATATTTAAACAAGGCAATATTAAGGGTAAAAAAAAATCCAGATAGATTATACGTAATGTTATTACTTGTTGCACAAAGTTCTGTAGTTGTATACTTTTTTATTGGCCAATCTGCTTTTAATAAAAAAAAACACAACACGTTTTATATGGAAAACAATCAACAATTTGTACACAAATGTTTATATTATTGCTTGTTGCAGAAAGTACCCGAGTTGTATGCTTTTCTTCTGGCCAAATTGCTTTTCCATATTGGTTATATATGGAAATTGATATGGAAAACAATCACTGTATTCTACACAAGTGTTTATGTTATTGCTTGTTGCAGAATACTTTAATTGCAGGCTTTTCTTTTGGCCAAACAGCTTTTTCTAAATAATTGTATTGATGTTATTGTAATGAATTATTGTGTGTATGCAAATATACAGCATCTTTGAATTTAAATATAAAACATGTTAAATTGATGTAATCTGTGCTTTATCACAGCCAGGGTACTGTAATTCTATTGTATCACAGCCAGGGTCCTGTATTATATTGGATCACAGCCAGGGTACTGTAATTCTATTAGATCACAGCCAAGGTACTGTAGTTCTATTAGATCACAGCCAGGGTACTGTAATTCTATTAGATCACAGCCAAGGTACTGTAATTCTATTGGATTACAGCCAGGGTACTGTAGTTCTATTGGATCACAGCCAGGGTACTGCAATTCCATTGGATCACAGCCTGGGTACTTTAATTCCATTAGATCACAGCCAGGGTACTGTAATACTATTAGATCACAGCCAGGGTACTGTAATACTATTGGATCACAGCAGGGTACTTTAATACTATTGGATCACAGCCAGGGTAGGCCTACTGTAAGGCCTACTGTAATTCTATTGGATCACAGCCAGAATTCTATTTGTATAAAATATAGATGTGAATGTTACTATTAATGTGACTGGCGAAATGAATTATAAATCATGGAGTTTTCCTCAAAATCGTTTTTTTATTTATAAATCGAAGATCAAGAATGGTTTCCCCTGATTTCATGATCAATTGGTCGAGAATTAAAAGACGGTGTCTGAATTTATAGGCCACATTTCTTGTCAGAACAATCCTGGCACCTCCTCATTATTCATTCTTCATTCTGCACACTACCCACTCTACTTCGAGAATAGGGGGGTTGGATGGCAGAATGGTTAGCACGTACGCGCTGTATTGAGTCAGCTGGCTTGGTTTCGAATCCCCGGTTGTACGTGACAAGGAGTAGGGTTGCCTGTCCCATCTCGTGGGTTTTCTCCGGGTCCTTCGGTTTCTCCCCCACTGCTAAAGACGCCTACATGCAAGCGAATTATTGAAATAAAATTAAACCATATGTTAGTCCCGAAATGACTCTGACAAAAAGACTAATTAAACCTTTTCAATTTTATTTAATGAAAGCAGAATATATACTTGTCGAAATTACTTATCAGTGTTTCAACTAAAATCATCTTTATGTAGGTTAACTAGCCTAGTGTCGGTTCTCAAGCGAAGCTAATTGTAAACAAACAGCATAAGTTTAGTAGGCTCGTTATTGAGCCAGCAACCATATGTACTGAAATGAAATGGGGTTTAACGTCCTACTGGTCTGCTCCCAACTGGGCTAATGAAGACAGGCATATGCCATACAGTGTGCTATGAGGGAAATTTTCCCTGGACAGCGGCACTACGGCCTACTCTTATATCGAATTCCAAATGTCAAGGGATATTTTACGTGCACGCCAATGTGTACACAGGGCCTCGGTTTTTTGTCCCATCCGAACTACTAGACAGCTGTCCTTGTCAGGCCCTCCGTCCTGCATCACTGACAAGGGAGAACCACGCCGGAAAATCTGGATGAACTTTCTCGGCCAATGTAGGGATCGAACACCCAACCGCCAGGCTAGCGAGTCAGCGTCTTACCCACTTAGCCACCGTGATCCCTCAAAATAAGATTTGGGTGAAAATTAAGTATTGAACAGACCTGATCTGATTTTTATAACAGATTTATTATCTACATTTTACAAAATCATTGGGTATTATAGTCAACTTACAATATGTGTATATATACAGAACAGGTGCCCCCAGCTCTTAATTCACCACCAATTAAAGATGACTTCCCATGTACAATCCAGTATTTATATACAGAACAGGTGGCCCCAGCCCTTAAATCACCACCAATTAAAGATGCCTTCCCATGTACAATCCAGTATTTTTCTAGTAAGATTGGGCGTCTCTACTTTCCATATACATGTGTACCAAATTTGCCATACTTTTATTGGAAATAACTACCCTATAAATACTTTCGTGAGAACGTATCTTTAATTCGCCAACAATTAATTATGGGCCTATGATTTTAAGTGTGGTTTAAAGGCTGAGGTCAAGACATTAAGTAACAACGGAGATACTTGACTGGACATTACGGAAATGAATTCTCTAAATCCCAAAAATACTGAAAATTGAGTGAAAAGGGGCATTTTGGGCCAACTGCATAAGAAGATATCTTAACCAACCATAACAGCTGTTTATTTATGTCATGATTCTACTCATATTGATCAAAATATTACGTAATGTCTTGTTTTAAACAACCTAAAGTATTGATAACTCAATCATGTCACATGTATTTCTATGGAAGATTAATTAAGTGCCTGTACCGCTATTTAAAATAATAGTACCCAACATCAAATGACAACATCACATAACTATTTGTGTCTCTGTTCGAGTCCTCACAAACAAAATGTTGTATCTTTTCTTGGCTGTCATAATTGATTAAATCTCTTAGGATTTGTACACTAACATAAACACTTCAAGGCTTAATAAGCCTACAAATTCTACATGGAATAGGCTGAAACATTGATCATAAATCGATCCACAGCACTTAAATCTATAACATTGGGATTTTCAGGTTATGGTGGTCTTCAAATAATTATTCTGTTATATGTTCCCGTGTGTGTATTGTGCGAATGGTCGGTATTCCAACCTGGAAATGTGGCACCTGTCATAGACTACGTCAGGTACAAATACAGGTGTTGTCAGGTACAGTTCCTACTCTGCCTGTCATTTTGTCAGGCACGGTATTGGTTATAAGTATTTTAAAAGATGCATTATGTAAGATTTAGATAAAGAGCAATAATAGTTCCATAATTTGTTAATTGAGACTCAGCCTCGCTTCTCCATTTTTATATTAAATCATTAAATGGTGATTGCAATTCAATCGGTTTAAATCTCTCCTATACAATGATAGGAATTTTGGAATTTTGAATATGATTCACTATATCATGATGTCCAATTGGGCATATTCAAGGTTGGACTGTTGTCAACTGGCACAGGACATGTCCGGCATATGCGGGTGAAACAGCATCCATGGTAGGATGACCCATGTACTCACAGAAATACAGTCCACCGCTGATAGTTCGAGACTACCACTGAAGCGTGCACATTCGCCGTTCCGAGACCAACTTTCTGACAGTATGATACTATAAATAGCCCTTGCACGTGCAATTCTCTACAAATCTATCAACTATTACAGCCGTAAAAAAATTTTTGTTGACAATTTTGAATAGCAGTAAAATTAAGCTTCTTGGTTATTACAGCAGATTTAGAAATTACATTCGTTTCATTTTTTAAATCGCTTTATATTAACTGTACCGTTAAGAGCGGCATCTTTTGGTTTAGTACAAATAATATCTCTGAATCACTCGGGTTAGACAGGAACATGATACTAGCATTAGTTACATTTTACTTTTACAAGCTTCATAAAACGATTGTTGAGCTACCTAATGTGCTTATTTCTAAATTCAATTTCTTGTTCTAGCTTTCTGTTATGTTTCGTAAAAAAGTAGTCTTGATTATCCCGACCTGTCAATCAGACGTAGAATGGTCGATAGACTGGTTAAGCGAGACTAATTTCAAAACAAGGGCACGTAACCTATCTTTTACTCAAAAGTGTCTGGATGTTATGGACGACTCTTGGAACCAGTTTTCAGTCTATTATTTATACATGATTAATGGTCATAGCTTATTAAGTACAACATGATCGTTTATTTAGTGACTATAATTGTGTGAAACTGATTTGGGACTTGGCATACATATAAATATTGTGGCGTAATTGTCGAGATATATGGAGATATTTATTTATGGTGGGTCATCCTAACAATGATCTAGTGACTTGATTCTAGGCTTGTCATGTGAATAAATGTCTAAACAATTAATTTATATAACATTTGAAGCCAAAGTAAAAACCTGCAATAGGCAGATTTAGCTCTTGAATAATGCATCCTTAATCATGTTTATGATAAATGTCTGGCACAAAGTTCCAAATGTCTTGTAGTGTTTTATTTATGTCAGGTATAACTAGAATCACTATTTCCATGCCTGTGTTTATAGTCAATGATGTACTTGTATTAAATACAATTTGAATTCTAGCCAATAATGTACTTATATTAAATACAATTTTAACACTAGGCTATGATGTATTTATATCAAATACAATTTGAATCCTAGGCTATGATGTACTTGTATTATATACAATTTCAACACTAGGCTATGATATACTTGTATTATATACAATTTGAATCCTAGGCTATGATATAAATTGTATTAAATACAATTTGAATCCTAGGCTATGATATACTTGTATTAAATACAATTTGAATCCTAGGCTATGATATAAATTGTATTAAATACAATTTGAATCCTAGGCTATGATGTACTTGTATTCAATACAATTTGAGCCCTAGGCTATGATAACGATATACTAGTATCCACCTTCAACTGATTCACTTTCTTCATTAATTCACTTATTTCATCACTTCTATAAATAGAAAAATATTAAACAATTACTTAAAATCTCTGATCAGGTACATCTAAAACCGTTATTTCCAGGCCCGCTGATATTGCTACCGTTATTTCCAGGCCCGCTGATATTGCTACCGTTATTTCCAGGCCTGCTGATATTGCTATTAGAGATCCATCTTTCTAAATATTGTAATTTGCAAGTGATTCTATAGCACTAAAATGACACATCGGGGCATTAACATAGACTGTTTGTGAGAACCAATTTATCTTTTATTTATATAGCAATACTTACTCTTGCTGTAAAATTTCTTTTAATTTAGTTGTTTGATTTTTCTTTAAAACTGGACTACTGGCAGCCATATTGTTTCCAAATGACATCTGGCGTTTCTGATATTCTTGTTTCTTTTTCAACTGAAATAAAATTTATAAAAAGATGCAAGTTTGATGAAATTTCAAAACATGATGTTAAAAGAATGAATCATGCGGAAAGAAATGGGGGTTTAAAGTAGCTAAGTCCGTAACTCAATATCATCCAAAATCTTCGACATTGAAAACACGATTTTTTTTGCAATTTAATTCAGCATTGGTGTTGTGGTCTTACCTGGAAAAGATGGGCTTCTGATATCCAATATTTAAGACAAAACAAGCCAACAGTGAGGCTGATGTCCCCCGCCGAAATCCCCAAATAAATAGATGACACATACTAATTAATCACACATCTATTTTTTTCAAAAGTATCGAGCAATCAAACTGATTATCAACTATACACTAAGTTTCATCACTCTCTATCAGATAGAATCAAAGTTATCTTGTCCCAAAGCATCGACCAAGGAAATTGCTTATTTCTGCTTAGCTTTAGCTCGATATGTTAATCATTGAATTCGGTCAAGACGAACATCAACATCAAGTTAGAAGCAGAGTTGTTATGTTCCAAAGTCTTGACCAATCAAAATGCTTATTGCTCCTTAGCCTAAGCAGACAATTCTCATCATCGAACTTAGGCAAGGTATTGATGTAATGAAACTATACACCAAGTTTCATAACTCTCACTTAATTAGAACTAAAGTTATCATGTCCCAAAGCATCAACCAATCAAATTGCTTATCTCTACTTACCATAAGCAGAAAATGCTCATCTTCGCACTCTATCAAGGCATTGACCTCATAAACACCTACACCAAGTTTGAACATTCTAGCTCAATTAGAAGGAGAGTTATTGTGTTCCAAAGTCTTGGCCAATCAAATTGCTTATCGTTCTGCTTACCCTCAGCAGAAAATGCTCAATATCGAACTTAGTCAAGCTACTGATGTAATGAAACTATACACCAAGTTTCATCACTTTCACTTAATTGGAACTAAAGTTATCGTGTCCCAAAGCATCAACCAATCAAATTGCTTATCTCTACTTACTCTAAGCAGAAAATGCTCATCTTCATACTCCATCAAGGCATTGACCTAATAAACACCTACGCCAAGTTTGAACATTTTACCTCAATTAGAAGGAGAGTTATTGTGTTCCAAAGTCTCGGCCAATCAAATTGCTTATCGCTCCGCTTACCCTGAGCAGAAAATGCTCATTATCGAACTTAGTCAAGGTATTGATGTAATGAAACTATACACCAAGTTTCATCACTCTCACTTAATTAGAACTAAAGTTATCGTGTCCCAAAGCATCAACCAATCAAATCGCTTATCTCTGCTTACCCTAAGCAGAAAATGCTCATCTTCGAACTCCATCAAGGCATTGACCTAATAAACACCTACACCAAGTTTGAACATTCTAGGTCAATTAGAAGGAGAGATATTGCGTCCCAAAAAGTGTGACGGACGGACGGACGGACGGACGGACAGACAGACAGACAGCGGTTTTTCATCCAATCAGAAGGACTATACATTGTCCCTTGTTAGGCCCTCCGTCCTACATCGCACCATGAAATAGTTTATCTAACTGTGATATGTTTTTAATATATTTATATCAGTGCCACAGAGAAACTTTACATGTAGTTGGATTATAAGTACACAGGCAAATGAATCAAATCATCATCATTTAGGCTAACTTTAATGACGATATGGATCTGAATTTGAGAAGAAATGTGTTTTGACATCTTTGTGAACACAATGTATTTTGGTAATACAAGAGTCTAATACAAGAGTGCAATGCTGGGAACACAACAGAATTCTAAATTTAGGAGAATTTTGTACTTGAGACTTCAGCTAATCTTTGCTTCAAACTGACTCCAATAACACAGAAAGTATCAGTCTGACTCCGATAACACATAAAGTATCAGTCTGTCTGACTCCGATAACACAGAAGGTATCAGTCTGTCTGACTCCAATAACACAGAAAGTATCAGCCTGTCTGACTCCAATAACAGAGAGTGTAAGTCTGTCTGACTCCAATAACACAGAAAGAATCAGTCGGTCTGACTCCAGTAACTGTTTCATGTGGTCCCATTACATTTGCATTAAACTGACTTTTTCTCCAGCGAAAACACACGCGGAAACACCACAAATACGCGTACATTGAAAACAGGCCTAAGTCTGAATTAAAGTTCTTACCTGTTCTAAATTCTTTTTAATCACATCAATATTATCACTCATGGTCTGTAGTTCTTTATTGTAATTCTTTTCAGCATCAGACAGCATAGGTAGACGGGACTGTATTTTTCTCATAATACCCCCCAATCTAAATATTAATACAAACATAGTAAATATAAGTTTTATTTAAAGTCACTGGTTAGATCCAATTGGATTAAACATACATTATGCAAGAGCTAAATCTGCATATGGCACGTCTTTCTTTAGGCCTGAAATGTTATCTAAATTATTAATTAGACAATAATTAACCTATCCAGACCATAATCAACTCTCGATGCCATCGCTAGCCTGCGATATTCACCGGATTTGAATACAGTGTGTTATAAGGGAACTTTTGCCCGAACAGCGGCACTACTGTCTACTCTTATATTGAATTCCAACTGCCAAGAGATCTTTTAGATGCATGCCAATGTGTTCACAGGAATTTGGTTTTTAGTCCCATCTGAATGTCTAGACAGTTGTTCTTGTCGGGCCCTCCATCCTACCTTTAGGAGCAAGAAATAAAATGGGGTTCAACGTCCTACTTAATGAAGACGGGATCCAGGAATTGTCTCAAGGATCAAGAAATGGAGTTTAAAGTTTTACTTTTCGGTCCCAACCAGCGAAATGAAGAAAACCGTGATGTTATAATTATACCTTTTTAAAATAAGTTCTTGTGAATGTTGACACATTTCTAGTTTCTCTGCGATAGTTTCCGCTTGGTCTCGTAGAATATTTCTAGATTCTTCCAATCTCTTTAAATCTTCGTTCTGAAGTCGTTTCTGGTCGGTCAAAATTTTGGCTCTGAGGAGAAACATTTATATGTCATTATTTTTTTTTTTTTTTCATTACAGTAGAATCTATACGAGAAGCCACTCATATTCAGCGAGATCTTCTTGTAAGATGTCACAATAAATTCCCTCCACCCCGTAGAAATTCTATTGTTTCATCATTATTTTACTAATAAATTTAACAAAACATCGCCCATTCAACGGTCAGTGTTGAATGATACCATCTAATTTGTAACACCTTCGCCAATCCCATGATTAATAGTTAATTATCTGACCCCCCACCAATCAGGTAAAAAAAACTGTAAAAATACAGATTCTACTGTATAAAAACATATAAAAATCATATGAGCAAAAGCCAAAAAAGCCAGTTTCAAGCCTCTCTCTCTCTCTCTCTCTCTTCTCTCTCTCTCTCTCTCTCTTCTCTCTCTCTCTCTCTCTCTCTCTCACAACATAAGGTTTAATTCTTTTTTTTATTTCAATAATTTGCTTGCACGTAGAGGTCTTTAGCAGTGGGAGGAAACCGGAGCACCCGGAGAAAACCCACGAGGTTGGACAGGCGACCGTACTCCTTGTTACGTACAACCGGGAAATCAGAACCATGCCAGTTGACTCAATGACAGGCCTTATGATACAGCGTGCACATGCTAACCATTCGGCCATCCAACCCCCTGCGCTTATATCGATTTCCAACAGCCAAAGATTTTTTATGTGCACGCCAAAGACTACACAGGACCTCTGTTTTTTGTCCCATCCGAAGTGATTGAAGTATCCTATTTCATGCCATACCTTGTTTCTATTTCAACCCGAGCTTGGTCTTGTTTCTGCATATACTCCTCACGTAAAACTTGCGTTGCTCGACTTAACAACTGAAAACATTCCTGCTGACTTACTTCTGTTCCATACCCAGATCTGTTTAAAAACAAAATAAAATAAAACCAATCCAATATTTAACCAGTATATTACAGCTGACTGACAACAAAGGGGTCGTGTCACAGGTGTAAACCAATATTTAACCAGTATATCACAGCTGATAACACGGACTGACAATAAAGGGGTAAGATATCTTCATCCCCTATCAATATACCCTAATTTAACCAAAGGGTTAAAAATGATCTCATAGCATATTAATAAAGCAGAGAGAGAGAGAGAGAGAGAGAGAAAGAGAGAGAGAGAGAGAAAGAGAGAGAGAGAGAGAGCAAGAGAGAGAGAGCGAGAAAAGGGGTTTAACATCCACTTGACACAAACTATGTCATTTCGGGACTAACACATGGGGTTCACATGGTTCAATTTTAATTCAATAATTCGCTTACACGTAGGGGTCTTTAGCAGTGGGAGGAACCGACGGATGCAGAGAAAACCTACCAGTTTGGACAGGCGACCCTACTCCTTGTCACGTATAAGCAGGGAATAAAAACCATGGCAGTTGACTCAATGAAAGACCTTATGATACAAAGTGCACGGCCATTCCCCACCCCCCTCATATACTGAATAAAACAATAATAATAATATATATAAGCTTACTTTAGTAATGGATTAGAAGATGTTCTCTGTAATATTTTAGATATATGGTAATCAAAGGGTTCCCTACTTAATCTTCGTAACGGTGATTTTACTCCTCTGCTCTCGGAATCAGATGCCAACGACGCTGAGACTGTTCTATATTTGGAACTGAAACAAAATATTTTCATTGTCATCATATTATACTGTAACCCATTCGTTGTAATCCATTCACTTTTTCGAACTGTATCATTGTAAAAGCGCCATAGAGCAGCTGTGTGTACCTGGATTTTGGCGCTATACAAGTTGCATAAATTATTATTATTGATAATATTAATAATATTAATAATATTACTAATAATAAATAATAATAATTGATAATAATTATTATTATTGTTATTTTTATAATTAATTAATTATTATTTAGCCCTGATTTCTTCACATTTATTCAAAATTTTCATTATCAGCATATTACACTGTAACCCAGGTATCATTTAATCTTGTGTATTTTATCAAATCTTTGTTTGAATTCCGTTGAAGATGAAAAGTTAATATTTGGCACATATAAGATTGGCCACCCTTGTATTAGACCCTTCAAGACATCCCAGTTGCCTCTCATTTTTGACCGCAAAGTTCAAAATGTCAGATTCAAGTTCATTAGAACTGGATGTTTTGTCAGTTACGTGTATGATTATTATTTCCGGGCTTGCGAGATTGTACTTTATCCTACAGACAAAAACAAACTGAACTTACCCGAGAGGGAGAGCTGTAAATTGATAATCACTGGATAAGACCAACAGAGTTACGCCTAATGACGGATCGGTGACGACTGATAAACCTTGTATTGGAGATGGTACACTATATTAAATATACAAAACATTATGATAACCATGTATAGGATATGGTACACTATATTAAATATAAAACATTATGATGAACCTTGTATAGGATATGGTACACTATATCTTAATATAAAATACTATACTATGATCTTGACACAAAATATGGTTCAATTTCATTTCAATAATTCGCTTACACATTGGGGGTCTTTAGCAGTGGGAAAAGGGGAAACAAAACCACACCACGCCATGAGACTCAATGACAGACCTTATGATCTAAAGTGCACACATGAGACCACCCAACCAAGCTGTTGACAAGGGTTGTCGCATATTTATTCCTTTGTAGGTAATCGGGGGCCTTTACAAGACAGTTCCATACAGATCAGATTATAATTTTTGCCGTTTAAGGGTTCACAAGGTTCTACAAATTGAAACAAGGGTCTCAACTATGGAAGTAATCTACAAAAATTGTTGAAATTTGAAAGAGCTTTTTCGTTTCACTAATTTAAATAATGCATATAAATTTCAGAAAGATAGGATGATAACTTTTCAGGTTAGAGCGTTCACATGGTTAAACAAAGTGAAACAAGGGCCATAACTCTAGAAGTAATAAACGGATATTGCTGAAATTCGATAGGATTCTTCGTTTCACTAATTTAAATAATGTATATAAATTTCAGAAAGATAGGATGATAACTTTTGGGGTTAGAGCATTCACAAGGTTAAACAAAGTGAAACAAGGGCCATAACTCTAGAAGTAATAAACGAAAATTGCTGAAATTCGATAGGTTTCTTCGTTTCCCTAATTTAAATATTGCATATAAATTTCACAAAGATCGGATGTTAACTTTTGGCATTAGAGCGTTCACAAGGTTCAACAAAGTGAAACAAGGGCCATAACTCGAGACGTTATAAACGAAAATTATTGAAATTAAATAGGTTTCTTCATCTCACTAATGTAAACAACATAAATCAATTTTAAAACAATTGGATGATAACTTTTGGCGTTAGAGCGTTTACAAGAAATTATGGACGATGGACGGACGGACGGACGGACGGGGGCGACGGCAATATCAGACCACATTTCCATGTGGGCGTATTAAAATGGCCATAACTTTAATTAGAACTGACTGTATAACACACATTGACTGATTTGAATAATTATCGGACCCAAATATTTCTTAATAAAAGTAATTTTGATTGTGTCTTGTTGTAACCCCTATATTTAACTGTTTTGGGGGTTTTAAAGCACATTACTTATATTACAGCTATATTTTTTAGTAAAAATACCTCCCAAATGTTTCTAAAATAATTCAACATGTGAAAATGGAGTTATCTCCCTTCCCTCAATAATCCTTGTGTTTTTGACAATTCTGTGGTTTCCAGCAAGCTTTATTAAACATACATTATGCATGAGCTAAATCTGTCTATTTCAAGTCTTTCTTTAGGCCTGAAATGTTATCTAAATTATTAATTAGACTTTAATTAACCTATCCAGGCCATAATCAACTATAGATGGCAGCGCTAGCCTGCGATCTTTAGTGGATTGTAAGCCGATTTACTGCATAACTTTCCTTCTCTATTAAATGATTAAATGGATAATCGAGACTATGCTGTTTATCGTACTGACTTTAGTAATGATGACCGAGGCTTATGGGAATTTCAGTCGCTTAGTTCTCAGTTCATAGTGGTTCAATTTGAATGAAATTTTCACCAAATTGCCTTTACATTATCTAGTTTTTAACTATTATAGTGAGAACTGCCAACTCGTTACCGAATCTCCCATAATGTATCCTTAAGTTGCCATTGTTAAGAAAAAAATTAACAGACAGACATGATTAATAATTCAATAATTGAGAACAACCATTTTTTATTTTCTGATAATCAGAAATGTTGTTACCTTGAAGTGAGTGGTTTTGTACAGATGACATGCTCCACGATACATTCTTGATTTTCTGGTAAAACAGGATTGATCTGATCCTCTGTAAATAATCAAAATAAAAACATGGAATTTAGATTATAATGATTCCTACATCACCTGACAACTTGATAAATATTTATTTCAAATTTAAAATAAAATAATATATTGTCCACTCAATACAAACTAATTCATTTCGGGAATAACATATGGTTCAATTTTATTTCAATAATTCACTTGTGCGTAGGAGTCTTTAGCAGTGGGAGGAAACCAGAGGACCTGGAGAAAACCTACGAGGTTGGACAGGCGACCCTACTCCTTGTCACGTACAACCAGGGAATCAAAACCACGCCAGTTGACTCAATGACAGACCTTTATAATACGCGCTAACCATTCGGCCATCAACCGCCCCACCCCCTCCCAGCCAGGAGATATCTACCACTGATATATTTTGATCTTGTTGTCATAATTAATGACGATCAGCACCCTTAATTATATAAATTTATTTCTACTAATAAAAATTTTACCATCTAAAGCAAAAGTGTTTAAATTGTGTGCCCATGGTAACGCTACTGTATGTACACCTGCTGCATGACTACAGTGATATCTATCATATGTACTCGGATCTGCAAAAAAAAGAGAAAAATTTTCAACCATCACAATATGATAGGTTGCCTGGCAACGAAACATATAAACATATGCCCACAGCAGCTAAATCGTGCGAGCAGTCTACAAGGGTTGTCACATATTTATTCTTTTGTAGGTAATGAGTGCATTTATCACTGATATCAATATCAATTTCATACAGATCAGATGATATTTTTTCTTTGAACATTTAAAAGCTCCTTTAAAGTGAAACAAAGACCAAACTCTAGCAGTAATTTAACAAATTTGTTGAAATTTGAATTTGATACGCTTCCTTGTTTCAACAATTTATATGATGCACATAAATTTCATAGAGATCAGGAGATAACTATCATCGTTTGAGCATTCACAAGGTTCTACAAGATAAAGCAAGGGCCATAACTCCAGACGTTATTAACAAAACCAATTCAATTTTTAGTTCTTTGGGGAGGGAGGGTGGGGGGGATGAATAAATAGCCACTCAAGTCTCTGGAAAATTTTGTTATTTGAAGTTCAAAATTTAAACATTTGGGAACTGAAAGGTTTTGAGGAGAGCATCAGCAACCAAGCAGCCTACTTTTTGTTTTTAAATTAAGACTCTTGGAGAAATGGAAAACAAAATTCGTACTAGCAAAATTCAAATTTGCATGGTTTAATACAGTTCAACACAATGCACAGATTTTAGGTCTGGGCACAGAGAATAATTTTAGGACAATAAAATCCACTAATGTTAAATAATTTGGTGGATGATTTTGTGGAATTCGGCCATTATATATGTGTAACGGTAATACTGTTGAATGTGACATGTTCCAGCTATTAGTACTGAATAAAATTCATACTAAAGATTTGATAAATCAGGAACTTCTTTAGATGTTGCAAAATAAGGCATTTCTTTAGATGTTGAGAAATAAGTCATTTGTTTAGATGTTGAGAAATAAGGCATTTCTTTAGTTGTTGCTAAATAAGGCATTTCTTTAGATGTTGAGTAATAAGGCATTTCTTTAGATGTTGAGTAATAAGGCATTTCTTTAAATGTTGCAAAATAAGGCATTTCTTTAGTTGTTGCTAAATAAGGCGTGTCAAATCCACCATGGTAATATATAAATCATGTTTTACATAAACGTTACCATTAGAAAGACACATAAGATTAAATATATTAAATATGTCGCTACGGCAACTATTGTGTAACAGAATAAATCTCTTGGCTATCTTAATTTAATTAGTCATAAATAACACTCCCTGGATTAACTGCTGCACTGCTACTCCATCTTTCAACCCTTAGCAACAAGATGGCCGATGACAAGGACAGTGAATGATATATAATAGTACTTAATTATTTTCTATTTTATTGTTTTAGCATCAAGTTGTCATTGGCTTGTGACAGCTTGTACATGGTGATTTCCATTAAGTCATTAATCTTTTTAAATTTAAACCCCTATGGGGCCAGTCAAGACAACAATTCCGAGTAGAAGAGCATGGACATTTTCCATTATAAACCTTCGAGTATGTCATTATAAGTTTAAAACAATTTCAACAATTAAAATCACTGAAGGAGAAGCTTGGGTACATAACACAACACCTCCTCACGATACATAAATATATAAATTCATTACCTGTTCACAATAGAGGATGGACTGAATAAATCAGATGCCATAGTAACATAAAAACAAGTTTAAAACGTGACAATAAATCATGAATTGTGTTCATTTAGATGTAATCAACAATTGGGTTGGGTATATAAATATTTTATATATTTTCATTTTTTTGAAAGTACAGGCACATGTGTTTATACTAATATTCTGATTGTCTGTTCAACATACATTATTCAAGAGCTAAATCTGTCTATTGCAGGTCTTTCTTTAGGCCTGAAATGTTATCTAAATTATTAATTAGACATTAATTAACTTATCCAGACCATAATCAACTCTAGATGGCATCGCTAGCCTGCGATCTTAAGTGGATTGTGAGCCGATTTACTACATAACTTTCCTTCTCGATTAAACGATTAAATGGATAATCGAGACTATGCTGTTTATCGTACTGACTTTAGTAATGATGACCGAGGCTAGGCAGAAATTTCAATAGCTTAGTCCTCGGTTCATAGTGGATCAATTTGAATGAAAATTTTCAGCAAATTGCCTTTACGTTATCTAGTTTTTAACTATTATAGTGGGAACTCCCAACTCATTATCGAATCTCCCATAATGTATCTTTCAGAGTTGGTAGCTACTTCAGGGCTGTCCGAAGGCTGAAATTTGCTGTATAGGGGTACCTCGGACCGGGGAGTAATAGGCCTTTAAATAAGACCGACACAGGCTAAATGCTAGAAAAATTCACTGGTTTGTGTGTCACTATCATTATCAACTTTTCACCCCAGTTTGATATTCGACAATATAGAATTGCTTGTCGCTCAATCTGATTAAAATACAGATCTATAATTCGTTTCGTTTTTAATACTTTTGATGGCCTCTACTACATGAAGATCTGACCAGTTGTAGTGGAAGGTCGCGTCAGAAGTTATACAACCTTTTTTTGACCCTATGACGTCAGACACTTGATTAACTGATCAGCCTTTATGTTTCTAGCAGGATACCCACAATTCTGTGCATCACACTCACACACCAAGAACTCGCTGTAACAGATCGTTTCATTGGCTAATCCCTCACATCAACTAGAATGCGGGTTATATAACAACTCTTCCAGATCCTAGTGTAGTAAAGACAAGTAAAACGAAATTTTGAACTATAAAAAAAAAACGGAACGAAATAGGATCTGTGTTTTAATCAGATTGCTCGTCGCTCTGAAATCTTATATAAATTGCTGTGTATGCAGCAGCAAGCAGCCAATCATGGAGCAATTATTTTGTTAGACCAATCAGCACAAGCTAAAATATCCTGTGATCTCACAAAATGGCAGCCGGCAATAACTTGATTTTCGTCCATGGACGCCGCCATTTTGACTAGTCAGAAGGTCAGTGCTGGCATTGTCTGAAAAGTCCCACGAAAATTGCTTGTATGTGCACAATGAACATTGTGTGATAATTTGTGTCTCACAAAGTCTGTGACAGAAATGAAATGAAATGGGGTTTAACGTCCTACTGTTCTGCTCCAAACCTGGGCTAATGAAGATGGGCATACGCCATACAGTGTGCTATGAAGGAAAATTTCCCTCATAGCACACTACATGGCGTATGCCCATCTTCATTAGCCAAGTTTAGGAGCAGAACAGTAGGACGTTAAAGATACATTCCCGCATACAAACTGGGGGATTTGATGATATATTTGGCCTAAAAACATATTCAAAATAATTAATTTATCATAAATTTGCTTCAAATCCTTCTCAAAACATTGTAATTGTCAAGGAATACCCTTGCTATAAAAAATCGATCAAAAAAGGTTATGTTTGTGTCACGTGACTTACGGGTGCGAAGTCAGAGGAGAATTCATTGCATACACAAGACAATGTTGTCTTTAATCGATGACTATTTATTACAAATATCAAATCCTAATTAAATTCTTAGATTATCCACTGCCCCCGTCTTTTTCCATGATTTTTATCTCAGAAAGTGTTGTACGTCTAACCTTTGACGTCACGCGTACAGATATTCCAAGTCGTCGGGCTGTCGATTAGGAGAACCCTGACATTTTTGCCTGTATACGCTCCATGAGTGTTTTTCAGGGAATCCAGTATTTTTCTATTAAGATTGGATATCTCTACTTTCCATATATACCAAAATTGCCATACTTTTATTGGAAATAATCACCCGATAAATACTTTTCTGGGAACCTATCTTTAAATCTACATTTCATTTCATTTTAAAACTTTACACAAAGCTTAAAAATAATGTTGCGCCCATGACATATCTGATCATTTTAGAAATTGAAATTCCCCCCTCCCCATTCCACCCCATCCTCCCTTGTTGCTAGATCTATAAACACTTCAAATTAAGATAGCTGTCAATGTATTTCCAATACTCGTCAAAATAAACTGACAACTTGATGCATGACTGGCGACAAAAGCTGTAACACACCCAAGCTTTTATTACTTTCTAATACCAAGACAAATTCTCTGTCAAGAGACGAAGGAAGATATTTGCATCATTTTTACACCTGGCTTAGATGCAACAGCACTTTCCTGCTCAAATAACCTTTAAGGTCAATATAAATAAACTATTCATATTTTAAAATCAGACCTCCTTCATTATTTGTCAAACAACAAATATAAAAACATTTACGTTCTGACAGTGACATGTGGCAAAATGACAGTTGTGGTGGCTCGTTAAGTGACATCTTCCAAAGCTCATATATTTTGGTTGAATTCCAGACTACCCACAATTTGAAGTAAATGACAAGAGTTGATATAAATTCATGAATTCAATATTTAACCACTTGAAGTTATCGAAATGCACCAATCATCTATCTAAATTCATTAATCATTTGTCAAAATACACCAATCGTCTATCTAAATTCACTAATCATTTGTCGAAATGCACCAATCGTCTATCTAAATTCACTAATCAATTGTCTAAATGCACCAATTGTCTATGTAAATTCACCAATCGTCTATCTAAATTCACTAATCATTTGTCGCAATGCACCAATCATCTATCTAAATTCATTAATCATTTGTCAAAATGCATCAATCGTCTATCTAAATTCACTAATCATTTGTCAAAATGCATCAATCGTCTATCTAAATTCACTAATCATTTGTTGAAATGCACCAATCGTCTATCTAAATTCACTAATCATTTGTTGAAATGCACCAATCGTCTATCTAAATTCACAAATTGTCTATCTAAATTCACTAATTGTCTATCTAAATACACCAATCGTCTATAAAAAGTATCAATCGTCTATTGAAATGCACCAATCTTCTGTCAAAATATACATCAATCGTCTATTTAAATGCACCAATCATCTGTCAAAATATACATCAATCGCCTATTGAAATGCATCAATCGTCTATCTAAATACACCAATCGTCTATAAAAAGTATCAAC